GATCAAGGGGCAGGAGACGGTCAAGTTCACGTTGACGCCACAAAACATGCGAGACCTTGATGTAAGTCATAAACACTGCTTGCTTTTCAACACACTAACGGTAAGCAGGAAACTCCACCGCATCAGCCCGTGCAGCATCGCTCATCATCTTCATCTTCCGCAAAGCCATATCCTCGCGTCCATGCTGACGACAAGTCTTCTGGCACTGCAAACTTGCCCAACACAACTGCACCTAGGGCAAAGTCGTCTAATGGGACCCACCACAGGCCTTCACCTAGCCGCAGCGTAGTCACCAGACCGCTCGCAAGAGACCCAAAGATCGAGTCAGAATCGATGCGTGACTTTGCCGACTTCATCCGATCAACTGGCCCTTCACCCGGGCAGGAGAAGCCTGTGCAACCTTTTGTCAACATGAGCGGACAGAATCCGAAGCCCAGTAACATCTCGTCGTCTTCACTCGGCCGGAAGCTGTCTACCAGACGATCATCTTCTGTAAACGGGACTTCTGCAAAAGCACGTGCCAACATGGAGCCGCGCAGTCCGGCAGGTCTAAGCACGGGCAATGGCGACTTGATTGACTTTATTAGACAAGGACCACCAGATGCGAATAATGGGCAACCTAGAATTCCTCGGAGTGTTGCCCCCTTCCGCAGCACGGTAGACTCTGATCAGTTTGACAGCATGCTGGAAGGCCACGGCAATGTTGAATCAGCATACGGCTCTGCAGCATCAACCCTAGAGTCGAAGAACAGTGCCCAAACCATCAATTCTCGGACTGGTCTCATTTCATCCCCTGGTGTTGTGCAGCCTGCCTATTCCAATACGCCAAAGCAGCTGAGTGGAAGCATGTCAGCCTCCAACGATGAGCCTCAAGTCACGCGAACGAGGCGGCGCATCAAGGACCCGTATGCGATTGACTTCTCTGATGAGGATGAGGATGAGGGCGAAGACGAAGATCAGCTCACTGCACTTCCACCCAGCGGAACGCAAACACCCAGGCAGGCTCCAGCACAGCCACCGCGACAAGCTGCACCGAGACAGGAGAGTCTGATGGATTTCCTCAATGCCATGGAACCCCCATCGGCCAGCAAACCTCAGCCTTTTATGCTGAGTGAAGAGACTATTGCTGCTGCACGCGCGCGCGCAAATTCCGCGAAATCGCAGCCATATAATGGTAATGGTAGCGCGCATCCTGGCTCGTCGACCTCAACATCGATCACTTCAGATGCCGCACGTTTACACAAACCTCGCCTACAAGCAAGGGCACCCGCATCTGGTGATGCTCGAGGTGGAGGCGCACGTACAGGCACGAGCGACCTAGCCGACTTCCTCATGAACTCTGGGCCACCAGAGCCACCAGTCACTCGTGCTGCGCCAGTCAAAGAAGAGAAGAAGAGCAGGAGGTTCTGGCGCAGCAAAAAGACGTATGGTGATATGCCGTAATCATCAGACTGTTGTGACACGAGTAGAACACGAGACATACGGCTTGCTTTTTTTCTTTTACATGACTTCAAATCACTTGCTAGATGGATTATTTATTTTGTACTTTTTTTTGGAGAAAGAGAAAGAAAGATGAGGCAAGGGGACGTTTACGGATTGTTGTTTCTGAATGGACTTTCTGAACGGACGATGGCTTCTCGATACCCACTTTTTGCATGTCATGTTCATGCTAACACGGAGTTTGAGTTTGTTCAATGTTATCGGCATGGGTTCGAGATTGGGATTCGATAGGTTTCATAGCGCTGATCTTGAATGTAACAATACCCACCCCGATAGTGACTTTTCTACTTGCAGATATCCAGGCGTGTTTTTTATTATAGTCTCCGGGAATAGCTTGGCAAGTTATTTCCGAATCAGCATGACTCGCCTCGGCTCCCACTTCCCCAGATCCCCCGGCTACACTCGCAAGCTTTATCCTCGTGTACAATAAAAAGCTGTCCAAGGACACGTCCAGACATGCCAACACATACGTACAACCACTCACCGGGCAACATTGAGGGTTTACTCGCAGAGCTGCGTCAGCATGGTATTGAATACACGCTTGATACCCACGAGCGCGATGCCAAAGCCAACACGACGCACTCGCCCGCAGCACCCCACGAAACACCGTTAGCGGTTCTTTTCCCTACTTCGACACAGCAAACATCGATTATCCTCAAATCATGCAACGACCGGCTCATTGCAGTGACCTCGTTCTCCGGCGGAACGAGTTTCGGTGGCGCACTCACGGCGAGTCGCAATGGCGTGTGCGTTAGTTTTGAGCGCATGAAAGAGATTATCGCGGTGCATGAGGACGATATGGATGTTGTTGTGCAGCCGGGAATAGGATGGATGGAGCTGAATGAGAAGTTGGAAAGTAAAGGCTTGTTTTTTCCGGTTGATCCAGCGCCCAGGGCCAAGATTGGGGGGATGGTAAGTTCTTCTTCTTCTTCTTCTTCTTCTTCTTTTACCTTTCACGCATCCTCTCTTTTCGTTTTTTTCCTCGATTTTGGAAAATGATGTATACTAAAATACAAGGGAAAATATAGATAGCAATGTCTTGCTCAGGCACAAACGCCTACCGCTATGGGACCATGAAAGAAAACGTCATCTCCCTCACTTGCGTGCTAGCATCCGGCCGCATAATAAAAACCCATCAACGGCCCCGAAAATCCTCTGCGGGATACGACCTCACTCACCTTCTCATCGGCTCCGAAGGCACTCTCGGACTCGTCACAGAAGCCGTGCTGCGCCTTTCCCTACTCCCCAAGAACCTGCACGTGGGTCTCGCCATGTTCCCTTCTTTCCAGTTCGGTGTGGATTTCGTTGTCGAACTCCAGAAAACAGGGCACATGCTGGAAGCCTTGGAGTTGGCAGACGGCCCGCAAATGCAGTGTGTCAATGTCTCGCGTCTATCTAGCATCAAGTGGACTGAGGTGCCAACTCTGTTCTTCAAAATCGCGGGACCATCTATCGAGCTTGTGCGGGAGCAACAACGTATCATGGCCGCGTTGTGCCGCAAGCATTCCGTGCGTAGTTTCGAAGTCGCATCCCAAGAGACAGATGGTGAGAGGGCAAGTGCTATATGGCAAGCCCGGAAATGCATGGGACAAGCACTTGTTTGTATGAAGAAGAGTCCCTCGGATGTGTTTCTGCATTCCGACTGCGCGGTTCCCATGTCCAAACTTTCACATCTCGTTCAGGGCACACAGTCACTCATTTCCAAGGCTGCTGCTGCTGCGACAGGGAACCAAGGAGGTTGGTTCTGCGCTAATGTTGGGCATGTTGGGGATGGCAATGTGCATTCTGCGATTATTTGTCCTGCAGCTGATCGCCAGGCTGCAGAGGCGGTGCTGAGGGATGTGGCGAGGTTGGCGCTGAGTCTTGAAGGTACGGTCACGGGAGAGCATGGTGTTGGAATGGAGTTGAGGGATGCGTTGGAGGAGGAAGTTGGGACGAGTGGGGTTGAGGGTATGAGGGCTATCAAGGCAGCATGGGATCAGAAGGGGATATTGAATCCGGACAAGGTTTTTAGGCTCGAGGGTGGGAGGATGGAGAAACTTTGATGGGTATGGACATTAGGATAACGATGGGTGTTTTTTTATAAACACTTTGTTTTTTTGAGTGCAGTTGATGGATTTTCCACAACAAGAGCTGACAAGGCTAGCGTAGATTTCTAAGCAACAGCCATACATAGATGTGGCTGATATGCCCTGCATACAAAGGATGCAGAAAGCTTCGTGCGATCAGTATTGCATCCTTTTCAGCCTTGAATAGGAAAAGTATGTCAATAAACTAATGTGAGTCCATGCTGAACGAAAATCTATAGTACACTCGCATACTAACCCACATTCAAAAAACCCAGTTGAAATCGAGTTTCACCACGATATTTGGCTGCTAGTCTTCGCAGCCCTCCATCTCGCGCTATCTGCACTGCTTTTTTTCCTTGTTCGGTATAGCATACAAGAATTAATATCGGCTGCGGGAGTCCCAACGACCTTGGGCCTGGTTTGTCCCCAGCATTCTTATCCCTGCATCAAGCCCTGGATTTTCGCCTCCACAACCGCTATTTCCTTTTCAGGCTGAACACCGAACGGTCCAATTATTCGTCCTTCATGGGCAGCCACAACGATGAACACGTTCATGGATGTTGAGGTTGGTTGCCTTAATACCAGTCTTTTCCCATCCCCTGCAATCACCATGCAATCGCTGGTAGTGTGTGCATGTGTAAACCAGCGCCTTCCGGACTAGTAAGGAAAAGGCAAGAGGGAGCACCCATTGCAGCCTTGTCGGTGTTCGAAAAAAATCCGGGAACCGTCTTCTCCAGTATGATTACTACCTGCAAGGCAAAAAAAAAAGGCACAGCAAACAAGTGGCGGAGATGAGCCAAGTCTCCGGGCATGCAGGGTGATAAGTCTATCCTTGCTTTAACGATCGCTTGGCATACTACAGCCGTACTTGGATTGATTTAGAATTATACTCCGCGATCCAGTAATAGACCCTGGGTTGGTAATAGTATGCTCTCAACCGGATACCGGTGCTTGGGTGCATCCTACTTACCCGATTCTACCAATAGAAGGAGTTTTCCCTAAACGATTTTATCGAATGCGCTGGCGATCCGCAAGCCACTCTCCATACCATGCTGAGTCATGCATACATGTGCGCCTTTGAATGCCTGTGCAATTGGCATCCTTCCGCACCTACCGCTAGTGGTACGACGTTGGCGCGCATGTGACTACATTGCCGTGCATAGTCGGCCCTCCTAGACTAAACATCTCGCTAGAATGTAAGACGCCTTGCATTTGGCAACTGCATGCCTATCTCCCATTAAGGTAGCATACCGTATACGCTTCCTACTTCCGTGCCTCAAGCAGATGGTAGAATTCATGGTGGACTCAACGACCATGTCAGCAAGTGGCGTATATAAAAGGAGAGGCATCGCCTTTGCCTGGATGGACAGACGTGCTCGTTTCTCGTCTCATTCAAATCGTTGACGGTAACTCGTAATACCATCGCCCATTATGGTCAAGCTACAAGTCATCACTTCTGCTCTGAGCCTTGCCTCCTTGGCATTTGCAGCAGCACTGCCTGCTCCTAATGTCCCTACTTGCAAGAAGCCTGCAAAGCGGCTCGAATGGTGAGAAGAAACTCGTAGATAACACCCAAGAGTCATCTGCTAACAGTAATTTCTCTAGGAGACAGATGTCCAACAGCGAAAAACGCAGCTACCTCAACGCCGTCCTCTGCCTACAAAAGATCCCCTCAATCACCAGCTTCCAGTATGCTAAAAACCGCTACGACGACTTCCAAGCCATCCACAACGACCAGGGCGACTACATCCACTGGGTCGGCTTCTTCCTCCCCTGGCACCGCTACTTTGTCTGGGCCTACGAGCAAACCCTCCGCAACGAATGTGGCTACAAAGGTGCCCAGCCCTACTGGGACTACACGCTCGACGCCGACCCGCAGAACCTAAACTCGACCCGCATCTACGAAACCGAAATTTTCTCCCCAACACTCGGCTTTGGCGGCAACGGCCCTAGAGTCGTGCCCACACCCGAGCAAAACCCGCTCGGCGTCAACAGCACCGGCGGCGGCTGCATCCAAGACGGCCCCTTTGTCCCCGCGAACTTCATGCTCAACTTCCCGGGCCCCGAACCACAGTGTCTCCGCCGCGACTTCAGCCCCAACCTGCTCAACCGCGGCGCAGACCCAAAGGTCGCCGAGGACATCCTCTCCAAGCAAACCTACATCGCATTCGACCGCGCGCTCCAGGGTGCAAAGAACTTCATCAACCCCAACATCCACGCCGCAGGCCACTTTGGCGTCGGCGGCGTCTTTGGACAGGCCGGTGACGTGAAGAATTCGCCTGGGGAGCCCTTGTTCTGGCTGCACCACGCCTCGATTGATCGGCTCTGGTGGCTCTGGCAGCAAGGAGATCTTGCGACGAGGAATCTTGAAGTCGGCGGCAATCTGGTGCCCGAAGTTTACGACGATGAGACAGAGGTTACGCCCGAGTTTGAGATCAATTTGGGGGCTGTTGCGGGGTCCGTCAAGTTGGCGAAGCTGCTGAATACGAAGGGAGACCTGTTTTGTTATAATTATTAGGTACGACTAGTAGCTTAGGCGTAGTGTAAGAAAAAAAATGGAATGGTTGTATGGGATGTAATCATGGGCACATCTTTCTTGTCTATTCACTTTTTCCTCGGTTCGCCCCCCTTTTTTTTCATATGCCTGCTTTCAATTGTGTGATATCTAATCCTTTTTTTTCTCGTTGCCCAATTGTCACTTGCTATCCAAGCAAAAAAAAAAGTAGAGAGCGACAAGAAACGTATAGCTTGTACTTCAAACTAATCAGCACGACCTGATTCCATATCCAGCGCGATCAAACGTTGGCAGCTATACACTTCTCAGACGCAGCTGAGATTGATCACCGCTCATCATGTCAATGTCTTACTCCAGTGCCCACGACTCGTAGTTTTTCAGGCGACCCGGTAGCGGGGACTCTCAGCATTGCATTTATCCAAAGGCCCGGAATGAAAACATGCAACGCGGCTCTAGAGCCAGAGAGATCTATTCCGTATATAGTAGCGTTTTGCGCGGCTCAATCCTCGCCACTAGATCCTACCTCTTTTTTTTTCTCCCACTTACCGACTGCGGCTGGATATTGAGGTCGCCAATATCCTTGTCGTTGCATGCATGATGCATGGGCTTTTTGGGGTCGGGGGCGGAAATCGGGTGCGCGTTCCGTTTTGTAAAGTCGCTCGAAGATAGCGGGTAAAGCCGCTGTGAGTAATCTTGATTCACCAATAGGCTTTGCATGACCAATATTCTGATATGGTGAGCATCAGCGCTTCTATCATCCTCCTAATTGCATCGACAAACATTCGCCCCACAGAATGGCCATGGTCAATTTTTCTCGTCTTCTCGCTAACTGTGGCATTTTCAGACAGCACTCGCTCTCCTCATGCAAACAGTCGTTACAAAAGCGTGTAAGAGCACAGTCGAGCTATAGAAACGGTAGGACAAGTGCATACACACATACCTTTCAAGTGATGTAGATACACGACAACGAAACGTTCGAGAATTTGTTCATACTCTTTTCTTCATACAATTTTACAAGACTAATATTCATCTATTCTTACACTCATCCACTTTTCTCCTCACCCCTTCAACGCCTCAATATCCACAACCTCCTTGACCGCCTCAGTAGTAAGAACATAAGGCCCCTCTTCATCCACACAAACACTATCCTCAATCCTCATTCCAATGCCGCGCGCCCAACTAGGCCACCGCTCATCATCCGGGACGTAAATCCCTGGCTCAACCGTAACACACATGCCCGTTTCCAGTTTTCTGTCTCTACTAAGACCAGGACTATCATGTACGTCTAGACCGACGTAGTGGCCGACGTGGTGGGGGAAGAGTGTTTGGATGCTATTTGGTTTCATGTCAAGGCCAAGGTCTTTGAGACCAGCGGCAAGGGCGTTGGTAGCTGTGTGATGGAGCTGATCGAGAGTGAAGTTTGACGAGGAGCGGCAGAGCGAAACACATGTTCTTTGAACGGCGAGGAGTAAGTTGTATAGATCTTTTTGGGCGGGGCTGAATTTCCCGGATACAGGCCAAGTGCGCGTGATGTCGGTTACGTAGCCACCGTATTGCGCGCCGGCGTCTACGAGAACGAGGTCGTTGGGTTTTAGCAACATATCATTTGATACGTAGTGTATTGTGTTTGCGTTTATGCCGCCGGCTACAACGGGAACGTAGGCTGGGCCGTCGCAGTTGTCTTGTTTGAACCAGTAGTCGAGGAAGGAATCAAGATCCTTTTCTGCGGTGAAGGATTGCCGCATTGCGTCAGTGATGGCGCGGCCAGAGTGCTGACCTGCGTGACGCATGTTCTTGATTTCAGCCTCGCTCTTTATGACCCTAAGCTCATTCATAAGAGGACGAAGGGGTTTGATGTTTGCTGGAGAATCGCGAAGGGGACTGTATATACCACCAGTCCTCGAGGGTTCTGCACCAGCAAGATAGCGGGAAAGAAAGTTCTTCGAAACCCGCGACTGTGGGAGATCAGTGTATATGGTCTGCACGCGGTTCACGATCTCCGGGAGAAGACGGGGCAGATCATAGACGCTGCCACTAACATCAGCGTTAAAGACGTCTTCTGCAGCATCAACACCCGACCGCGGGCCTTCCCACGCCTCCGCACTGGGGTCCTTGGGCCTGACATATAGATGAAATGTATGCTCTCCACCCTCGTGTTTCTCTATAATAGCCACAGCATCCTGCTCCTTGAAGCCTGTCAGATACAGAAAGTCTGGATCCTGGTGGAACTTGTAAAAGACGGCACCCGAAGCAAACTTGAGTTCGTTGGCGGCGAGAATCGCAACAGAGTTGGGTGCAAGGTCTTTGGCGAGGGCGACGCGACGCTGGTAGTACTCCAATGCGGAGATTCCGGGAGTGACTGTGGAATGTGTTAGTAGCAGTACAATGGATTAAAGGGTGGTCATCACCTTCCCCAGCCTTGAGTAGATGTGGATGTGTCTCGTGCAGCGGCTGTCCGAATCGAAGCTGGGCAGCGGGCACTGCCTTTACGGCAGTGTACGACCTCGTGCTAGCAACGGACTGGCCATTGCGTAACTCCACAAAAGGTCTCGTGTTGCATCGGCAGCGCAGTCGCGTGGTGGGCCGTAGTAATCTGGAGACCAGAGTCATTGTGATATTAATGCAAAAGTCGGAGGCTCGGTGGTTCTTACTGTTTGCCGGCGAATCAAAGTCTCGGGCGGCAGTGCCCCGAGCCCCGGTTGAACGTCGAGCGGGCTGGAGCAGATCGGGATGGCCGCTAGCGGGCGTATTCAGTGGGGCACAAAGCTTGGCTCGGTCTGACGTACTGCCCTGCATGCCACTTTTCCGCCTTCCCCGCAAACACGTCTGCCTTGCACGACTACGCCGCCTACATGATACGCCTACAAACCCCACGCCATCTGCGTGCATACAAAGAAGCTCCTTGGAAGCCTCCATAACCGCCGCCATCGTGTTACTCTCCCACATCTTCCGAAGAATGGCCTTTTCGGCCACCAGACCGAGCCTGGTCCCACAGGAGGAGCTCGAGAGCTTCCAACAGCACTTGGCCAAGTCGACACGCATTCTCGCACTGCTGGGTGCGGGGCTATCAGCTTCATCAGGGTTACCAACATTCAGAGGTGCAGGTGGACTGTGGAGGACACATGATGCAACGTCGTTGGCCACACCAGAGGCATTTGAGCGGGACCCAGCACTGGTATGGCAGTTCTACAGTTACCGGCGGCACATGGCGCTCAAGGCAAAGCCCAACGCCGCTCACTATGCTCTTGCCGAGCTGGCGCGCAAGAAGGACGAGTTCATCACGCTGAGCCAGAACGTCGATGGTGTGTGGTGTCCCTACATCCCCTCACATCTTCATAGCTCACAGTAATTCTAACAGGCCTCTCTCCCCGTGCCCAGCACCCACCCGAGAAACTCAAGCTTCTCCATGGCTCACTATTCGACTTAAAGTGCTCCGACTTCTTCTGCAAGCACTTTGAGCGTAACAACTTCACCGATCCCATTGTGCCCGCCCTCGCCATCCCTAGCGACGAGTCCGACCCCACGACTGACTCGGCCATCGCTGCCCGCGAACTCGACATCTCAGACATCAACGTGGATCTCCCTGAGCTCGACTACTCACACCTCCCCCGCTGCCCTGATTGCAAGCGCGGCCTGCTGCGGCCCGGCGTCGTCTGGTTCGGCGAGGCATTACCGAGATCCGTTATCGATGATGTGGACGCTTTTATGTCAGACAAGCGAGGTATAGATCTCATAATGGTGATTGGTACATCTGCTAGGGTCTACCCCGCTGCGGGTTACGTCGATCTTGCGCGAACAAAGGGCGCAAGGGTTGCCATCATCAACATGGACCTAAATGATGTGCCCGCTAGTGGCCTGCATGAAGGCGATTGGTTCTTTCAGGGTGACGCAGCGCAGATTGTGCCTGATTTGCTGAGGAGCGAGATTGGGGATATTGATCCAGAAAAAATGGGCGACGCGGCTAGAGAAACTTGAATAGGAGGGGATACCCAGCTCGACATGGTGCAAAAGGCACACCTATGTTCAGGAGTTTTGGCTGCAAAGCGGTATTTTGTTGTTGTCCTTTGGCACGAGACGCACACATGTGCTTGCGATGGGTTATTTAGGTATTAGTAGTAATATCACAATAGGAATAAAAGACGGCCAATTCTCAAACAGCATGTGTTTCCATGCCAGTAAATAGCTCAGGTGATGAGAATCTTCTTTTTCTTTGTTACTGATCATTCCATATATCCATTGAATCTTAATCATTCAGGAGTAAGAGCAGCCTGAAGCGTCTCCCCAAATGCCCGTATCATGACGGCCTACTCTTACACAAAGGCGATTGGTGCTCGTAGGTATCATCTTGCTCTGACCTTTTCGCTGTTCCCAAGGAAATAGAAACGCCCGGTTCTTGTCTATCCACTAGCCATCGTAATCGTCTTAATAGTCTTTTTTATGCGCGTCCAACCCTTATACTTTCATCAGACATGATCTTCTCAGATATTATACTCTAAGTCGAAATACTGTCACATGTTACTCTACTACCAGGTTGGCACGAACGTAGCGCCGTCAACCCTTTGCAAGTCCTTTGCCGTCTGAATCTACACCGAATATTCAAAACTTGGCCATGCCCTCACGTCGAAGTAGGGTGATTGTAAACAAAGAAGTCGTTCAGATCATATTCAAACAACGCATCAATTGGCGATTCTTTGGCCGGCCACGGCACGTACTTTGGGTCGACAAGGACGGGAGAAGGCTGCAGAAGCACCATGCTAACATCGTCTGGAAAAACATCTGCTATGCTTTCCCAGACCTGCGGGTTTGATGTCTTGACGAGAGAATACACAAGTTGGTGTGCCCTCGCCGCAATGACATTGGTCGCACGCATGGCAAGCAGCCAGCCAACGAGCTGTCGTACACCGTGTGCCGACACCGAATATGAGTCAGCGAAATGGTCTGGGCATGCAATTGCGTTCATCAAGATAGCGAGCGCTTGCATCACTGTATGGGCCTTTACGTCAGCATTAGGAAGCTGTACACAGATAAGGAAGACTTACCGTTATGAACAATGGTCCACCATGGCCCCTTTTCGTACAGAGTCGCTATGTCAGGAACTGTCCCCAAAAGTGCCACCACATCGCTAGCTGCTTGAATGCAGGCCTCGGCCATGGATTGGTCCAAGCTGGTGAATTCACCCGACCCAGATTCCGTGGAGCGCTCGATGCGACGAAGCGAAGGGCGTGTCATTAGGATCTTGACGCGGTAGTACTGGAATTTAAGTAGAGAGTTATCACGCTGTTGGTTGTAATCCATGGCCGAATTTTCCGAATGCAAGTGGGGAACGCAATCCACAACCCATTTGTCCAAATCCCCTACCAACGCAACCATTGTCTGCTGGACGCGAGACCATGGGGGAACCAGTTTTCGTTGGGTATACAGACTGTATATTACCTGCTGCGTTAGCATGTGTAAGCTAGAGTCAGCGTCTAGGAACGCCATGTTTGTTATTTTGGGAGCACCTTGTCCATAGGCGCTGGATATTGTGTCAAAAAAAGTTTTTGATGAAGGAGTCGTGATTTCATCACCTGGCAGAGTATTTGGGCGGCCCGTGATTGAGCCCAAGAGGCTCTCTAGTGCATGTAGACTCCACCATGTGTCTATTCGACTTTGCTGTCTGGCTGCAGACATGGAAAGGTCCTCCTGTTGAACATGGAGTCCCAGGGAAAGTGCAGATTGCATGGCTCTACGGGCCATCATCCAGGCTCTATCGATGCATAGTCAGTAGGCGAAGATTTTAGATGTGAGGATATGACAAAGTGAAGCATTGGTCCAGTGCAGACTATGCATAGTGGCACGTACCTGTTGAAATGGCCAACACTCATGTAGTAAATACTAAAAAGACCAGCTGCCTGTAGGCGATTAGCGATATTATAATTACCTCAAGGAAAAGCGAGCTACCTGAGTAGAAGACAGATCTGGAGTTGAGAAGCCAAAGGCAGAATCATTCATTGCGAACAACTGATAAGCACGTGATATGTATGTGACATGATCGAGAGTAGCGGCGCGCCAGTCATTTTGGATAAGATGGGAGAATTTGGCTCCAATGGCGAAGACGAGGTTGACCAAGGCAAACCAGTTCTGTGGATAATGAACTTCCTTGTGGCTGTAGCTCAGGCTGTAATACTGGTGCAGCTGTGCCTCAAGCATGGCTGGTAGGATTGGAAAAGATTTCTGAACAGTGCGTTTGAAATAATGGAAGAGAAAGCTTGCGATTTGTTCTGAGGGCAGCTCAAAAGGATTGCCGCCATGGATAATCTTGTCACCTTCGTCATCCATATAATAGGTGATGGGGGCAATATAGGAGGGAACCTGGCTGGCCGTAGTGAAAGCTGACGATGAGATAGGGGCCGGAGGTGTCTGGAATGCCATGGGCACTGAAGCACTTGTTGGTTCTAGGCCGAGGGGGCCGACAACCTGGACCCTGTTTCTGAGGCTCTGCAGCCATTGAACTTCAGATACCTGGCTTGGGAACCCTACTTCAACTACATCGAAGAGATCTGCCACTGCTTCTTCACCTTCATCGTCTGACTCGTCGGGGAGGATACCGTCTAACCGGGGCAGTGATGATTGGTTGCAGTCGATTGATGATCCTAGAACCTGGGTCGAGGAAGAAGTAGTAGTAGGCTGTAAGTGCGAATGCTCTTGCTTTTGGTACAAGGAGGCGACGGATAGCTGAGAAGAGGAAGAGGGTGTGAAGGCTGGCGGGGTGGATTCGTCGTCGGACTAGGCCAAGTTAGTTTTGGCTTGATATTGGGATATGGAGGGTTGGAGACTTGCATTCTGGAGAGCATCTATAACTCTTTGCCTGTCATCGCCTTCGAGACGCAGACTAAGGTCCTTGAGGATGGAGACTAGCGCATCATTGCGTGCATTGGCACTGCGTGCGAGTCAGGGCATGCACAGCAGGGCAAAAAGGGTCCGGGGGTACTCACAGAGCCAGGCGGTCTCTCCGTGGACGCTCATAAACACAGGGCTTGTCAGTCTTGTCGCAATGGTTGCACCGGGGAAGACCGCCACTGCATTTGATTTCTGGAAATGTCTGGTTAGCTGGGGGTGAAGGGTGTAGATGCCACGACCCACTTCTTTTGTGACAGTTGCGGCATGCTAGTTGGACCCGGTCTCTCGGACGTGACTTGGAAGTGGTTGTTGGCAGAGCGCGTCGCGAAGAAAGACGCGGAATAGCCACCTTGAACTGTACTGGGTAGGGTCCGGTCAAGGCTGAGCCTATGGGCCGCTGGTCGTCTTGCATCAGAACCGGCCACTGGCAATCTGTAGGTTGCAGTGGGTGATGTGGCGAGAGCAAGAAACCATGGGGCGCGGAGCTTGGATGGTTAGGTATTCTCTTTCCTGCCTGCGTCATGGCAATCTACTGCACGTACGAGGGAAGGTCGGGCTCTATGTGTGCCTGCCCTGTGATTGGCTGCGGTGTTCTGACCCGACGCAGCACTACGTCCTATCCGCGTCCCCTGCTCACGCCTTCGCACTACTTGACCGCAAGAAACAGCCATTGACACCTCAACGAACACTGAAAAACAGACCATATCAACACGGCGTACAGTCAAAGGTTCCTACATGTTTGCAATACGGCCACAAAGTCACAGCCCTGCCACTTCCTCCAACCACAACCCGCCCACTCCCTCCTCCCTGTCCTTGGCATCCATTCTCTCTCTTATCTTGTCCGTGTCACCACCTTCTGCCGTTCTGTAAAGGACAACGTCGCCATACCAGAATCCTCCTTCTGCAACACGCGCTTCCTCGTCTTCATTTCTCGGGAGCCGCAGCACAACTTCTGCGCCCTCGTTGAGCCCTGCCACGCCTTGGACACGACCAAGCCTGAATCTCGATACGCACTTCTCTTTTTGGCCTTCGTCGCCGATCATGGCTCGGTACACCTTGCTTGTCTGCTCCAGCATATCTTGATCCTTCACGATGACCGTCAGCTCTTTGACACCCACTGCCCCACATGCATGCTTCGTCTTCTCCTTGCTCATCGGCACTCTCACACTCCTTTCCGTCTCGTCGTGGCAGAAAAACGGTATCCGCCCCCTTACGTCTTGTCCGCCCTTGTCTCCTCTCGGGAAAGTGACACTCCACTTGACTTGGACACCATCCGCCCTCTTCCTCCCTCCATGAATCGGCTCCCCATGGCTTTCCCTCACGTTGTTGTAGTTCTCTGACGGAGGCAGACTGTTTGTCAGGCACCAATCTTTCCAGCCAACAAATGTAGAAGAAGGGCCCCACCAGTGGCTAGACACGAGTGATGCCGGGGCAGTGGGAACAAAGGAGATAAGCTCGATGTAACAGCCATCCGAGAGGATGATCAGAACATTAGATGTTGCACCATCGGCATGAAAGCCACCAGGAGTCAGAGTGAAATTCTCCGACAAGTACGAGGGAACGCGGGGGAGTAGCGTCTGCGGGTCTGCGGGCACAAAGAGAATCAAGTGGTCCAAACACTGGTTTGGCGGCATGTTGAAATCTGGAGCTGATTGTATCTTCTCTGGGTGCTGTGCCCAGGTACCATGATGTTAGGTAGTTTCTGCGCATCATACATGCGGGGTTGTAATAATACTTTGCCAAATATGGAAAGGAGCTATGCCGTGGGGGGAATGTGGGGTGGGGGTAGTAGTAGCACTGTCGGATTTCTTCCCTTCCTTGAGAACTTCACTTTCGCACACTCAAACTCCGGTCACTGATTTGATTGTCGATTTCGCATTCGGCGCCTCAGCAACACCTCTACCGTGAATGCACGCCTCCGAAATAACATAGTGCACAGCTCTGGGCAATCCTACTCTTAGTCAGACGACAATGCCTTCGATAGCACCATTGCCAGTCCAAAAATCGATCCGGGCCGATCCTCTCGCGCCCTGACTTGCATCTTTTGTGGATTCATGAACTACGTCATTTGCTGCGCGTCACAGCGTTTCTGGTCCCATTATCTTGTACATGTATACCTTGACAGGTGTGTCAGACGTTACGCAACGCCCTTCCGGCCCAATAACAAAGCGTACGGCACATCATTGCCGTCGCGCTTGACGGAACGAGCCGCTAGCACCAGGAACTGCACGGAAACTTTCTTGCGCCCCTACATATGCCCCACATTCATGCTCTGCCGACAGACCGTTGTTGCATTATCGGTATAACTTGATGCTGCTAGTTCGACGGTCCACATGGGCAATAGATATTTTCTGTTTCCGCTATCCTGACACATACGACCATCGGCAAAGTAATTCACTGGCTCTCGTTTGCTCGCCGCACGTTAAGCCTTTGACCGGCGGACTAGTAGTCAGGTGGGTGACCACTGGCGAATCCCCGCTGTTGTATGTTTTTTGGATTTCTTTTGACTTTTTTGCATGGGTCACGTGGTCGTGTAATACCTGGGAATGCTTGGATTATTGCGCATTTCTTGGCAGAAAATGATACAAGGTAGGCTTTTGGGAGTGTCTGGGGATGCCCATCGGCCTTTGAAAATGACAGTTACGTGTTCAAGTACTGAAACACATGAGACCGAGAAATCAATATTCACAGATTTTGAGAAGCCACCTTCGTATTGTTGTAATGATATTTGAACGCGACTGTAATCTGAAAGTGATTTTGCGGTTCGAGAACGAGAGGGTAAGAGTATTCGTAAAGCGACGCAATCACCAGCAGATCAATCACTTTGAAAATCAGTTCCCGAACAATCGAATGACAACTCTCATGGCACTTTGTCCAATCGCAGGTACATCTTCGCCATCACCTAGCGGAGAGACATGCGCCTCGAAACAGAAAAGCTTAATACTGTGCTCGTGGTCATGGTCATGTCAACATAAAGATCGCTAGTATTGAAACCATGAAAGTAATTACTTTTGAGTTCAAGGCACAAGCGTCCCAGACCATGAACATGTAAATTCTTGTTCACTTGGTAAACTCAACGAAACTAAATGTGGTGATGAATCCCAAAAGTGGCCATACTCCTGACCACCAAACTGTTTCGCTACAGCCCCCTTTTCGGCCCTGTTGTATGTCATTACGTGGAAAAATATCGAAGCAGCAAACATCTTTCTAATTATCTTTCATGGAATTGTTTTCCTTGAAATTTTTGTACGTACAAACTCACTCATACTTCAACTGGACACTTCGTCACTACAGCACCTTTTACAGGCCACACTACAGTCTCGTAGTACCGTTAGGAGAGCTCAACCCAACTGTCAATATGTCAGCTCCTCTTAGTTACAGTACTGGTAAGAAAGAAGACACCGAAGAACATGACTCCAATGACAAGACTTCCCCCCAGCGCGGAACATCAACACCAATCGATGGAAAGTTGGCGAGGCTTCAAGGGATCTCTAACAACGTCGATACTGACAACACACCAGCCGATGGAGAACAAAGTACAGGTCAGTCGTTCAATACCAGCAGCGACTCATTAACCCAGTCGGTCGAGGGCAGTGAGGGCGAATTGTCGGACGATCCAGCGCCTTACATTGACCGTGAGCTCATTAACAAACCACGATGGCCAGAAGAAAATTTTGAGCCCCACGAAACGGATGTAACCAAAATCAGAGCAGTGTTTCATCTCAAATTGACCGATGGTAGCGGATGGTACACGCAAAGAGACATATTGCCTGAGCAGCGCCAGTCAGCCGAAGAAGACGAGGACAATGACCACAATACTTTTTTCGTTCCTGAGCTCACAGCATACAAGGTTCCCCAGAGGCCCAAAGCTGAAAATGGTGCCACCTATTCCCCTTGGACCAGGGTCTCCACATGGCGATGGAAGCGAACTGCAGATGACGAAACAGAGTTCTGGACTCCGAAATTTGCCTTCCGTCGATTTCACGCTCGCACCCATAAATACGAAGGGATTTATGTCGGCGAGACGCGGATCAAAAACATCGAGCCCAATAACAAGGCCTGGGTCTCCGCATACCACAAATGGATCGACCAAATCAAACGCCGTTCAGATAGCAGTTGGGTGCACGAAAAACGACGGGATCACTGGACCGTACCCGAGATTTGCGCCATGTACAATGGCATCAACGAGTTTGTAAACACCAATGGTATCGACGCTTACCACGGGATATCGAATGTTAGTCTGCAGCCGACACTCGATGCAATCAATGCGGCGGGGAACAAGAATCGCGGGATGGATGCACTGCGCGGGCAGATGAGTTCTGCGCACGAGTTGAAAAATACAAGTATGGCTTATCTGCGTGAAAATGTGCGGGATCTGGTCAAGTATTTGGAGGATGGGGGGATACTGGATGATGAGGAAAGGTTTCCTGAGAAGTTTATTCCAGAGGAGGAATTTCCGACAGCTCCTAGGGGGAATGCGCGGAGACTTGGGAACAAAAACACGTCTTCAGGTTAGAAGGTGAAGGATTTGGTGGTTAGTCTAGAGGGTGATGCTCCCAGTAACATTACACTGGAAGATAGGGTATAGGTTTGTATTTGCTGAAGAAAGAGTTGGGAATCTTGCCTACAGCTGATGCCTCAGAAATGACTTCTTGTGGCGGACGAGGATCATCGAATACCTAGTTTTGCTATAAAAAAAATCGATGTTTGCATTTCCTATCCTATCCTATTATGCTAGCGTACCTTCCTCACGACCCAGGTGACTTCTTCCGCGGAATCACATGAGACCTCACCCCCTATCAATCCGTAGTCATTCATGGAACGACGCAGCATATCAGATGACGCTACAAACAATGCATTCAGAAGCTGTAAACATGGCTGACAACCTTTCATCTTCTGTTTTGCAAGGCCCATTTGAGGGAACCAGTTGTGCGCTGGCGGACACCCCGCAGAAATTGCCCGGAGAAGCCTGTGAGCGAAAGGAAATGTGCAGCAATCAAGACTCAGAACCTCAGGAGGCCTGGGATGAGATCAGTGCAATATGTTCTAAGAGAAGGCTGAATCGCAGTGAGGAAGAGGACAGCCTGGATGATCCTCCGAAGAGCACGACTGGATTCGAAGTGAACTTCTCTAGCGATCTTCCAGAGCCACTGGATCCAGAGCCATTGGTATCAGACTTGGCGGCTTTCAGTGAAAGCAATCGGGATATGTCAGAAGATTGTGTTGCGGTGAGCAACGAGAATGTCGAGCAATCGAGCCACACCATTACAGAACTGAGCAATCGCTATGGCGCAACCTCCACAGTCAATGCAATCGGATTGGGTCTCGCTAACGACTCTTCACCGTCATTTCCTTGTCGTAGCGAAAACGTGACTACCAAAGTATCTGACTGGCTTGATTATGGATTCTTGAACCCTTCATCCCCTATGACTGACTATTTGAGGCCGGACAACAGGGGCACTGATCGCCCCTTCCCCTCTAGGCGTGTTGCGCTATCAATGTTTCCACCTAGATCGCCATTTACAGGGAATCGCGAGTATACACCACCTAACAGCCCATTTCTTCAGTCATTCAGCCCGATTTCGCCGTTGAACAATGGGAGAGACGTTTATGGCAATTACATCCCTTCGAACACACGTGATTACTTCACTACACAGCTACTGTCTTCTTCGCCAAACTCTCAACCAATCAACAAGCACAAGACTCCATCTGTGAGCGGGAAGTCATCATCAACAAGTCGGCTACATGGCTTTCGCTGGGACAAGCTGAAATCGCTTTGGAAAGTAGCTGATACTCAGGTATTCGGCCCACGAACCAATCCTCATCCTCTGCAACTCATCCCCAACGAAGACTTCATACCGCAGGAAACACCCATAGTCACATATGCAAGATGGCCTATCAATCAAGCTCCACTCAGTATCTGTTCGCGGTTGCTTGCAAGTCAGCCTAGAACAGACTTGCAGGCGGTGGACAGTGTGAAAAGCAGACCCTCTACCTGTACTAGCAGAAGTGATGCAAAAGAAACTAACTCACAAACGAGAGCACAACAATTGGCCGACACAAACTGCACTCCAACTCACAATATTCACTCTAATGCCATAACAGGCAATGGCAAAATTACCCCCAGAGACGAGAAGAGATGGCACAAAGACAATCTTCCGCCACCACCTAGATTTCTACCAGCGCCGCCTCCCCAAAGCGTTCGAGCTCAACAGCGAAATGTCAACTTGTCTCTGTATGCAGAAATGCAGAGTCATGGAGTTAAATCGCTTGCATGTAACAAGAAGGACTGTAAACCTAACAACGGACCTAGAAATGAATCACCTGGTGCTTGTCGAAAAGACGAAAGCATTCGAGAAATGCGATTTACAGAGAGGCAGGAGCGGCCATCGAGAAAAACAAACGGCGAACGCCAGGAGAACCTCGGGTACCGAGAAGAAGCACACAAACAAAAGCATGATCTGATCACAGCTGGATGTGAAGATGGCACCACCAAGACAATAACAGAACGCGATTTGGATAGCCGCTTCGAGTTAAATCTCATAGTAGACTCGGATCCACAATCTTCCAAGGTTCCAGCCGCATCATCACGATACTTGCCTCTTCATAGCCCCATTCCTGTTTCTCCTCAGTACTCGAACGAACAGATGAGCCACACGGGAACATTTGGCCATGCCGCTGCTATCCCATCACCAAAACCTGTCGCGTCGGCTACTATCCAAAAACATCAAACTTCGCTTCATTCTGCGCTTTCGAAAGCAGGAAAACTCTCACGCTCTGTCCTGAATTTACCTTTTGTAACTGGATCGAAATCTGGTTCACAGTACCATCGACTGGTAGACTTGAACGAGAATGAGCCGACAAGAATTAGTATGAGTGCAGATAGCAATGGGTGGCCTCGCACGTGTGATTCGGGCCCAAGAAAAGAAATGAAGAGATGCAGCAGGGAGAAGGAAAATGGAACGAGAAAGATTGAAGGCCTAGATCCCGAGAGTTACTTTGATACAAAAGGCTCTGGAGGAAACGAGTACTTAATTGCACCAGCAGTAAGTAATGATGCTGATGGGTCTCAATCAGCTGGTTTTACGAAGCGACAGAATGTACCTACTCCCGGTGTCGAACTTGCTCCTACCTCCAACCTGAACGATACACCGGATCAATTCCAAGCAGACTTCGCTACGCGGTACAAGGCGAACGGCGCTATGCATTCTCATCAAACGACTCAAGAATGGCTTGATAGCATCGTTCTCAGAGCCAGTACTACGACACAACCCAGACTCAACAGAAGCAGCGACTCCAACGATAAAATTGATCACCCATCTCACCCTCCATCCACCCCGATATTGTCTACTCACAACAGTCACGCAAGTCTCGACAGTGCCACACAAGAAGCTCTTTTCGTCGCTGAACGTATCCGCCAACACGATGCAAGATTTAGCGCCGACGGCGAGGGAACTATGATCCGATCGAGTTTCAGCTCTGATTCTTCAGACGAGTTTACACAGCAAGAGGAAGAGGAAGAGAAGCAGAAGCAGAAGCGGGAAAAGCAGAATTTTTGGGGAAGGCAGGATCTTGCTAGGGTTATGGCGTCGATGCGTTCGTATGAGTAGATTCTATGCTATGCTCTCTTACTACGAGGCAGGGAGTAGCTTTTATAGGATCTCAATGGAAGGTGAATAAGGGAATGAAGGTGTGGTATATGATTTGGAAATATCAGAAAATATATGCATTTTTTGAGAAACTTGTTCTAGGCAATGGAGATGAAATAGTCCAAGATGATTTACAAGAGTTCCCGACTCAAACTTGCTCCACGGAAGTATCTTCGTGTAGTGCCACTACAGCAATGCGTAATATATGAACCAACACGTTGGGGGGAAAGGCGTGGAAAAAAGGAAAAAAAATTGATAATTTACATCCCTTTCTCCTAGCAAATCTACAATAATGTTACATCTCCTCTAGAGAGCAGCCAAAAAAAACCGGCGCTACGATCCAGTGAAGCCCCCCCCCCCTCCCCCGCAAAAAAAAAGAGATACAAAATACAAACCCAAAAGTCTCGCAAAGAGTAGAATTTGCCTCTTGCACCAAAGAAGAAGAAAAAAAAGACTCGCAAGCCCCAGCCATCCGCAATCCAACCCTCAATAATCACAATGACTATACTCATACAAGCTGCCCACCCCGGCAACCGCGACCACACACGCCAGGGCGTCGTGGCGATCCCAAAAATATTCCTTCATCCACTCTACGACCATATGCAGGGCGGAGACGGGTGAATTGCAGGTCCAAACCTTGCCATGCCTGGTCCAAGGCGCAGACTGCCACTCGGTTTCGGGAAAGCGGTGCTGCAGGCAGGGCAGCAGCGAGCGAGGCGCGGCAACGCGGGTGCCGTGCAGACTCCCTGCTTGGACTAGGTGGGCGATGCCTGAGGAGATGGTCATGATGGCCAGGAGGTTTGTGTTGAGGCATTGGGCGGTAAGGAAGGCAGAGGCCGGGGGAGGGAGGTTGGTTAGGGTGGAGGTGCCGGGGATAAGGAGGATGTCGAATTGGGGGGCGTTGATGAAGGAGTTCTGTGGTTGGGAAATCGTCAGTTATTTTGTTGTTGTTGTTGTTGTTGTTGTTGTTGTTGTTGTTGTTGTTAGAATTTTTTAATTTTTCGAGGGAGAAGAAGGGGTGTGGGAGAGAGGATATGAGGAGGGGGGAGGGGATCGTGTTAACCTTTGTCTCCCGTGCCAGACTTGTCAGAGATGACTACTTTTGATACGGAAAAAGAGCAGCCAAGACCGGGCGAATCCAGCGGGGCCAAAAAGGAGGCTTCTTCTTGGCTGGGAGAATGGGCGGTAACGGGAGGATGGATGGAAAAGGCATGTCGGTGTTGGTTTGTGGGAGCGAATTCAAAGGTTTAGCTCACCGTCACCGGCATTCGCGAACCAGCTGTGACGGGGAAACTTCCTTCTCCCGTCATGCTAACGTATCGAATGTCGATCTCGTCCACGGCTTGATCCAGTGCTGCAGCCGTGGGGTTGAATTTGCTGACCCGATTTTTGCTAATCATTGCGAGAAGGTCGAGAGCAGCCAAGTCGAGTAGTTGGACTTGACCCAAAATAATGACGCCAATTTTGAGTGAGGATCTTGAGGGAGCTGCATAGTGGAGGTTGAGATTTTCTTGGGAGGTCGATGATGTAGTGCAGTAATAGAAGAGGTCTGCTTGACTCGGAAAGGAAATACTAGAATTTCCTGTAGGAGACGACATGAAGGTGTCAGGAAGGACCGAAAAGAGACTTGAATATAAATTTGGCTAGACTGAAATTTCTGAATCTGTAGAGCTCGGTGTGAATAATGTATTCTCGCCTTGCGGCCTGAGAAACAGCTTTATATCACACATTACATACATATGTGATGAGCCATCCTGCATCACTCAAATCCACGTAACGTCGCCAAGGATAGCAGGCGCCACGCCCAAGCGTCATACGGGGATAAATGCCGCGCTTACATGGCGCTCCTGCGCTATACTGATGATGTACATAGGTGAATTGCGATGCGGCTGAGCCCCTGGAAAGGTTGATGACTTTCCGGTTAGGGCCCGCTCGCGAACCGACAGTTCCCGACCCTCAGCATTAACTCTGGACATGACGTTGTATGATGGACTTGCAGTGATTCATGTGGTGATTTTTTTAATGTCAAAACCCGCGCATTCAATGCATCTCTGGTGTACATTTCATTGTTTGTTTTGGGCGACTGGAGCGTAAAGTTGTTGCCTATGTGCCGTCCTGATGCTGCACAGATTGAGGATGCTAGGCATCACTATTTGCGACCATGTCAATGGACCATGACTCTGGGTAGACGGCACAAGCAGCGGCAGCGCCGAACCGTAATCGCGTATTAAGTAACCATGGACAAAGTCGAGTCTGGTCCGAAGGGGCCTAAAAACGGAGGTGAAGGGAAGAGTCGGAGGTGAGTGTGGTCAGCTGCCATGCAAGGACGAGCGTGGCAGATGCCATGGCGACAAGTATAGCACTGGGCGTTGCGAGGGGCCAGGCAGGGACGGCGACCCGGCTTCAACTCGTGGCATGTGACCTCGACGGGCCGCTTGGGGCAGAAGCAATCTGGTGGAACACCGAGATGCCGCGAGCAGGCGGTGCGCAATACGACGTCAAGCCCACACTACAGCTCTGACGTATGTATAGCATACGGGGTTGCATCTGCTACAGTCTCTGCAAAACGTGATGCGTTGCACTTCATAGGCCATCATGTGTATGTACGCATGTTATGGTGCGGGGTATCCTTATTCAATTGCAACATCTAGGTATACGTTGCTCGAGGTGTACAGGGCCGTCGCGGCAGCACAAAGGCTTACTCACAATGCGACCGTAGTAATGTTCACCGCGTCTTGTCCAAAAAAACAAACAAACAAATGTACTAGAAAAACCAATGCCCGTTGGCGGTGTATGTTCTGCCCTAGACCTCCTTGGCCTCACCGTCGGCCTCGCCCGACTTGACCGTCTTTCCGGTCTTCTTGATCTTCTCCAGGACGGTGTCGTAGTCGAGCGAGTCGGCAGCGGTAATCTCAGCAGTCTGGTTCTCGAGAGAGACATTGTATGACTCGACACCTGCACGCTTGTTAGAGTCTGTCGTGGCGCAACTGCTGCTGAGCACGGTACTGACCATCAAGCTTCTTAAGCACGCGCTCAATGGCGCCAGAGCAGCCGCCGCAGCTCATGGCAACGTTGAACTTGTATGTGTGGGTCATTGTGTAGGTTGTAGGTGTGTGATATCGGCTTGGTCGGAGGGTTGGTGGTGGTGGTCTTGAGGGTTAACGTGGATTTGGCGAGATTTTGTGTTCAATGTTAGCAATCATTAAAGCGGTCACGCAAGAGGTACTTATATACAATCGACTACATCGCGCGCTAGCGTATGTAGGAACTTTGACCAAGGGATATGAGCAAGTTTCAAGACAATGGTGCAATTCGGCTAGATTGCAATAGATTGTGGTCGTGCTCCGCTGACATATCCAGCCTTTGCCATGACAGTCCGGCAGGTGGAACCCGTTGCGCCTCAGCAAGGCGCATTTCTCATCTAAGGTTTGAGGGTCGGACAATTTAGTGGGGTGAAACTTGCTCACGGAGAACGTCCTTTGGCCCAGAATGGAAATTATGCCATCGCTGATCTTGTGGACAACACCGTGTCCCCTGCCGTGCCTTTGTAGATCAAACTGTCGCTCCGCATCTTCCGCATGGTGAGCATCAGCAACGAGTGTGATGGTGATGCGATGCTCCATATCGTCCGGACAGACTCGAGATGGCAACAGTAGTACTGAATACCGGTCCGATCAGAAATGCCCAATGACCAAGCTGCGGAAACATAGCCCATGAGGTACCAAACGGTTTCTTGCGCTGCTCGCATGTTGCAAAGATCTAGTTGTTTCCTCTATAGCCAAGCAGAGAAACGCAGAGTCGCCCGGCATCATCGGGCCCATGTCGCGTGCTAATCTTGTCTTGTTCCTGATGCTGAACCCTGAGACTGAGCGGCCCCACGTTGGCTAGCGCGGGGACCTGGGCTGGCCTGCGACTGCGGCGGTGACGTCTTTGGGCAGAGCTTGTGCTGTCCATGCCAGCCAAAAAAACATTCCTCTACCATGGCTTCGTAGGTACAACGCAGGTCTCGACATGCCCCTCCACTTACCAAATGGCCAGCAATATCCTCTTCCTTCCCTTCCGACGCTCGCACTCGGTCAACCTCAGCGATGCCGTCAAGCAGTACATCTCGTCCAAATATGACCAGCACCCGGACATGTTCACCAAGGACATCGAGACGTTCGAGAGGCTCCGCTCCGTCGCCACACATGCTCAGGAAGCCCACCCGAGCAACATCCCCAAGTTGCAGCAATACGCCGCGCAGCTGATATGGCTGAGCGGCAAGTTCCCCATCGACATCGGTGTCGAGTTCCCCTGGTATCCTGCGCTGGGATACAACACAAGCCGCCCGACATCGCGCAACAATCTCCGGTTCGAGCTCGCCAACATCATGTTCAATCTCGCTGCCATGTACTCGCAACTGGCAATGTCGTCCAACCGAAGCACGCCAGACGGGCTGAAAGCGGCCGCCAACAACTTCTGTCTCGGCGCCGGCGTTTTGTCCCACCTGAGAAACAACATCTTGCCCGATCTTCGGACCGAACCTCCAGAAGATATGGATCTCATGACACTCGAGTGCCTGGAGAAGCTTCTGCTGGCTCAAGCCCAAGAGTGCTTCTGGCAGAAGGCGGTCAAAGATGGGCTGAAAGATGCCACGATTGCAAAACTAGCCGCACGTGTGTCGGATCTCTACAATGAAGCGGGGGACGCAGGTATACAATCGGACGCAATCAGCAGTGAGTGGATACACCACATGACAGCAAAGCATCATCACTTTGCTGCTGCTGCCCAGTACCGTGCAGCTTGCGACTCCCTCGAGAAGCGCAAGTATGGCGAAGAGGTTGCAAGACTACGCGACAGTCTCACATGCGTCAATGAAGCCCTCAAAGAACAGCGTTACATCAATAAGGCCGTGTTGGCTGACTTGAACGGCTTGAAGAATCGCATAACCGAAGACCTAAAGCGTGCCGAAAAGGACAATGACATGATTTATCTGCTGCCCGTTCCACCAAAGGCAGAACTCAAGATACTGGATAGAGCAAACATGGTGGTAGCAAGGGTTCCAAAGGAGATTGCAGAGTCCAACTCAATGCTAGGGGAGCACGGCGAGCTTGGCCCAGCACTCTTTTCCAAATTGGTACCATACTCGGTACACCTGGCAGCAAGTATTTACGTCGATCGCCGCGATCGATTGGTCAACGGTCAGATCGTTGAGCAGTTGGAAGCGTTGACGGACAAGATCCACGAGGTACTCCGTAGCTTGAACCTGCCGGGGTCGCTCCAGGCTCTCGAGAAACCACTAGGCCTGCCGCCAGGTCTGGTTGCCCACGCTGATGAGATACGCCAACAAGACGGCATCAACCGACTTCTACGCTCCATGGAAGACACCAAGAAGCTCATGTATACCGACCAAGCCATCTACCAGGAAGGTGTCGACATCCTGCGCTCAGAAGCTGCAGAGGATGAAGGCGCACGTCGGAAATTCGGCACTGAGCAATGGACCCGACCACCTGCCGCGCAGGCTGCGCCCAAACTACACGCTCAGATTGCTGAAATTGATGGCTACTTCAAGGCTGCAACAAACAGCGACAACATTGTAAAGACCAAGCTCAAGGAAAACGAATACTTCATCAAGCTACTTAGTGGACCAGACCATGAACTGGAGAACTATGTGCCCAGTGGTCGTAGACCTGCCATTACTGGAGATGTAGAACGTGAAGCCGTCAAGTTACGGGGCAGCTTCAATGAAGTGAGCCGACTTGAGAGCAGACGGCGGCGAAAGATTGAAGCGCTGAGGACCAAGGCGAAACAGGATGACATCAGTAGGTGTTGCACTGCCATGTCGCTGACCAAACCCTGACAAGACATTAGACCCGGAGCTGCTACGCGAAGCCGCTCGCTTAGAGCGGGAGTATCCTATGCAGACGATCGAGGCTGTACAGTTTGAGAGCTTGTTTGATAAGCGACTACAGATGTACGATGCTGACTTGGACATGGTTCAAGAAGAGGAGAAGGAACAGGCCGAGGCGATCAAACGGCTACAAGACGCAAACGCTGCCTTTTTGATTGCTCGTCGCGGAGACCAGTCTACTAAGAAACGTGAACAGGCATTGCAAAACTTGGAGAACGCGTACTTCAAGTACAAGGAAATCATCTCCAACCTTGATGTCGGCCGCAAGTTCTACAACGACCTTGCCAAGATTGTGAATCGGTTTAGGGATGAAGCGCGGACTTTTGCCTACAACCGCAAGTCGGAAGCATCCCATCTGGAAAGGTATGTGTGTGTGTTGGGGCAGTTGGTGGTTTATTGCTCTATACTGATGACAAATAGCGATCTTACGACCCGGATGAGCTCGCTCGGTCTTCAGCAAGCAGCGTCAAGCTCGCTGCAGCAGCAGAAGCAAGCCGACGCACAGGATCCCCACTATGGCGCAAGTGCACATGCTGAAGAGCCACTGACTGCACCAACGCCTACGAGGGCAAGTATGCCTCCGGCTGCAGGCATGTGGACTCCAGAAGTAGGAATACGGTTTGGTGGTCCCCCAACAGCGTCTGGCAATGCTCGACCTTCGGGCGGACCTCCGCAAGACGGGAGGTGGGATCCTGCCCAAGGACTGAAATTTGGTTAAACACGCCAAGGGCGCCATCAGCATTGGTCCATTTTTCACGGACGACTATATTGGATCATAGCCATGACCGACAGGAAGACATTTGTTTTGGACCAAGCCAATGCATGTAGCCCTTCTGATCACACGAAGAGAAGGCGGGGGGTCAGGCCATGGCAGCGTCGTAATCCAAGGTAGGGTGGTGGGTTGTGAAGTAAACAGCAGTGCTGCCGAGACGTTGGGTCATTGGGCCCTGGCGGGTTGTGGGCGTGTAATTGTGTAGTCGATGCAGCACATGAAGAGGACATTACGTGTGCATGCGCATCATCCCAAGAAGTAATGGGCCGAAGGACAAATGCTATAAATATCGCTGCAGAAGGCATGTTATGCTGCACTGCACATAGTTTGCCGAAAAGGGCATAAGGGCTTGGTGTATGTACGTATGTACGTAGAATGGCGGGGACGTGGTCATCAGCCCTGAGGGAGTGTGCCTTGCGACATGTGTGGAAGCGAGGCAGTGCACAAAGGGACCGCCCACCGGCCTTGGACGCCCTCTGCCAAGAAGTAGCGCGACCCGTGAAATCAAATCTGCGGTTTTGCACGTGCAGCTTTGCCGCCGGTCAGCTTGATGCCGACCGTTTCATGGCCGTTCGGCGATACTGGTCTTCTGCAATCCTGACGGCGACCACTCGTTGCAGCTGGTGGGAGCGTGGGCCAAGTGAGGAGCCTGCCCCAATTCACACCTGTCATTTGCAGTACACGGTCGACCAGAAGCCGTCTGGGTGTATAAGATTGGGGCGGTCGGAGCATCGAGCACAATGATTCTGCAAAACGTCACAGCTGTCGGGTAGCGGTCAGCTCAGCTCCCATTCCAACGGCGCTGCCAGATTAGCCCGCCGCCGTTCGCGCAACACCAGTCATCTCCTGCCGGCGTGTCTTGTCCTTGTGTGTGTGTGTGCGCGCGCGCACAGTCTCTCCCTGCTTCGCTCTCTCGCTCTCTCGCTCTCTTGAGTTGCTCGTACCGGCACAAGGCCACGGCAAGCAAACCACCTCTCCTCCAGGGTCGAGGACAACGCATAACTCTTCGCTCAGCCTGGCCGTTTCACTGCTCGAGCGACTGAAACGCGGGAACTCACGAGAGAACTCTTGCAGTGGGATTCCCATCGCGGGGCTAATAATAGCAGGCTAGACCGCTTCGAGCGACATTGCTCTTCGTGAGGTGGGCTGTGTCTGCGACCGACGACGACACTGCGCCTCCTTCACACTCACCAGCCCCAGCCGTCAAGCCAGTCAAGAGAATACATTGCGCGTTCCTGGCGGGCTTTGGACCATTCAGCGTTCGTGCCTGTTTCTTGGTGTCGTTGACTTCTCCACGCGGGCCCAAGCGCGGCTCTCAGGGCTCACTCCCTCCACATCCCACCTATTGTTAGGAACGCGAATACCTACATCATGGACATCCAGCAACGGGGGCGCTCCCCCTCGGCTGGCCAGCATGCTCATAAAGACCACTCCCCCTCGCCCACCTCACACCCGCCATTCCAGCACCAGCCCAACGCCGTCTTGGGCTTCGACGCCATCCAGGGCCCTTCCTCCTACGCCGTCACAAGCGCGGGGTTGAGCAACCCACAGTTCCTCACTGCAAGTCAGGGCCAGTCCTTCGGCCAGCAAACCGCCTTTTCCGACTCAAGCTACCTGCAGGCCTCGCAGAGCCTCTCGCAAAACAACACGCCGCATTTTGGCCCCCAAGGCAACAATAACAACATCTCGCCTGACCCCCTCGATCTAGCTGCCCCAAACAACGCCGACTTCAACAACTTCTTCCAGACAAACGACCTTGGGCAAAACCAGCCCTTGTCTTCGTACCTTGGCCAGACGCTTGATCCCCACATACTCGACACGCAGTCGCAACAGAACCAGTCCGTCAACCCGTCAGATCTCATGCATCAGATGGCAGCCGCACCTCACAACGCGCCGACACCACCCCACCTTCTTCCCAACATGAACAACCACCAGGGCTCAAGTCCGCACGCTTCGCCCAACATGGCTCACGGCGCATTCCGGTCCCCAGGTCACTCGCGACACACGTCGCTTGACCCTAGTGCGGCTTACGGACAAAGTTCAGAATGGGGTCAAATGGCGAGTGCAAGCTTCGGAGGACCCAGGTCCAGAGGAGGCAGTGACGCTGGCTATTCAGACGTCGCATCCTCGGCGCACAACTCGCCGTACTTGCACCAGCATGATAGCTTCGACAATGACCAGCCATCACCTCTCCTTCACGCGCAACACGACCCGCAGCTATTCCAGGACCCCGTGCCTGGGTTTGACCGATTCAACTTGAACAACAGCAATGCGCACATCAGCGCCTCAAACACCCCCAACATCTCACCTCGCCTGTTGCCCCAGAATCAGCAGGCTCTGCCACAGTTCCAGCCTGATACATTTGGCCTCAACCAGAGCATGAACCCCTATGCGCCTCAAGGTGTGAATGGCTTCTCTAACCAGAACTCGGAGCCATTTCCATCGCTGAACCAGCCTATGCCTGAATTTGGCCACGCAGATGCAATGTCACCACCAGAAATCAACATTGACTTCGCACCGCCCTCGCGACAAGCAAGCTTCGAGCCACCAAAGACCGAACCCCAGTTGGATGCATTGAGCCCGCCCGACCGATGTAAGCAGCTTAAATTGCATTGTATGAGTTATGCTGACAACAAGACAGCACGCAGTCGAAACAGGTCTCGTGCCAAATCTGACCCTTTTAGCAGTGTCAGCTCGCGCGCTTCTACTCCTGGCTCGGGCGTCCATCGGTCACTTTCTCCCAATGCTGCAAAGTCTCGTTCCCCCTCACCCTCTGGAAAATCGTCCCGCCGATCGTCCACATCCAGCATGCCTAATCGCGACTACATCCTAGACCTCGCAGACCCCACGCGGCCCGCGCCTGCCGACGGGTCAAACCCAAAGCGTACGCAAAAGCACCCAGCGACCTTTCAGTGCACTCTGTGCCCAAAGCGCTTCACACGAGCGTACAATCTCCGATCGCATCTACGCACACATACAGACGAGCGCCCTTTCGTTTGCAGTGTTTGTGGCAAGGCGTTTGCACGCCAACATGACCGAAAGAGACATGAGGGTCTCCACTCTGGAGAGAAGAAGTTTGTGTGCCGTGGTAACCTCAAGGACGGCAACAGCTGGGGCTGCGGCAGGCGCTTCGCCCGCGCAGACGCTCTCGGTCGGCACTTCCGGTCCGAAGCAGGTCGTGTTTGTATTCGACCTTTGCTGGAAGAAGAAGCACGTGAGAAGGGTGAATGGAACGGCCAGAATCAGCAGATGAACAATGGCAATGGCATGTTTGCATCGATGCCTGCTCAGAACTTCAACAGTATGATGCCTGGACAGCCTGGCTTTGAGCCGTTCGCCCAGGCTGGTAGCATGCAGGCGCCACAGCCATTCTTGCCTGCCGCTCTTCTGGCGCAGTACCCTGCGCTTGCAGGTATTCAGTGGGATCAGCTTCCTGCTGGGCCGCCTGATGAAGATGGTGACATTAGCGGGCGCAGCAGCTTCGATGCTTCGAGTGGAGGAGAATATTTCGAGGAAGAAAACGACTATCAGCAGAGTAACCAACAGCCCATGTATGCCGGTAACAACAATGGGTGGGTGAGCGACTCTTATGACGGCCGATGATGTTTTCCAACTCTGCGGCTTGTTTACACTTTCCTCCTTTCAGGGTGGATATCTGGACAACATTTCTCACGCGTTTATGACCTGGGTTTTCTTGCTGCGTTGCCGCTTGTTCTGTCGCTTCCTTGTATGTACTGCGCTTATATACCACTTTCATTGCTTCATGGCGCGAAAGCAGGGTTCACTTATACCCCCTTTGGGCTTGGGATTGAACAATATCTGGGAGTTTTACCTAAGGCGATGTGGAGAGCACTGTTTTTTTTCTTTCATCTAGATGATTGCAGATACCACACACGAAATGCACCTTTGGGAGTTTGCACTGTGCCTGTAGTAAAATGTGACGTCTCAGCCGCAACAGTCAGACACGATGAACGCCCAAAGGAAATTTCTCGTGGCTTGCTGAGGCGTACCAAAAAAAAAAGTTGAAAAAAACATGCCCTTCATCTCGACTTGTCATTTTGCTTCTCCTCGATGTGACTACAACAAAAAAGATGCTGGCTTGTGACATTAACAGGGCTCCGTAGGCCGAGCAAAATGAAAGGCAGTGCCGCCCATCCCTTCACCACCCGAAGCCACGCAAAAGAAGATGCCAACCATGTACGCGAAGTCATAGGTAGCAGAAGCATCATCATTTTCTTTTTTCAAAAAAGGCAAAAAGGATGCAAAGGGCCTGACCGGGATTCGAACCCGGGGCCTGTCACATAACAGATACACTGTATCCAGGTAGAGAAACCCCTAGATGGTTGTTAGGACGGTGTTGGTTGGGTGTTGGTGGCGGCGGCGGGGCAAGCTTACGAAGCGACAATCATACCACTAGACCATCAGGCCGATGCTCTTCGTCTGATTTGATGGCAAATTTTGGGGCAGCACCATTGTTGATGTTGGTGAAATGCCATCACGAATACATGCAGCTTGGCGGGGTTGATGGTGGGCAGGGGCTTGTGGTGGGGCATCCGTATGTTAGTCAGGGCAGTGGGACGTGCTATTCATGTTGACCAGCCTCACTTTACTTGTTTGGGCAGACCTTGCGACGTTGCAAGAATCCAGAAGAATCTTGGTCGACAGGAACAAAGTCTGTGCAGACGCCTTGTCCAACGCGGTGCGGCCGGAGTAGAAGCTTTGGATCCCACGGTCCCAACAAGCACCAATGGGGCAGCAGGCAACGCACCAGTAAGTACACGTACAGAAAGACGACGACACGCAGGCATGCAAGACACCATCATGCTGCCGTCATGATTAGGGCAGGTTAGAGGCGCCGAAAGAAGGACCGCTGTCTAACGTCTGGGTGGGGTGCTGCCATAGGCTGGTGGTGAGGGTGCAACTGCACGCCTCATTCGCGCCCCAAAGTGTCACGCAAGGCTTGTGTCGACTAGGTGGAGAGCCGATCGAAGAGGCACAAGTCCAAGTCGTACTACTTATGTAGACTGTGCATGGTTGCGGGAAGGAGCCGACATCGCTAGGCCTATGGCGATCCCCCCTGTTGACTGCGCGTCCAGCAAGGCCCTACACCGACATTTTCGGAGCGCCATGATGAGGCGACAAGACAGACGGCAGTGCGGACGCAGGTCCGCGTCTTGGGCGTTTTGGAGCGTTTGGCCACCCCTCACCTTTGATGCGAAACGCAGACGACATGCCGGTGACCTGAGATGGTTCGTGAGGTGAGCAGCACGCGTTCGCTGCAAGCCCAAAAAAGTGCGGGGAGACGAGCGGCGCATATGCTATAGTGGGGCGCGCCCATTGGCTCGGGAGCGCCCTTATGCCCCTTCCTCTCTAGCCCGGACCGCCCAGCTCCACTCGACCATGCAGCCCATACAACACGCGCCTCGGAGTCCGTCGCTGCATCCCCGAACACTCCGCTCGTTATGAAGTGAACACACTGGAGGGGGGAGGGGCTGTACTGAGTCACCCGACAACACACTGACCGCCTTGTGCAAAGCAATCCAGGGCCTCTGGGCCGAGAAAATCCGACCAGGCGAGGCGGTTTGGGCGAGGCTGCGCGGGGGGGTTAAAGGGCCAGCTTCCCCTCCCCCATCGCGACCACCCTCTCAGCTGTCACTGTCATCCTGCCTGTCAACGCCTACCTGTACCCTACTGCTGGATAGCCTGATAGCACTTGCATACTCCGAGAAACTCCGGGACGTGCTGACGTTTACCAATCCCCCCAACCTTATCTCTTCCCAATCTAGTCTCTGGGCTACGACCAAACCGTCTTGTTTCCGTTCTTACCAATCACCATATCTGCTGCTTCACCCTCGATTGCGCTGCCCCTCCTGCTCTCTTCTTCCTCTCTTACACTACCATACCACACCACACCACACCACACCACATCTGCTCACAATGGCCGCATCAAAACCTAGCATTCGCGCCCTCAGCGCTCTTGCTGCGGGTCCCCGCCTTCTCGGACCCCGCCTTACCGTCCGACAATTGTCCATGACTGGCTCGACATCATCTTCCTCCCTTCTCACAACCGACAAGCCATACGGCTCAAATCGCTCTCGTGGCCCAATTCGTCTCTCTGGCGAGCACTCGTCCGCTGTCTCTGAAGCCCCGGAGACGGGCAACAACGTCCGCCGCTTCAACACTTCCAGGAGTAGGAAGGCAGTTGGCGACAGCAGCACCCTGGACTTTGCCTACATTCCCGGCTTCGACCCGGAAACCAGGAGCGCCCCTCTGGGAATCAGGGTCCCCATCTTGCCATGGGCTGACGTCCAAGGTCACTCTGCCGAGAGCGAGGGTGTAGTACGTTGACTCCATTTTCTCCACCCATAAACATGTGACTGACTTGAGATATGTGTAGGTACCCATGCAGCCCACCATCTACGCCGTCGGCAGTGACGGCACACATATCCACTCTCCCTCGGCCATGTCCGACACCGCCGACAAAAGCTCATTCGGCTACCAGAGCATCGCCAGCAAATTCTCCTCTACCCGCCAGGAGGGTGAGGGCATGGCAAGGCAAATTTGGAATGACCTTGTAGACGACATCATGGGTCCTAAACGTGGTTCCACCAGGGCCTAAGCCGGACTGGGAATGGGGTTTGACATGCACATAAAAATTGCTTCCTTTTTTTGTTTACTTGATACTACTACGACATTTCAAAAAACAACAATGTATGTGTATGTGTGTGCATGACACGCTTCATGTTCTCCACAGGTGACAAATGAACGGAACGGAGAATGCCCTTTTTGGGGGGAGGCAGGCGGAGAGTGGGCAAGTTTTTTCCAAACGGATCTGGCGCGAAGTGCTCGGGCATATGAGATCACGACATTACAATTAACTACTTTAATTGAATTTTTTTCTTCTTTTTTTTCAATACTGGAAGAATATGCATGACTTTCTAACGTGTTCGTACGTGACGTGTCGACTGTAGGTCTAATTGACTAATGCATCGTCTGCTTGTGTAGTCCTTGTTTGTTGTCTCATACAGGGAATACTCCTGGAGTAAGTAGACGCAAACATGATCTTGACCGATAACCACAAAACAGGGGACTCCCGTGTCCTTGGACGAGTGAGTTGTTCACAGTCCGGCAGGATTAAGGATTCAAGAATTCGGACTCCGAAACACAACGAAATGCCAAGTTTGCAAGTCTTTTTTTTTCTTCTTCTTCTGGGATCAGAGGGGGGGGGCTGCTGCTGTTGTTGTTGCGTTGGTCTCTCTCCCACGTCAAGTGTACTATTCAAGTCAATTTTGCAACCTCAAGTGAATGGATATGCCGATTGGTGTTGATCAATCGGTCTTTTATCGGGGTAAAACAGCACACTGATTTACGAAAGAGAAAAACATGCACGTATTCGTATCCATATCACCGTCTTCATCTTCAACGGAGCTTTCCCTTTCCACTTTCCTTCTCTCTCTCTCTCCTTACGGCCCTTCCTACACCGTCACTAGGCGTATTCTCCCCGAATGACATGAAACCAACGCTATAGGGATTGCGGGTATTCGTCCTTATTCGGCCCAATTCCGAGTTTCACGGTGCTAGAATGGGCAGTGTTGGGTGTGTGTAGTAGTACGGAGAACTTGCCGATGGCGAGATTATCGGGATAATGGCAGAAACGTGCCGATGGCGGAGCCCGATGTGGGTATCCTTTTTCTTTATCAAAGAAGAAACAGGCCGAAGGGGGAGGTGGCTGTTTTGGGTATGTGGGTAAGTGGGTGGATTGGAGGGGTGTGAGAGGGAAAGGGGAGTGGTAGGGAGAGATGCATGTAGTATCAAAGCATGCAAGTGGAGGTTGCAAGTTGAAGTGATAGTAGCAAATAGTATTACGTATCTAGTGTTCAATAGGAAAAAAACGCATCGCAAAGAGTGAGTGGAGTTGAGTGACTTGGGTCGGTGTTCGCTGGAAGGAGTAATTCAGTTTGTGGTATGTGGTCGGACCAAAACAAGGATGAGAATGGTCCGTGTGTGACATGTATAAGAAGCCATTGACTTGTACAACGATACATTACTCTTCTGCTGTCTTCAGCGCCTCTGGGTACTACGAATTGTGGAGTCAGAGCATTTCATAGTGTGCTTAAGAGTAGGAAAGAAATTTGTGCCAAGTACTAGTAGTAACTGAACTCATTCACTCTGACACAGCACGGCAGTAGCACAAGAAAAGATACAGTAGAGAGGAGCGAGATTTGGACTTTGTGTACATGAAGCGGACACCACAAGTCAGTATCTCTCATCGCAACTCGACAATGATGAATACCCTGCCTTGCACTAAAGATGGGCGCGGCTATGGTGGGGCATCATGGTAGTCGGAGCATTGCGTCTGTAAGAGCTAGCTTCGGACGAAAAGGGTCTTACTAGCCAACAACCTATCATATAATTCGATCGTGGAACGCAAGATCAACAATCCCATAAAATAACCTTCTCAACCCCGCAAAGAAAAAAAGGTACCGCTAATCTTACTGCGGTTCTCAATAGCCGCCTGGCGCTAATTGTAGGGTCTGGAATCCCCAGTTTCCATCCCCCCACACACACAAACGTCATTCGCTTCGTCCGAGGCCAAACAAACAACTGGTGCCTTGCGCATAACTGCCACATTTCACATTCCGCTTCGCACTCCACAATCGCATTCCTGCATGCAGAGTATTTAAAGCGCCACTTGCTTCCTCTCCTCTCTCACCCTCAAACCCCGCTACATAACAACGTACATGCCACGATAAAAAAAAGATGGAAAAGCTGCGAGGCGCCGAAACCGCCGCGACACAACGTCTCCGCAAAACATTCAAGTACCCCTCCGAATCCGACGATGAAGATGCTGTAGAAGCAGGAATGGATGAACAAGGCACATATCCCCTTCCTATCCATTCATACATTTTAACTTTCCCCCCCCCAAAAAAAAAAACCCCCCATGTACTAACCACCAAACCAAACAAACAGACCGCGCAGCCCTCCTCCAAACCCTAAGTGCACACGATACATCCACAACCCACAAATACACACTCTTCCTGCTCGTCCTCCCCTTACTCCCCATCCTCCTCTACATCCCCCGCCTATTTTCCCTTTCCACATTCCTCCCCAGTCTCGCTGCGATAGCAAGTTTCCTCGCCTCGGCATACACCCTGTACTTCCTCCCACTCCCACCCACAAAGGGCGCGCCAATCGACGACAACGCCGCGTCTGCGCGCAAAACGAAGAATAAAACCCGGATCGGCATTTACAACAAGACGCCTAGTTGGGAGAAGACGACGGAAAAGAGCGTGAGGAGGCCTGTGCCGTATCTTTCTGAGAGCACCGCCGATGCCATTGCCGACAACATCGTGACAGTTAATCGGGCGCTGTGTGGAATCCTCGCTCTGTCCGAGGTCTGGATAGAACGAGAATGGAGCCAGGGATTCATGGTGGGCGGAGGTTTCTTGCCCGGCCTTATTTGCTTCGTGGTATTATGGGCGAGAACAGAGTTACGCATCATTGACATGGATGCCCTCGAGGAAATGAATAACAAAGCTGCCGGACAATCAAAAGCCAAGTAAAGTAAAAAAAAATTCCGAATAATCTGATCACTTTTTCATCATGATAAAATAGAGATAACTACCCCATAACGCAATGTATTTTTCATGACAAAGATGCCCAAATAGAGAGACTCTTTGGTAGCTTCTTGAAGAGAACCAAATAAAAAAAATGATATACACGCTACAAAGAACGAGCGACCATCATCTCGACATACAGGAGGGGAGGTCTAGGTATCATATGCGCAAGGAGAAGAAGAAGAAGAAGAAGAAGAAGAAGAAGAAACAACGCCATCATCCAAGTCTAAGATCAGACCGTATCAACGCCCATTATGTTAACCAAATAACACACGTTGATGCCCGCAAATTACATGCTGACTTTTTTTTTTGGTCATTAAAGCATCATACTCTTCCTTCTGCTGGCAGCTCTCTCGGCCCGTAATGCGCTCATCTCCCTTTCCTTGTCACGCACTTTTGACTCGCCTGCATCATCGCCCCTTGCCTTGGGGCCATTAATGCCAGCGCTATCGGCGAGTCCTCCTGCAACGCCGAGCTTCTTATCCTTGATTTCTATCATTCGAGCACTCGATGTACTCCTGGCCACACCGTTAGTACTGGAACTCCTAGCCAAGCTGGAAGTGCTGCTACTTTTTGTAGTCCCGCTCCCAGTACGCTTGTGGAGCGAAGGAAGTGCACCCTCCGTCTTTTCCCTCTCTGCTCTGCGCTCCTCAGACGTGGATGACGCTCCTGGTGCGGGCATAGCAGAATGGCGGCGTGCATTTCGGGCTGCTTTGGCGGCTTCGTTGACGCGTGTGCGCTGACTGGTAGCAGCTTCAGCAGGTGGAGAGTCCGTAAAGTCGAAAACAGCCAGACTGTCCTTCTGCTCTGACTCTACCTTTACCGCAATCGTGTCTTCTGAAGCAGGAACATCTTCGGCTTTCGCTGCAGTTGACTCGGTGGCAGATTTTGAAGCTGTAGAAGCCATCTTTCTTTTAGCAGTGCTTGTTTCGTTGATGAGTGCGGATATCGCTTTCGAGGTAGCTGATTGTTCTTCTGGATCAGCTGATGCTTTCGAATCCTGGTCTCTTCTATCCAGTTTTTGTCTTAGAGGACTCCCCGCCTCAGCCTCTTCCTCGGCTGCTCTTCCAGATACTGCAGACACGGGCTTCCAGGCAATCTCCCCGTTGGCTTCTCGCTTGACAACCGTCGAAGGTGGGTTGTGAGATTCGACACTTGTCCGCCGATCAACCACTGCATCAACAAGCTTTGCATCTGGGCGTCGCATCTTTACATTGAGGCTGGGCTCTTTGTAGCTAACTTGGGGACGTGCTCGTCGCCCCGGTCGCCCAGCTTGCCCAGTTTGATCGGCTGAAGATAGATCGCCAGGTGGTGGCGTATCTTTGTTTTCTGGCCTTTGGCTCGAGGGTTCGGTTGATGGTGGGGAAATGATGGCATCTGCAGCTGGCGTCTTAGGGGGTAGGGAGTCCAGAACGATATCAGCGGTAGGGACGGGCTCCGGTATGGGTATAGAAGGAAGGTCTGGCGTGGTATTCCGCGTTATATTCAGCCGAGGGCGGCTGCGAGCTTTTGCGGTTGGCTTCTCCAACTTTCCTGGTTTTTCTTGCGCCGAAGAGCGTTGTTTTTTTGGTGATACAACTGGATCGGTGTTGACAGGTTCTACGACATTAGCTTTGCTCATAAAAAGGTTAGCATCATGCTTACTGGCTGAAAGGACTGGAAGGCGATCCAAAACGGGGAGTCTTGGTTCTTCGTTGGATGTCTCAGTTTCTGCGGTGTTCCGACGAGAAAACCTAAAGGCATCGCCCTTGGCTTGATTTGTATCCTCATCTTCCTGAACACTGAACTTGCGCTTAGCACCTGTACGCAAAGGCTTCGCAGGTGCCTCTTCAATTTCTTCTGGAGACTCAAATACGGATACACGGCGTATGCTGAGCTTTGGCCCACTCTCTCGTCGCTTCTTACGCGTCTCGAGATTGACCGAAAGCGACGGCTCGCCATCATCGGCTGTCTCTTCTTGCGGCTCTTCTGCAACCGGACTGGGATCAAACCCAATGGGATCCTCGTTCTCGAACCGTGATATGGGGGGTGGGCCAATATCTGGCGATTGGCTATCAGGGTCTTCCAGTACTTGCTGAAGCTCGTCCGCACTACATACGTTAGTAAAACTCAGTGTGCAGATACATAACATCTACATACCCCATGGTCCTTCGAGGATAAAACTTGTCCTCCGTGATTGTAGGCAGCATAGCATTCTCAACTTCTTGGAGTCCCAAACCACTCCTCCACTGTCTTTCCTCTCCGCTTCTCCTCTTCGCTAGCAACTGGCTTTTCCGCCTGCCTGCATCTTTTTCGCGTCCGTTCTTGGTCTGCGTTAGGCTTGCTACCAAGCCTCCAAGTTCTTGTAGCTTCGATTCAAGCTGCAGCTTGACAGCATCGATGTGGTCAAAAGCTGGACGCGACTCGACGGTATTATGAAGGCTGAGCACTTGCTCGCGCAGTGCCAAGTTTTCAGCGAGAAGTCGCGAGCAATCATTTTCGAGGCTGCGGATGCGTATGGATTGGGTCGAGTTTGTCTTTGCCAGTTCGCGGTTCTGTCTGAGAAAGCGTCGTTTCACGGCTTCGATGGTTTCCGCCGATGGCTGATTTGCTATCGGCGGCTCGTTGAGTCGCGCCATTTGCGCAGATAGGTATTTCGATGGTAATTATACTATTAAGAGACAATCGCGTCGTCGTGGTGGGCGGGATCCTGTACGTCGTGAGTCGTGGCTGCCGGTTCGTCATACTGTTTGTTGACAACTCGAGCGGCGGGCCCACGGCAACAGGAGCTAACCCAGAATGGGCAAGACGACAACACAATCACATGACTAGAGGGGCAACGGCGCCTCTACATACAAGCAACGCATCGTCGACTGCAGTGAGTCTTGTGAAAGAGTCCAGACATACTCTTATAGAAGTTTCGCCATTACCTGCAATCGAAGAAGAAAAGCCCGTATATCTACACATCAGAAACTCAACATTGTAAAAACATCTGCATACTTTTCGCAACAACAATATCGTCAAAACACCCACCGAACAAAGAATTGAACCCAATTCACTGCTAAAATGTCGAATTTTGGACGTCCTCTCCCTTCGCATCTGCGTAATCAGTCTTTGGGCGGCTCACAACAACAATCGCCGGTCTTACTCGCACGTATCGCGGAAAAGAAAGCTGAACTTGCGAACCTAAAAGACCTGCAAGCTCTTAGTGGAGGGCTTGCGGACCAAATGCAAATGCTAGCTGACAAGCTCTCGACATTGTCTGATGGCACAGAAGGTATGTTCGAATTGACCTTGAACGGATTTGCACATGCAGATAAGGGAAAAGCATCATGGAGATGTCAGGCTGACATTGAGGCGCAGCGGTTGCAGCAGTACTGTCGAATTGGCACAACGTATTGAGGGCTATCAACATGGCGTCGAGTGAGTTATCAAGCCGTATACGTGATGCTATCTTGATCTAACCAGTGACAGCAAAACTGCCAAAGCCAAAGGATGAGGGGGAAGTAGAAAAGAAATTGGACGATGGACCACCTCTGCCGCAGACACTTGTTCGCATTCCCACTCAGCACGCGCCCACGGTAATTGAGCAAGCCAACGCAGCAAATGCAGAAGAGTGAATCCGCGTACGGGATGTAGACATGTGCTGGCACGGCGTCTCTTCTGCGCTAAAGAATGTGGTGTGAAGGATGTGAAAGGAGGTGTGGTGAGGCATGAGTGCACGATCGAACTCGAGATGAGACTGATGTCCGATTCGCGGAACACGGCATATGAGGGTGGCCGAGCAATGTTCCAATACGTGCATATGCAGTCGAGCCCAACATCATTGAGATTGCTTTTCCCGCTGGTATGCTGGAAGCGAGCTAAGTCACGGGACCTGACATGCGTAAAGGGCCAAAAAGGACGTCACCGCCAAGGTAGGAAAAGGAAGAAGCAGGAATGGAGGAGGCCTGAAACACAAGCTACTGTGAATTGTTTGCGAGCTTACATGTGAGATTCTAAAGTGCTTGAAATTCATTGGCAAGTATAGGCCTTGTTACATAACGCCGTGATGCGTCTACAATCTAGCATCCAAGTTTTACAGACTTCCAAGTCCAGTGTCCCATGCTATGCAAAATAACGCAGTCTCAATCAAATTGTGCCGATCGGACATGCCAAAACTCCGCGCGAAAACAAACCCCACAGAAACAATGAAAATCGTGTTCACTTCGTATGCGCCAAAGCCAGGTGCAGCAGCTTGAGCGCATCAATTGAGGCGCTGTAACAGTCTACTTCTTCTGCTTCGGCATCTTCTCGTAAGCATTTGGGCTGGGCTTCCTCCGCTGCCTCTTTGTTTTTTGTGACTGGCCCGAGCCCTCATGACAGCCGTGATTTTCTGCGCATCCGTCGTGGTCGTGCTGGTGCGGCCGCCTTCCCCGCGCGGCACCAATCCTGCCGGCGGGCCTTGCGGTACTGTTGTCAGGTTCGGAATCTGAGTCCGAGTCCGATGAAGAGGAATCCGAAGAGTCGTCGTCGGAAGACTCATCCACAGCGCGAGGTTTGTGATAGATGCAGCAGACTTGTTCAGAGGTTAGCGGGTCTAGTAGCAAAATGACGTGGCGCAGCTTGCAGTACCTTTGGACGACTTCTTGCCCATGCCTTCGTTGTCAACCACGTCCTCTGCCCACTGGATATGTCGTCGCTCGGTAGGCTCTGCCCGCAGACGGAGCACGCCTGATGGAGCAGACAGGCGCAGGACGGGCTGAGGACTGATCTGTATTGTCCTGCTTCCAGCGCTTGGTGTCACAGTACGCGGTGACGCAGTACGTTGGTGGGCGGCCATGTTGTTTGAAGTGCGCAATGTTGGGTTGGAAGTGAATACGAGGAACGGGACCTCCGAAGAAGCGGTGTTGCGGGCAGCAGGCGGGGTGATTGTTATGGAGCTACGCAGGGACCAAAAGGAATCGCGAATTGCCGTGTTGAGGATGAAAGAAGGCTGACGGGGTCCAACGTTGATATTTGAGCAAAGAATCGGCGATGGGATCCAGGGATGAGGCGACGAGTAAAGAAGGAAGGGGTGTGGTTTGGTATTATCGGTACCAGGGCAAGGTCGTGTGCATGTACGTCTTCGCTGGCTGACGATGATTTGCCTCGTGATGGTAGAAAGCTGGTTGGTGCGTCATTAGCAATCGGCACCTTTCTCGGCTCATCCTTCCCTCTGCGCATCCGGGGATTGGCCCACGATCGCCCGCGTCACCCTCCCATCGTCTTCTCCACGAGAGTGCAGCATGCACGCCAACCGGAGCCCACACGAGCCCACACCTTCATCTAGGTCACGTTGCATATTCATGGCAGCAGCGCATCTCCTAGCCTGCGCACTTGGCACGCTTGCGCTGCACGCAATAGCGCTGCGAGAACACCTTGCCGAAGCGCTGTCAGGGCCAAAAAGACCCATCGCTGCGCTGCTATCGTGGCCGCTGCCCACGCAAAGCATTCGGGCCAATGCGAAGCAGGGCTGGTCGCAGGGTCTGGCTCAAAGTCACCGGAACCGTTGACTGTCGACATGGCCCAGAACGTCAGTCTGGAAACGTCACAATGGAAAGGTGCTGGCGGGGTTCCACCTGTCTTCGACCGAGTATAAGTAAGAAGCAGCACCAATCATTCCAAATGGATTTTGCTCCCTTCCCCTTGCAACATGACGATGCACATTGCCAGGCCTCTGACTTCGCAACGCCACCAATGCCACTCGGTACCGGATGGCCGGATGACCGGACATTCACCCCACAGTATGCCACATGAACACCGGCATACCTACGTATTCGGCTGGGACGAGACCTTTGCACCGAAATCTGTAACCGAGACCTCGGAATGTCGAGTGCTCTGTGTTGGCGATGCAAGTAGACCTTCACAAGTAGGTCAGTGCCAATGAGGCTGCTATACACACGTACGCATAAAACCAATCTTCGTACATGCGCACAATGGATACAAGAGCTAGTGCCATCAAAGTTCATATTCCACCGCATTGGCTCGTATATGTAAAGACTCGGTGTTTGCCAAGCCGACTCGCACAGTGCAGCCGGTGAGCATCTCCACCTACTGTGTACAACCAGAGCGACGTCTTGGCCGCGAAGCCTTTGGACACTCAGGAGGTGGCTTTGCTTCATTTCGTGGCACCCTAGGGCCTGGATGCCTATGAAGATACAAAGACCTGTCCTGTTGGCCGTATAGACCTTGAACGTTGGGTGTACAGATACGTAGAAGCGGGAAACCCGCGCAATGCCTGGGATTATCACACCCACGAGCTATCGAAAAGAGCCAAACGCACGGCAGTATAGCACCGAGAAGCAATGGCGGCCTAGTGGTGAGGGGAGAGAAAAATCAGATTGAAAAGTCCGGGGGGGGGCATAAACGGACAATGGCGAGAGTCCCCCAGCATCAACAATGACCTCAGCCCATGGGAAAGGCTCTGTGCAAGCGAAGAATCGCACCATGATGAAGGAAGCCTCGTCATGCTAGGAACCATGAGCGGATCAAACGGGAGGAGCCTAAGTAAGTATGCGAGCTGTCAAAGAACAAGTAATTTCACAGATATGAAGGGATGCTGCAGGGTGATCATGGGTGGCGGTGAGCGAGATGAGCGACTCCTTGGGCAGCTCACCAGCCTCAACAGTCGTCTGGCGCAGGCGAGTAGTGCAAAAGGCGCCATGAGTCGTTGACAGTACATAAGCTTCTGGACGGTAGGGCTTGGACGCGTCATTGTGAACGGGCAGAAGGGGGTGGCATTGCAATATACTACATAGGCGGGTGGAATAGCAGGCACAATCTTGATGGGCAGACTACTGATAAGCGGCATCGGGGGTAGCCCGAAAGCAGCGGACGACTCCGCCACATGTCGTGCAGTACGTATCTGTGCGCCCGGCCGCTTTCTGCGCGGAAATGAAGAAAGCGTGGAGCGCCGTAGGCTAGGCCGGCGTGGACTCTGCCGGGCCGTGGGAAAAGGAGTGGACCGGATTTCCACGGAGGCGGCGGGTGGTGGTGATGGTGGTGGTGTTGGTGGTGGTGGTGGTGTTGGTGGCGGAGAGGCTGGCAGAAATGAAACGGCAGAGCGGACCAAAGCAGAGAGAAGGAAGGAGAAGGCAACAAGCACTTGGTCCGCTGCTGGGTGCCAACGATGACAGTGCTATTCACAGCGAGGGCGGATCCAGAATTGGGGTTCAGGGGGCTGTGGACGGGTCGAGTGGTGCTGTATGGCCTGGAGCGGACAAGGCCAGTCCTAGTCGCCAATCTGCTGTTCTCGGATGCGGGCGAATCAACACGGGCGTCTAAAAGGGTTCCTGCATTAGCAGCACCGCATCGGGCGTAGAGGCGCCGCAAGGAGCGATCAGCACGCAGGCAGCGCAAACGGTCGCCGCGGTTTTCTCCTGGATGCGCCTAGGGGTGTGCGGTGCGAGAAGGCCGCATGCCACCCGTACGACGACAGCTTCTATCGATTGCGACGGGGCGGCCATGACAGAGGCAGCACAGGCAGTGGCCGTGCCGCGCGACAGCGGTTGTGTACTTACTGAGCATGCAATTAGCAACATCAAACAGCTTGGCCCGCGCTAGAACAGGAACCCTGCGCTGTGCCTCTTGTTGTTCGGCTTAACAGGTCCTGTCCCCTGCACGGCTTGGGCCATGGGCCAATGAGGCTCCCTGTATGCCACCGCCCGCCATTGAGCTCCTGTGCGGCGCCTCATCTACCCTTCGCGCCCATCCGCCTTCTTTCCTTCAACCTCACCTCTCCGTGGGCCAGTCACTCTTTCAGTCCTCGTACCCCCCCTCTACACCAACGCTCTCTGCTCCGTTGCATCTTACCCCAGTCATTCTTTTTTTCTTTTTTGGGCTCGAGATCGTTTGGTCGTGTCGCTACGCTACCGCCTTCGCCTACTGCCGTGCTTTCGCTCCCTACCCGCACCCGCACCCGCATTACATGTACACTCCGTTGATCAGCAGTCACGACTGACTTACGACCTTACGTTGTTAATACATACATCTTGAATCTCAAAAACTCCCTCGCATCCGCGACCCCGTTACCCATCGCCATCCGCTCGGGTACATCATTACCATTCCTGGTTACGATATTGTATGAGACAGGGGTTTTGCAACCATGCCACACTCACATCACCAACACATGCTCCACCATGTGCGCGACAACGTACGCCATTTGGGCTCTCCCGCCAGCGCCGCCACCCGAACTCTCAAACTCGTTGAAAGAGCGAGCCCCGTTCTTCTCGCACGCGACACCCTCGAATGCACAAGCAACAGCGAGCCCGGCTGCACAAAGCCAACCCAAGTGCCTATGCTGGCTATCGCACTAGCTATCGTGTATGTGATACGCTGTCATTCCGCCGACTCCACTAACCATGCCTAGTGTTCCTGTTGTTGGTATCGCTGTTGTACTCGCCTTCTTACATCGTCGCAACAAGCAAAAGCTTAGGGAGGAGGATCAGAGAGACAAATACAAGTCGAACGATTGGGGTATGGAAGGCGTCATACCCAAGACGAGTAAAAAGGGTGGTCCTGAAATGAGCATCTCTGAGAAGGAAATCTCTGGAGGTCACGACCGCGGTCTGTCAATCGAAACTGGAAGCCCCTACATCCTGCCCCCTGGTCTACACGGCTCTCGTGAGTCGTTCCACTCGCTTTCGCGCTCGACACACGACCCCCATGACCCCTACGGACCAGTCGCTTTCTTGAGGGATGACCAGAGCCTCCGCAGCCATGGACCATACAAGGGCGAAACCAACTCCGTGTACACTGCGTCCAGCTCAGGAACAAAGAAGGAAGGTCTTCAGGCTGGTCTCCTCCAGAACGCGCAAAGAATGTCGACGTCTGCCCCAGTCCGCGGCGAGTCTCTGTCTCCTGACAGCACCAGGTCACCGGATAGCAAGTTTGCCGAGGCAGGAATTCCCCTGAGCCCGTTGAACCCGCGATATGAACCTGAGGCCCCGGCTGCCGCTCCTGCTCCTGCCCCTGCCCCTGCCCACGCTGCTCCCGTCGCCTCCAAGCCTACCGACGTCCCGACCATTTCTATCCCTGAACCCCAAGTCACCGAAAAGCAAGTCAACAAGTCGCCTGTTCAGACCACGAACGAGATTCCCTCATTGCCCCGTATCCAGTCGCAAGCTGTTGTACTAGAAACCGCCAATACGCACCACAGCATCATCAGCACCTCCAGCTACGGCGATGGTTTCGAGGTCACACCGCCTTCTCCTCGCAACAGCGACCAGCCAACGATTGCAGCGCCCAAGCCCCGATACTCAACTGGCCCACAGAACCTTGGTCTCGGAGTCGATGACTTTGGCCACAGCAACAACCGTCTGTCAATGAGCCTGCGTCCTATGCCTTCCGAAGACCCCATGGAGAACCCAGAAGAGCGTGCCAACCGTATCCGATCTTTCTACAAGGAATACTTTGACGACTCCAAGCCCGAACCCATTGGCGGACACCAATACACTGACTATGTCGAGGACTATGGTTCTGAATACCAGGATGGTACTGTCTTTGACCCACGCACTGGTAACTTCGTCGTTGCTCAGCCCAACGCACCCTTTGCTGAGCCGATTACTCGTCGTGCCATGACTCCTCCACCTCGCGCACCTCCTCGATTCCGAAGCAACACAGCTACCGGTCCACGTGGTGCTCACATGTCCAACGGCTCCATGGCTTCATCGCACTACCAACCCCCTCGTGGCATGTCGTCGATGAGCGGCCGTCTACCCCCACCAATGAAGAAGCCTCTGCCGCCACCTGCCGCTCTCTCATCACTGCCAACACCTGCCAAGCTCAACGAGAACTCGATGGTATTTGATGCTGCGGACTTTGCGCCTCCAGTTTCTTTCCGTGATAGGCAAAACGGTATGCGACCAGACAGTCCTCTTGGCAACGCTAGGCCGTATAGCCCTTCTGTTCGCCCCCACACGCCACTTGTCGGTTCCTATGATGAACTCCCAGTGCTGCCCAGTCCCCATCTGATGCGCAAGTCTGGTACCTTTACTGCCCTTGACTTTGCTCCACCTGGCCGTATCCGTGACCCTGCCGGTGCCGGCTCAGATGCCGGATCTATCCGCTCAAACCGCTCTGGCATCTCTGCGGCTGGTCGATTTGCAGTCCGCAGTGGAGCCAACCGGGTCAGCAGGATACCGCGAGAAATCATGGGTACCAAAGATGACATTGCTCTGCAACTAAGGCCCAGGATGAACTTGGTCGAGAGTGCCTAAAGACGTGGTGACCTTGCCGCAGGGCATTGTTGATGACTGACATTGAGCAGCTCGCTGGAAGAGCTTTGGGCCCCGTTGCCTGTACCAAACGCCAAAAGCTTGTGACGTCAAGTTTCTTTTTTGCTTGGACAGTATGCCATTTTGGGCGTACATGACAATTCTTATCGGTATCGTGGGACAAATATAGCGTGCGCTGGCTATACACACAGTGTCGTCTCCCAGTCTTTGTTGCTACAAGGGACATGCAAGCCTCTTTTGTCTACTATTTCTCCATCGCGGTCATTGCCAGACCGGCAGATTATACTCATTTTCTAGGGCAATTCAGCGAGGGAACCGGCGTTACCAATGTCTAATTTATATTCTTGTAAGCAGCAGTTGGGGAGGAGAGAGTTGGAGCAAGTGGTGGCTTGGTGATTGACAGCACGGAGGCCACGGCCGTGTGTCGACGTGTGAAATATTCGAGCAAAACATATAGAGGAATGGAAAGGAAGAGGTATTTGAAAAAAGAAAACAAGCATGCACACCTGGTTTGCCTGCTATTGAGTGATGTTATTGTGCTGGCTGCGCGGATGGCATGCTGGGCTGTTAGCGGGGCCAAGGTCGGCAGCGTTTCTGGCCCCTGCCGGAGCACTCTCGGCGGCCTTGACGAGGCTGACGATCAACGCGGCTCTGCGACAGTGGCAGTCTTACTACATGGCACCTGCAAGCGTCTATCTGCACTGCACCTTGTTTGCATGTGGCTGCAGACACAGCCACAAAGGAGCCGCCTTCGTTTTATTGTCTGCTCGCATGTTTAGTTAGTACGTTACTCGGGGCCAAAACCAGGGCAACCGGACGAGCCAGCCGCGTGTGCACACCGTACTTGCATACGCGGCCAGGGAAGGCCACGACAGTGCTAGACCAGTGTCGACGCCGGTGCTTCAGGCCAGACGTCGTGTCGTGTCGAGACCAGTGCATCCATTCTCTTGTCGAGCCCCCAACCATGACGCCTGTGTGGCTCGCGCCTGCGTCTACTTAGTTCTGTTTTTGGCGCCTGGTACGTCATGGCTTCAGATCTTCGGAAAGGGTCCATAAAACTCGCCAGTGCTGCTGCAGCACGCGCGTATGAGGTTGCGTCTGGTCTTCTTATTGGGCTTCGCTATACTTGACCACTGGGTTTCACCATTTTTCCCCCATCCTCATCTTTGGGCTTTGCATTTGTTTCGTCGTGCGTCTGCTTCTCCCTTTTGCAATCAACCAACCACCCTCCCACTACTCGCGCCACACCCGTCCGCCACATCTGCTGCACCCTTCCACCATCATGCCATTCTTCTCTCGCAAACGCCAGTCGGACAACACAGCGGCCACGCCTGCGCCCGAACTAACCAAAGAGCAAATCAAGCTCGCAACCCGCAGGCGCAAAAGATGGGCGCTGGCAACCTCCTTTTTCCTCTTCCTCACCTTCATCTTTCTGATCCTTGTCAACATCGCCGGCGTGCGCAACAAGCCCGTGATCAGAAACTGGTACTTTCTTCGCCTCGACCTGAGTAAAATCGTACCTGCTAGCGTCCCCAATTTCGCCCTCATCAACACTATCGCCCAAACGCTGGGTCTTCATGATTTCTACCAGGTCGGGTTATGGGGCTTCTGCTCGGGGTACAAGGGCCAGGGCGTAACCTCTTGCAGCAAGCCCACGACGCTGTATTGGTTCAACCCCGTCGAGATTCTGCGTAACGAGCTGCTTGCGGGAGCGTCGAGTAAGCTGGCCTAGGTCGTTGCGAGTCCGGCTGCGAGCTAACCATGTCCACTAGTCAATCTTCCTGCAAACATCAACGACATCTTGGACCTGATCCACCTCGTCTCCAACTGGATGTTTGGTCTCTTCCTTACCGCTACTGTTCTGTCTTTCGTCCTCATCTTCGTCATGCCCATCTCCGTCTACACACGCTGGCTCACCCTCCCTGTCGCCATTCTCGCCTTCCTCAACGCCCTCTTCGTCACCGTCGCGTCCGTCATCGCTACCGTCATGTTTGTCATCTTTCACAACACTATCACTGGCGTGTCAGAGCTCAACATTGGGGCGCAGATTGGGACAACGCTATTTGCCTTCATGTGGGTGGCCAGCGCCTTTGCCATTTTCGCATGGCTTGTGCAGACGGGGCTTTGCTGCTGTTGTGCGTCGCGACGAGACGTCAAGAACGGCAGGAAGAGAGGTAACGAAGAAGCATACCAGATGGACGCTGTCCCGGTAACCGAAAAAGCACCAAAGAAGAAATATGAGTTCTGGAAGCGTGGATAGAGTCCTCTTCTCGACTCAACCATCATTGTACATGACCGTTCTCCTACCAACATTACTATCATACAAATAGATACACGGACAAAAGGATTATTGCCACCGAAACAAAAACAAAAAGATCAGGCATAGATGACAGCTATTTTTTTCAACTGGGTCATTGATGACCAGAAATTTGGGCCCCTAAAAGATTGATTTTCCTTTGTTTTGTTTTCATAGCGAGCGCGGCGTTGAATTTTCTTCAAGCAAAATCTTTCCGACATGGCAATGCATAGTGCGGCGCAACATGGGCGATTTGGCATATGAGCACGACACACATACACACACATACACACCAGCATGAACATATCTCTACTGTAGACATATATGGACCTATATATATGCCCAAAAAAAGGCATAATGATATTTTTTTTAGTTCAACAGTCTTCGTCCCGATCATTTCTTCCACCCGTCTTTGGATTTTCCGGTTGAAGTCGCTGAGAAAACGGCAATCAATCATTGAAATTTCGACACATGACTCAGCCTAAGCCGTCGACAATCACTGCAAGTGCAAAAAAGAAGCCTTGTTGTTTATATTCCATTCTGCCCCATTGTCTATATATTCCCATCTCCCCCTTTCCCTTATCAAACTCGCTCCCTTGTCTACCTCTCCCTCTCCTCATACCAATCCCTCCCCTCCTTATTGCCGCCAAACACCCTCCTAAACCCCTTGGCCACGGCGCCACTAACGCTGAAATCATTGAAAAGCCACTGGTTTCCATGGCGCCCATAGTACTTGAACTGCGCCGGCTCCTCTCTTTCCTTCCTTCCGCCGCCGCCGCCGCTGCGGATGCTGGTGCTGCTCTCCATGGTGTGTCTGCGGCTCCGCTTGGGGACCCGCGGCTTGCTGAAGTCGCCGGGCGCAATGCCCACGCTTTCCGCGTGCAGTCGGCTGCTGGGCAAGGCGTGCAGGCGCGACGAGGTGCTCCAAGTGTGCGAGTCCAAGGTGGAGATTGTTGAAGATTTGGTAAAAGGACGTGTGTTGGTGCTATCAATGGAGGGTCGGGGACGTCCCTGGGTGGCTCCATGTTCGATGCTTGAAGTGTTGTTGTCGTTTGCAATGACAGCAAGGCGGGAGTGCAGGGCTCGCGCGTCGATGGGTTGGCGGTACGAGGAGTCTGTCATCGGCAGGGATGTTGGAGATTTGGTAGAAAATGTGGTTGCGGTGTTGAACTGGGGGATGAGAGTGTGTGGTTGATTGGTGTCCCAGTAGTAGTAGTGGTGGTGGTGTTGGTCTCGAGAAGGTACGTAGTATTCTTCTTCTTCTGATGTCAAGGTAGAGTAGATGCTAGTAGTAGTTGGATAGTATGGCATAGATTGTTTGTGTGTGTGAGAGAGAGAGTTCGCTCGGAAAGCAATCTTCTAATATCAGGGCATCACTCAACCTATATATGCTCCATCCATCCCCATCCGCCAAGCCGCGGTATCGTCCTTCGTCGTACGCAAGAAGCACAAACCCTACCATATCCAAGCGTCTTGGGGTGGGGAAATGCAAGCCAAAAAAGGGCTTAACTCACCGGGTTTCCGCACAGCGTACATGACTTACATGTAATCGTTCATTGCTCCTTGTCTAGTCCAACCACACGCGGTTTCCCGCACCCACCATCCACTTCAACCCCTGCCCACGGGTTCAGCAGACGTAGCCGCAAACGCTTTGATCAAGTCGGGTAGAGCACAACACGAGACCACATGACCATGTTTTCGCCCTCAGTATGCAATGCAATACTGTAAATCTGCCTTACTGGGTCGAGTCGGAAAACCGGCAGCGCAATCCTTGCTCGGGACGATAGCCCGTGCACCAGCCACAAGTACGCCACACCCAATCCGGGGCAGCGAACGGGCCTGATGGATGCAAGGCCGCGAGGCGTCAACGGCAGCAATGACATCAACCCGCCGCTTTGCCTTTACGCGCGTATCATACAGACTTTTGTGCCTTCCGTCTTTGCCGGCTAGACCGCCAACAAGACTAGCTGTGGCTTGTGAGCGTATACGCCAAGATACGCTCGGCGGGCCTGAATGACGTGGCTTGAACGCGGGAAACAAGAGGCTCGGGGTCGGATGCGCAAAGCCACATGAGGCTCACCTGCAGAGGGTGGGTACGTGAGAAGAAATCTACACAAAGTCCAGGGACATGGTGGAGGCAAGTTATAGTGGAGACGGCCGATGCCTTGTAGGTAGCTATAAGGAAAAAAAACATCGCTGCGTTGGTCTCTACACGGAGAAAGCAAAAAAAGCCGGATGGGTATACCGATATCAAAACACCTTTGAGCGCCGCGCATTGAACTTTTTTACGACTCAATCAAACACCTGGGACACCATCCTTACTTCGTATCCGTCCATCTTTAACTGATCCTATCGTGATGCCTGCCTCACCAGTCATCCAGCCTGGCATCTTTTCGCCATCTACAATGCCTTCTTCGACTAGTTGCCTCATGCCGGCAAAGACATGGGTGCCTTGAAACGTAATTCGCACATTAGGCACCCATCCTTCTTCATTCCCAATCTCCTCTAGATCTTCTTCGCTTCTCTCAAGGAGCGAACGGCGACCCCGCCGTGTGCGATTTGTTATTTGAACCCCGCGATTAGGTGTTTCGCCGTCAACTTGTACACTGCTGTCAGTGTCTGAAGTAGCTGGGAACGGATCGTCAATTCGAACTTCGACTCGTTCAAGACCTTGTCCGTCGTCTGGTTGGGCAGAGGTACCGAACCTGCCAGCAGCCACCTCTTTCCGTCGTTTGGATTCTGGAGGCTCTTTTTCGTCTAATGGCCTTTTGGGTCTTCCTGGGACCGCCTTATCCGCACTGGCCTTGTCGCCTAGAGACTTGTCTTGCTTGTCGCCTTTTTGCGTTGTGATAAAGTCTAGAGCATTCTGACTGAAACTATGATCCTGAAAGATGCTCCAGCCACCTGCTGCGGCATTGCTTTTACCCGGCCCACGATATGTCAATAGTGCGTCTAGCGACTTGGTTGTGAAGTTGGTGCCGGTTAATTGGTAGCGTGCAGAAGGTCTCGAAAAGGCTTTGGGTATTGCCTGCTGTACAATCTCTCTAAGATGCCGCCCATCGTCTCCAACAACCTGACCAGTAAGCGTTGCCAGTGACGAGTATACAAAAGGCGAGCCATTGGGCCAGACGAAGAAGACGGCTTTGGCATGGTCGGTATTACTCGATTCAACTGCCAGTGATGCCTCGCTGCTATACGGCGAATCGTGTATATAGACCCGAAGTATAGTCATGGGTGAAGTCTTTATTCGTGTGATAAGGTAGTGGGCTTTCATCAGCGGAGTCAGTTCTCTCGCGAGATTCGACATGAAAGTTTGTGCTTGGAACCGGGGAAGGTGGTCAGAGTCGTTTGTGACCTCCATGTCCGTCACTGGCGATCGCGCATTCGGTATCTTTGTGAGGCGCTTCGCTGTCCAACGTAGGGCATTGGGGTGGTCGAGCAGGTACTGTATCTCTGCTGTGGCCAGTTGGTACATGGATATACCGTGTCTCCAATCTCCCTCGAGTATGCGATCCAGAACTTCTCTCCTGCCACCTTTGCGTGCAGCCAACTGCTTGTAGATTTCCTGGAGCACCTCATAGCTTTGCGCTGGCTCATATATCTCCTCCTCATCTTCTTCTGCCCGATCGTCGAGAAGAAAAGGCTTGCAAAAGTCACGGTTCTTTTTACTGAGCCATTGTAGTGCGAGCGATATGAGCGATTGGCGGGAGAGCTTGGTGAAGGTGCGCTGGACTTCGCGGTGGTTTACGGGCAGACGGTGCGAGTGCGGGATATTCTTGTAGTCCGGGGCGGCAGCCATTGCATCTGTGCTTTTCTCGTCGGCATGGGAGGGGCCAGGATTGTTGTTGATGGTGAAAGCGTTTATCGATAATATCCAGTGAGGGAGTCGCGCTCAGGCGGTCAGACGCGTTAACCCTGCTGCCACGTGACGCCCTCGGTTGTGTGTAAGAACGTACGCAAGTAACGCCATGCTTACACCAACACACTTTGAAGAGAACAAGCGTCTGTAACTGTTTGAAGGTCCGAGCTAAGATGTAAACAAATACTTTGTTTATCCGTAAACGCCCCCATGCTGCAAGAACACATCATGAAGCGTATAAAGCAGCTCTCAAGTATGTGGTTTTGACTACAACCAGAATGATCAAACTACATACTCACTCTACAATCTCTTTGCTACTACGCACTGTATGTCTGAAACGTTGCTAGGCTCAAGTGCTTTTGCCAAGGTTTGTACCTCGCTGATTTTTGATAACCATGTAGCGTAACAGCTGTGTGGCAAGCGCTTTGTTCTAACACGCAACGTACTACTACAAAAGCAGTATGTATATACGACGTCAGCCCCGCATCAACTCCAAGCTGACCAATACGTTTTGTTACTGCAGAACAATGGGTTACCTTCCAGAAGTGTGAGTGGAAACAAGCCTAACGCATTACCTAGCCGTCATAATGACCCGATCCACACCGCGAGTATGGCTATGGACATGTGAAATTCGAAAAGTCCCACCATCTTGACTCCCCTGCGATATGTGGGTGCAGCATATGCTCCTAAGTAATGTGCTCAAACTTTGTCACTTATCCGGTAGTTCTTCGGTGTGGCGGGCATATAAGTGATCATTTCTACCCTTTTCTTACTACTTACAACAATGTGTGCAAGAGTCCAGGGTGATGCCGCTACTGCATGTGAATCTGCCGATGGATTACGGCCGCGAATCGATGGAGAAAAATCGGGCGGAACTGAGTGGCCGCCTGATCAGTAGGCGGTTAGCGCGATGGTCTTGATTACAAACTAACAGCTCTGAGTAATCCAAAAGTCAACGAAAGGGCGCAAAGGACAGCGTAAGCCCGTTGGTATGAGAATATGAGATTACCTCGCAAAGTGTGAGAAGAGAGTGTTGCTCCGTTACATACATGTGTCTTTTAGGTTTGGATATACGAGCGTTGCGATTAATTCGAGGTGTGGTGCTCCTACCCGCACGTGGGGAGATTCTCTCGGCCATACTCCGGCTGCGCCCATTTTTCCAACCGCCGAACACAGTAACCTGAAATTCCTCCGCGGGGGGTGTGGAGGCTCTCTAACGCCCTGCGTATTTCGGCAATCATCAAACGTCACCACTACTCTCTCTCACTCACCCACACACACAAAGCTCTTTTTGCGCATCTCTCAGAGTCTCTACAAGAAACTCTTGCATCCACCGAGCACCAGCGGGTCACATCATCCCAAGGCCGTACAATTTCACTCAAAGCGGAGCCAAAAGCGCACTCGGACCCGCTATCCCTCAACACGGGTTTGGCCGTCGAAAACCCCCTCCGAAGCCCACCCCCAGTTACTCCGATCATAGACTCTAGCAGCTTCATCCTCCCCATCTCCATTTCGACTGGAAACACCACAAAACGCTCATGTCATCCTACAAGGGGCAGCGAGGGCCCAACGTGTCCCAGTACATCGCGACGCTCAACCAGCCATCGCCCCAGCAGGACCTGCTCGCCGATCCGGCGCCAGCGGAGGACTTCTCCGACTTCCTCAACGCCGACTTCTTCGACGTCAGCAACGCCAGCATCGACTTCGGAAACTCAGGCAGTTTCGATATCAATTTCGACAACCAGCCATCACAGCCGTTGAAGAGTCCCGAGGGATTCCAGCCCGCCACGAGCGCAAACATGGATTTCAACTTGAATGGTAAGTGTGTGTCTTGTTGCTATTGTTCACATTGTCATTTTCTGTCGCAATGGGCTGGACCCTCGTCGAGGAAGAGTCGCTGCAGCTGCCATATAGTGGTCTGCAACACGCCGTCCAATGGCAGGCTGAAGAGACGCAAGCCGACCCCAACCCCGCCATGCTGTGTTGCCTGCATTTGTTACCCCCACACTATGCAAATCAACCAGTTAGCGGACGCCGTCGCTATGCAGCCCTGTTGCTAAGCATGGTCTGAAGCACGCAACACTGCCTGGGCTGCGTGAGACGGATCATTTACATGGCGCCCTCCACACACCGCCTTGTGGTCTGTCTTGTTGAGCCATGACTGACCTTGATCTGCTTGTAGGCGACTTCCCCTTCACCGACTTCAACAGCTTCCCTACCAATGCCGCCTTTGATCCAGCCCTGCCGCTGGCACACGCTCAGCCCAACCAATACCCGCTGGCCCCCGACTTCGCCTCGCCCAACTCATCACTGTCACCAATCACACCAGGCTATGATCAAGCATCTAAGAAGCGCAAACTCGATAATATCCCGCCCGTGATGCCGCATTCGCTCGACGAGAACGCCCGCATCGCCGCAGAGGAAGACAAGCGTCGCCGCAACACAGCCGCAAGCGCCCGCTTCCGCATCAAGAAGAAGCAACGTGAGCAGGCTCTCGAGCAGTCGCAGAAGGAGGCACAGGAGAAGGTGGCCAAGCTCGAAGCCACTATTGAGCAGCTGCAGACGGAGAATGCGTGGTTGAAGAGCCTTATTACGGAGAAGAGCGGCGGCAAGAGCACAACGGAAGAGATCAAGGCGCTCATGAACAAGCGAGAGCAGGCGGCAACTGGACGGAGTAGCTCGGCGCACACAGACGGTGTGGGAACACAGGCCAAGAGCCCAAAGGCGGAGGCCTAACCTATTCGATGATACCTAGTTGGCCGTGCTTGCTTTTTTGTTTCCTTTATCGTTGATCTTGTTTGGTACGAGAGTGCTTTGATATACCTCTTTGATTGTGGCCTGGGTGGCTGATGTTATTGTGTGTGTATGGGTTGCACTGTGCTTCCATAGGCTGGTGTGGGGGTGGGGACGATGGATTTGGGTTGCGGGATGCATGTGGCCATGATGATGTTGATGCAGACGAAGGAACGAGAAGATGACTATTTTACACACAAATACATACCATGTTCAAACACAGCGCACGTCATTCATGCAGGTGCCCGCTGGGCTCCACTTGAACACGCACGGTATGACACGACACGACACGGTACGAGGGGATCGGTACGAGAGGGGTCTGTCGTTGGACTGTGCAATACGACGAGGTAGAGCCACGGACTGTTCACTGGTAAGGCACGGACAATCAAAAGGTAATAGGTATCAATTTCGCTGCCTTGAGCTTTTCAACGCCACTAGCCATGAAGAAAAGCAGAAGTAGAAGGAAACAGCACTCGGACAGCGTATCCAAGTCAGGCAGGCAGCCAGCAACTTCATCCACGCCCTGTTTTTTTTGCGACAGCCGGTGACTCGAGCAAGGTTCATCTTCGGCTGGGAAAATGCAACCTCGCCCACCGATTCCTGCCATGACGCTTTCTACGGGTTGCCTTCTAGATGGCAATCCAGGTAATGGTGATGACAATGTCCATGCCCTTGCTGTCGGCAGCCTCCCACTTGTACGTGTACGTTCCGTCCTTCTCGTTGTTCCAGAAGGCACCAACAGCGCTGTGCATGCCACGGCGGCCCTGCTTCTCAATTTCTGCGGGCGAGTTGCCGTGGTGTTGGATCACTGTGCTGTTGGCAATGTACTTGTAGGCGGGTTGCGAAGGAGCGTCTGGGTTTGACGAGTCTGCGGCGGGCGTAGTTTTGCTGATGAGGGTCTTGAGAATGTATTGCTGAAGAGGCAAGTGAGTCAGCCATTGCGTGTTGAGGGCTGCATTGGCTGCGGATGAACCTACAATGATCTCGCTGTTCCAGTCTCCTACTTTGGTGTGGTCGTATGATGTTGCGGCTCCAACAGCTTGCTCACAAGCCTAGGGGTCATTGTCAGTCCGTGATGTCTGAGATGCCTGGGATGGCAGGTTTGGAGACAGTGCTTACTGTTTTGGCAATCTGCTGGAGGTCGTCGGTGGGGAGCGGTGAATGAGACTGTCTCTGTCAGTTAGCAGGCTGCTCTATGCTGTGTTCTTGTGCCAGGGGAGACCGACAGCCATGGTGGTGATGGTGATGTTATTGGTAGGAATGCAGGTAGGGGATGCGCAGAAGGGCAGAATTGGCCGGGCTTGAGGCTATAGCAGAGTGGTGCGTGGGGAGGCTGCGATAAGTGAGTGTTTACGTGTTTGGCAGAGCTAGCGTCGAGGTCAGTGCCCGTATGCCGACGTGGTTGCTTTCTGGCGGCCTGCCCTTGCAGCTGCCGCACCACCCCAGGCATGCCCCGACACCGACGGCGACAGCCAATCAGCAGCGCGCATTCCGTCGCTATCACATGGGCACATGCCGGCTCGCCATTGGCTGCAGTGCCGTGCTTTGCTTCGAGGCATGGGTCTGTTATTGGGTTCATCGCGACCCGCAACCAAAGACAAGCTCTGATGCCTTCTGACGCACGTTTCCACTCCTCTCGCCTCTTTCTTCTTCTCGACTGAAACGGTGCGAGCTGCGCAGACTTTTGCTTTGTGCAACACCCGCCCATTGACACCCAGACCGCGTACACGAAACCCTCGAGCAGCTCTCAGTTGCGATACACCAGTAGCGCACTACATCATCCACTTTCGTCATGTCTACCCAACCACTCCTCCAGACCGCGCCGGGTAAGCTCGCGTCCTCGCCAACGGCCTTTTGACCCATAGCGCCTCTCTAACCCTCTTCCCCCAGGCAAGCGCATCGCGCTCCCCACCCGCGTCGAGCCCAAGGTCTTCTTCGCCAACGAGCGTACCTTCCTCTCATGGCTCAACTTCACCGTCATCCTCGGCGGCCTCGCAATCGGCCTCCTTAACTTTGGCGACAAGATTGGAAAAATCTCCGCCGGCCTCTTCACCCTTGTTGCCATGATGGCCATGATTTACGCCCTCTTTACCTTCCACTGGCGCGCGAGGAGTATAAGGATGAGGGGCCAGGGCGGCTTCGATGACAGGCTGGGTCCCACCATCCTCACCATCGCTCTGTTTGCTGCCGTCATTGTCAACTTTGTCCTGAGATTGACCATGGGAGGCGATGAGCACAGCAAGCACTAGATTTGTGTAACTAAACCATCGAGCATACAAGCCATCTTGGGCGGAAGCATGCGGGCGCACCGAGAATATCGTGCCAGAAAATGAATGACGCGTCAGAGAATGAAGAAAAACGTGGCCGGCTCGTTGTAACACGCACTGTTCTGTAAGATTTGTCGGAGACGAAGGGAGTTTGGACCAAAAAAAAAAGAGATGGGCGTTTCTTTTGGTTGTTCAAATGGAGTTTGAGTTGTTGCTGTGGATTTTTTGTATTAATATGCATCAATGCGAGTGTACTTCGTCATATCTCTAGGTGCACATGGCGGGCCATATTTTCCTTTGTCCCAAATATATGTTTACCCATTACTTCAAGTTAACTGGTCACAAAATATGGGTTTCTCTAGTACCTCAACACATCGTTCGTATGAGCAAGCATGGTCGAGATCGAGATCGAATGCTGTGCAGCAATGATGTTCGATAGATACAACCAAAACACGATAATAAAGAACTACATGTACAAGTTCTAGTACGTTCTGTTGTTCCCGTAACAACAAGTATTTGGTACGATAACACATACCAAATCTACCAAATGAAGCGCTGCAAGTTTCCAGGCTCGTTGGGCCATGTAAATGTCCAGTTCAAGAAGACATACGATACGGCCAAGTTGATGGCAAGCAGCCAGATGGTTTCCAAAACCAGACGTACATCGAGTACCGATTTCCAAGTCGATGATGACGATGATGCTTCAGTGTTTGGTGTTGTGTGACGTGCAACATGCAACCGCCAAATAACCCAGGGAATGATAAAATATCGTGGTTCGACCAAAGGAGCTGTGATCACGGATAAAGTAGTCGCAGCTATCCATATAACGATGAAGCTGACGCGACATGATTGATCATCTACCAATATTGGGGGAGAACCAGTTTTGCCTTTATCCTTTAACGTGCCTTCACTGCCTGAACGAATAGTCCTTCTCGGTGTCGCGAGAGCGCTGGTGATGGACCATGCGCAGATGAAGTAGACCGGCACTGCAATATATCTCAATGCTGGGTATAGACGGAGGATTTTGAACACATAAAATACGTAGTGTCGGTTGTCGGCCAAGGTATACGGGTGAATGATGGTGTTGAAGTGGACTGCGAGTAAGGCCCAGGTAATAAACATGCCGGATGCGAGGAGAGATGGCAGTCTATAAGTAGAAGTGTTCAAGGCTTTATCGCAAGTAGCCTGGACCTGCTTTGGTAGCACTAGGATGACGAGCCTAAGAAATGGTCCTACCAGAAGTGGGATTGAGAAGAACACAAAGTATGGCCAGATGTACAGCATTTGCGGCATGTTTATCGTTGCTGTATGTGCGGATTTATCGCCTATTTATGTGAGCTTTATTTATATCCGGCATGTATCGAGAACTTACCTAGAACAACACTGCCGTTCCAAACAACGAAGCCCGCGAAGAGGGCCAGAATAATTGCGTACGGCAAAGCGACCTTGACTACAAGTAAAGGCTTGCCGAGAGCGGCGACTACAACGGATGCCAGAAATATGATGACATCTATCAATCATTAGCTGCTATCGTATGTCTCGAGCGAGTACAGGTCTGCTCACCTTGAACATCAGCATCCTGCACTGGGGGGTCAACGATCCTTCCTGTAGCCCAACTATCTTGTAGAATCTCTGTAACGTCTTTGGACTTCGAGGCAGACGAGGGCCCATCAGCCTTCAAAGCGTTTACAACGGCAAGGCCGGCCGGAAAGACAGCAACCCAGAAAACATTTGTTTGTCGAAAAAAAAGGGCGACGATTCCAGACAAAAGAACACCGACGGCAGGCAAAGGGCTCAAAGATGATGATGGGCTGACCAGGTGTGTAGTGTATGCGAATAATACGACCAGAGTAGACATTACATCAGTGTAGTAAAGTCCAGAGAAGAAGAAGAGTGGAGGAAAGAGGGCGATGTTGACGGCAGAGTGAACATCGGTAAAGATAGTCGAGTCCCTAGCGGAAGGTTTATCTGGATTGTTGCGAGCCCGTAGTATGCGTAGGATGAGGTAGCTCATGGGAAGAATAGCGCATAGAGCAACGGCATTTTGCATACGTAAAAACCGTGTTTCACAGCCTAAAAAAAGTTGAAAGAGTTTTGATACCAAATATCTAGGCCAACGGTAAGTTCATATGTCCGTTATGGCTGCGCAAGTTGATCGTACAGGCCTGGTGGGGTGGTAATCTTCGGGTCCCATGAGTAGTCTCCCTCACAATACTTCTGGGCCTGCGGAACATGAAAAAACTCATCCTGATATCATTAGTAGTATATCGTCACACCTGAATGCAGACTTACGAGGTAGGGCTTTGGCACTCGACTTGACACATATTCGGTCCAATTGACAGTGAGACAAATGATGAACACGAAAGCACCCGGCAGGGACCACACTTCAAATAAAGAAGCCATTGGTGGTCACTCTACTTAAGGTGCAAAAAAAGAAGGTCACAGGGAGAAGTGAAAGTATCGGTGAGATCAATTGGAATGGAGATGTTCCTGAGCGAGCTAGTCCCAAGACGGCGAGTTTCCGCGGCGCGTCTTCACTCAGCCTGGACAACAATTCAAGGTGCAAGGCAACGCGTCGCAACATGGCATTGCCCCTCCCACCGGGGCTGACGCCCCCAGAGATTGCATTTCTGTGTGAAATGGAGCTCGTCACCATCATACCCCGCCAAAGACTCGAGGGTCTTGAGCTTCTTGGGGTGCGTATGCCCCTCCAACACCCCACCACTAACCCTCTCACACTGCGTCCCGTATGGTGCCATGGTGTTGATCAATCCATAGGGACCTATAAGACCTCTGAATCCACCTCATAGAGCCAATGTGCCTCTCTGGCTCGCCCTGTTGCTCAAACGCCAACGACGCGCAAATATCCTTCCTCCACCATGGCTGAATACCCACTCTCTTACCGCAATTCTCGAACACGAAACAGACCATGCAGAGACCTTCTCTCCACCTCCACGACTACCTCCGCAGCCCTCGAATAATACTCTCCCCATCTCCCCACCCTTCTTGTCCAACTCGACAGCAGATGGAGCACCAGATGCTTTGCCTTACCACTGGCTCGAGCTAGGCGAGATGTTGTTGGAGACAGCCTCGGATGACTTTGAAGACCCAGACAACGTACGAAAACTATTGCGGGGGCTCAGGGAAGTACGTATGGCAAAGCTAAGAAGCGGAGTGGACGTGCTAGATGCAGGAGGTGGCTTCAAGATGAATGGTGTCGGGGGTATGGAGATAGGAGAAGGCAGATCATTCATTACTGGGGTGATTGATGGGTTAAGGTTTGTACACCATTGTGTCTCGATAGTGCTGTTTTGCTGATCTGGAGCAGGAAAATTGCAGCTTCACGGGAACAACAGCGCAAAGACCGAGATCGAGAAGAACTTGAGAATGGGTACTCGGGCGCGGCCGACTATGACGACGACGAAATGGATATGCAATGAAGGCCGATTCAACAGACACTTGAGGAGCCATAGAGCAAAATAACGCCATAATGAGCAACGGCCTACACAAACGCTCGTAGGCCTTGCTGATGCGCTATCAAGGTTGAATATCTTCGGCGATTCCGTCCGATATCTGACATGAATCCCTCGACATCGGCGAGGCGACGGAATGTGGAACGCTCAACAATGCATTCATACAAGATGCATAGCAAATAGCTCGAAGAAGACAAGATGGCTCAGATAACAGAAAAGGTCACATGGGGGAGCGCTATGTCTTTGGTCGAATGACTGGATTCAAAGCACGAAGTCGCGGCCATTGATGATCTGCAGCGAAAAATCTCTGCCCTCGCACCAGAAAGAGCTACGCTGGATGTTGCACATACGTACAAATATCGTATGACCAAGCAACTTGTTCCATGAGAAACGTCGTAATCCCCTGAATGTATGTAACACACGCCGGAGCGGAAAGCACGGAACGAGCGTAGTCTTCATAGCAATCAAAATAAAAAATAAAAATGAGGCCAATGGCCCCGTGAATTCATAGCCAACGGACCCCTCACAACCAAAGCGTAATTATCCAACATCCCACCAAGGGACCCGTGTCTGACACGCAGCACGTCAATGCCCCCCCCAGCAGCGTTAAACTGAGCAGCATTTCCGCTGACGAGACCCACAACGACGCGGGCACAGCACTGACCGAGGGCCAACGCCAAAACGGCTGAAAACGCACACCCGATTATCCACATGGCATGACCCATCTCCCTCTCTGCCTCTCTCCCCCAATTAAGGGACCCTGATACCCAGACAAGAACAAGCCCATAATATCCTGCGACTCATGCAAGTTAAATACCGCCGAACCGGGGCAGTTTGGCGACAAAAAGGTGGGTCCTTTTCGTGCGTGCTTAGCCCCTCCAAGATAAAAAAGGTCCCCCTACCCCCATCGATCTGACGGACCAACGCACCGGACAACGGAGAAGGAGGAGGAGGAGGAGGAGGAGGAGGAGGATGGGAGGGTCTGTTGACGCGAGCAGCGCAAAGAGCAAAAATTATGAGTATTTGATATACTTGTCATCCAACACCCAGACACGGGGAAAAAAAGGGTTTATTTACCATACTCTCGATAATGAGTAAATGTGAATGTGTGTCTGTGTATGATGTGCGCGCATCCATCACCCTGCTTCCCCCCCTCCCCTTCTCCCACCCCCAAGTTCCTTAGTCCAACACCTTCCGAGGTTGACAAAGCTCGGAATTTCTCAGGAACAAGGATACGACCAGTTTCCGGGTTTCCCGCATCCTTACAACCCCCCTCCCCCCTTCTCCCCTTCCCCGTGGATCAGCGTTTTGTTCGGGTGTGCTTCCTTGTGTTCGCGTCATCTGCTGGGAAGGGATGATGGTTGATGAGGGGGGGGGGAAGTTAGGGAAGGAAGGACAAGCGCGTTTTGGATATACATGCATCCGTGGACTTGTCAGCACTACTACTAGTAGTGCTCTAGTAAACTCGAGTGCTGGTTTTTTGGGTATTTGGGGCCGAGAGATGGGGTTTTCTGTGCTCCGTATTAGCAGGTTGGATTTCCGCATTCAGGTGGCGTATCCGTGGCGTATATTTTGAGTCTAGATTTTTTTCTTTCTTAACAATCTTTTGTCTTTCTTCGAGTCCTTTAAAACTTGTATTGGGAATGCGTGGGAGATGGCATGCTGGGTTGGGGCTGGGTTGTGAGATTGCCAAGAGCGTGATACGAGGGCTGCCGCGCATGTACGGCGGCATGTTCGTATAAACACATGAACTAAACACCAAATCGTTGCACTACCATTGCTTTCTTTCTTTTTTCTGAGCAAGACTATTGAAAGTCGATTTCATCTACGAGGTGCGAGGCGTTAACATTTCCCGTCCCTGAATTTCTCTAAAAATAAACGGTCAATAATGTCGAGTCTACGGTAACGACATGTCGCCTCGAACAGGAAGAGATATTAACAATCTATTTAACTTTATTAACTTTGGTCTTCTTCAGCCCTGTAGGGAGGGGTGATTTCCGCCTTGCACACAAGCTTACGGAATACAGTACCACTTTATCCTGTTTCAATCTATATCTTCATATCATATAGACAGGCAGACGGGCTTGCTGGCAGAGTGGACGAAGTGTGTTTTGCATGTTTACGTCTCTCGTGAACTTTCTTGTCAACACCTATGCCTGATACGATGCGGAAGTGTGTTGCAAAATATCAATACGTCAATGGTCGCTTTAGGTTCGCATGTATCCTGTGATCAGTCGGATAAGTGATACGAGGGGCATCGATGACGGTAACGATGATAGTAATGATGGCTGAAGTGGTGACGGAATCGATTCCAGCCGAATGAAAAGGTCAAGCATCGACTATGGTACATCGCAGCATTGCCGAGTTTGCCATCCTATCCAAAATGAAATGGGTAAGAAGAAAAATATCATGACATAGACTTTGTCTCTATGGGTTTGGCGTTGCAGTGGCGGATGTGGCGGCGATAGTGCAAACATCGTTTTACGTACCTTCCCACGCTGGGAACACGAGTAGCCATAATCTAACCCCTTTTCTTCTTAGCGAGACGTAGAGAGCAAGCGTGTGCGTGTAATGTATACGTGTACTGCAATCTCGAATTGTAACGGAAAGTGAGGAATGAAGGCACAATCGCTCAAGTACAGGCCAAGCAATGGCATGGCAAACTTTACGCACACACATACTATATATATGTGTGTCTATATACACAGACATGTACATGCCCAGCGCGGCAAAGTTCTCGAACCATGTGTGCGCAAGAATTAAAGTTCATATATGGTATTGCCTATAGCTGAGTTGCAGGGTTAAGGCGGCTGAGTCGTAACAAGGCCAAAGTGCTCGGGGAGGGTTAGGGGACGCGAGGCGAGACCGAGGCGAGACGAGGCGCGGCGCGAGGGGCCAGTGGGCGAAGAAATCCACGTGGATGTGGATGTGCATGCGGACCAGGAGGCCTGCCGATCCCAAAAAGTTTCCAGCCAACAATCAATGTGCAGAGTGGGAGCCAACGAGCGAAAACAATGCCATGTGGATGAATGGGACGCCATCGGTGATATTTCGGTGTGTTTGTGATTGATCCTGCCGCGAGTATTGAGGAGAGAAGCAGGAGGTGGGGGGAATGTGATGATGGACATGAACAATGAAAAAAATCAGGCAAGTATTGTACAAAATAGGTATGCAGGGTGCGAGGATAAAATGGTGTGTTGGAAGGATGTTGGTATTAGTGGGTAGTCATGATACATACTGGTAGTTGAGTGTCGTAGATACACTACCTAGTATCATGTCACCAAGTCACTCAAGAACCTGCCTATTCACTCTATTGCTCACTCATTTCCTTACCTACTCGATAGCAACCCAGCATGATAGTCTACCCTTATCGATATATCGCACGGTCAGCTTCCAACAAGGTAAGTAACCCAACATATCCCTTGTCAGGCCAGAGGCGGACTGACTCGCCACCATGTACGAACCCTTGACCACTGTGCAAACAGCGGCAATCCCATCAACGATTCCGTCTGACGCGTGGCTAAGGCCATGGTCTATGGTCTGATACCGACGATCAAGGTTTGAATAAGCATCCAACACGGTAACTTTGTTGGGGCCGCCGGTGACAAAAGTACGGTAACTCGTAACGGGCGAAGGCGCTCATTCTCTTTCCGCCTCACTCCCACTTTTCCGCTCTCCCTGGTTGGATGGCAGTCATGTCCGGTTATCCCAGCTGCGAGCTGGGCACACGAACGTGGAAAGGAAGATCCCAGGGAGGGATTGAAAAATCATATGCTTGCGTTGGAAAGTAGCCTTGATTTTATTTAATATTTGGGAGGATTTTTTATTGGTCCACCGTGGGTTCGCATTTTACTACGGTTCTGTTGCCTCTTGTGGTAGTCATGTGCCGAGGGATGGGGAACGCGAAGCTACTACATCAGCGTAGTTAGTCATGTGAAAGATTGGCAATGCGGGACGCTGAATCTTCTATGACAAGTACATACACATCTTTCCCGTTGCATATGACAGGAAGGCAAGTGAGTCGTGTGGGTTTGCGGAAGCCGGGATTGTGAGTCGAGATAGGTAAGACAGCGTCATTGTCTTTCCTAAGCGACGAGGCTGCAGATTTGAATATAGTGAAGGGGGGATATAGGGACCTAGTTCAAGATGCAAGCGACATAGTCGGTAGATCGCAAACGCAAATGCATTGTGATGCTATACTGGCTGTATATTGGCATTTGGGATTTGAAAACAAGAAGCTGTCATGGCGAGGGTAGCTGTGTGTCTCGAGTCAAGGACAGAACACGAGACTGGGATACCCTAGAAAGAGAGCCATTTGCGCGGCAGTTGAGTTGAATGTAACTAGTACACATGCGCGGGAGGAGCATGGTTGTCAAGGTTGTAGTATGTTGTGCGGAAGATCATTCTAGGGCTGTGGTGTGAAAGTCGGCGAGATACCATAGCGCCTTTGTCATGGGAGCCGATTGGTGGTATTGTGTGCTGATCTAAAGAGGGTAGGTACGGTAGCTAATCAGGCAAGTAGTTGCGGTTCCTTAACCGGTAATTGAGTTGTTACAGCCCTACTCTGATAAACAGTGAAGGTCCTGGTATGTCTAAGACAACTGCTGCAGTGCGTGTATGAGGACAACTGCCGTGAAGAGAATTGTCATGAGTTTCTTGTCCCTGCATTCTTAATTCCAAGCCTGCAGACGAGTCATACCGCAGGAATGATGCAATATCCTTTATATACCGACTTTTTGTCGTCGACTTGAAGAATTGATACAGAAGGCTTAAACTTTGGAATGCAGTGTGTTATGGTGGGGCCGGATGAACTCAAGATTGCTTTTGTACTGCGTTTCTGAAACTTGACCGATGGTGCAATCAAAGTTACATCGCGTTGGGCAGGACGCAACGAAGAATCGAGAGATCTGGACAAAACAAAATCAATCGTTCAGGTGGTACTGTGGAGTCGAGAATACCTTTGCAGCGGCTCTTGCATATCGGCCCGGCATTGCGACGTATTGCTTCTTTCCAAAAGCAGATTGCTGCGCATGGCCAAGCTCCGAAAGAAAAAAAAAGATATGCATGCACCTACGACCAAAAAAAACAACCCTTGACCGTTTACCCAGCAGATCACATGTTTGCTTTTGTCGCAACCAATTACCCATGATACCGTGCGGTGAAGTGTGCTCTTTCTTCCTCCCTCGCAAGCGGCTCAACTAAAGGAAATGCTTCAACAACAAAAGTGCAATCCCCACCGCAGATCAGGACTTAGCTTCCCCATCCCATGCTCTTGCACTTTCTCCATCTGCAATAACCTACCAGGGTGGCAATAGCAGCCATCGACGTTATCCAGCCATCTTGCCATTTTGAGCAGGTTTAGTCCAGGAAAAGGAAGAATGTGAGACAGATCCCATACGCCTTGAGAATGATCTGATACCAGCTACATACGCCGCGTTCGAACATGTGGGTAGGCCCCGAAATTTGAGGTTGCTTCGTCGTCTATTCGAAAGGTGTTGGCAGCAATAATGATTTTCCGCGAATGGCGGAGAGACGGAGGGAATCCTCATTGCCGGCTCGATTGGGAATGGTGAAACGTGGACCTGGTAAACGGATGACATGGGAAGCAGGGAATCATCAGAGCCATGAGTATGTACCTACGGGCGACTCTGAATGCAACGTGAAGAGAGAAAAACACGCCTCTCGTAACTTCATTAAATCTATGATGAAGAGCAATAGCTCTCGTATTAATTGGCAAGATAGTTCCAAGTATAGACAGAGCCGGGTGCTTTTCCGAGATGTGGAGTAGAGATCAGCCATGTTCAGCAGGGGCCGGGCACTGCAGCCGAAGATCGACTTTAACGCCATCGTTGTAGCAGGGAAGAAAAGCGGCACGCAGAGGCCGGGAGGCTCGATGAGATGCAAGACAGAGCTTGAGTGATGCGAGAAGAGGTTGAATGCTAAGCACATGCGTAGTATGAGTAGCGTCTTGAGAGTCGCTTAGGAGGATCCGTTGGAGCGCGATAAAGAATCGGAATTGGCCTGGACCCTTGAATTAGTCGCCTATGGAGCCAGTGGAACGTTGCGAAAATAGCACCTTGGCTTTGATTACCACTTAACACCTCAGCGAGGATGACACATATATCTCAAACCCGAGATTCTCGCCGTATACATATATAGAGTATTGATTTGTTGCTGCTGGGGTCTATATTGCCCACAAAGCTTTTTGTCTTGGAGACGGGCGCCAGTGAAGCATGTCGTGCAATGACAGACTCTTCATGACACTGCAACAGGAAAACTCTACCATCAGCACTGATTTGGGGATGAAGGCCTCGTCATGCAACTGAGAGCATAAGAGCTGGGGATCAGCAAATCCTGCGACGCATGGAATACTCCTCGGAGAAAAGACATCTGACTGTGCCGCCCTTGCTGTGCCGCAAACATGCATTCAAAGTCGTTCACATGACGCTCTGTCACCATGGGCAGGAGGATATCAGTGCCCAAGCCTCGGCAATATTGCGTCGGAGTAGAGTAGGATCCGTTCATTGGAAGACCCACAATCCGGCCCGCGCCCTCGGGTCGTCGTCGGTCTTGCATGCACACGGGATGTGGCTCAGCTACACACCGGAGATCGAGGTCTTACAGAAGTGCAACTCGGCCGACGAAGAGTCTTGGTTCTAGCACGTTGTGTTCGGCTGGTAAGACCCCTGGGCCGGATGAGAAAAACTTAAATGTACATAATTTGATTGGCGGACGGCAGCAAAGTAAGTAGGATATGTGGATAAATTTAGAGTGATAACCTGGCTCACACAAATTGTGCAGCCATCGGCAATGAAGTCGGCGATGCGAATACCGGCAGCTAACGTGTGCCCGCGGCTGGTAGCTTTCATAGCAGTCGCGCTACGGGTCTCTAGCTTCGGCCAATGAGACACCCGAACGATGAGTTCGCAATGAGTTCGCAATAGGAGGTCAAGTTGCCTAGTGGTTGGTTCATTGAAAGAGAGGTTTATGATGGCAAAATGCTGTTACTGGTAAACGATGAGCGGGAGTGGGTTGCCACCTTGTGCCATGCGTCTCAAAAGTAGGTCGATCAAAGCCCTTCAGAGAGATAGGGGGCACTTGGACTAGCCCCGATATCCACAGAGGGGTGAGATCAGCGCGCTTCGACGACGATCTTTGTCTACACGGAAACTGGACCTCTTATGTGGCGCACTACGATACAATACTACTTTGGTCCCTGATTATCAACCGGGCCATGTCGGGTGTCAAGATCGCCAGCATGCCATTTGAAATGTGCTTGACGCCACAAGTCTACTATGCCTGACTGTCATGCGCTACCAGCGTCAAGAAGCGCCAGCAGGCCAATAAGGCATTTGGGCCATGATCTAGGAAAGACACCTCAAGTGACACCAAATGTCATTTGTTTTACCTAGGCGGGCAGAGTATGTAAAGACATACTGCTGCATATCTGCCGATCCAAAGCCATGGCGTTTGAATGGCATATTGGCTGCCAAGTAGGGTAGTGGGGCAATTGTTGAACGACTGGCTAGTGCCGTACTTACGTTGTAGAGATCGGATACGGATTACGATAGCGAGGTGTAGAATGAGGCTGGGGTGTAGCTGTGAGTACCTGCATTGCGAATAGCGCTAGCATGCACTGTTGATCAAGTTTGCAGCTCGTAAAAGCAAGTCGGGTTGCACGTAGATTCCCCACGGGCTGTGGGGGAAGCAAGATAGAGAGGCATCTGACGATGTCGGAACGGAGATGAGTCCGACGAATGCAGATTTTTACGCGGAGATGAACGCGAGGAGCATAGCGTCGTCATGATGATGCCGAGAGAGTTGCCAACACTTTTTTTGGTCGGCCATGTCGCAGGTTATTTGCAGGCGCAGCCTATGGCACATATGTATTGTAGTGTGAATTTAGGTCAAATCCCACACCTCCGGCGGTCGGAAGGTTTCTGGATGGCGACGCGATTGTGCAGTATATACTGTGGGTGGTGCAAAATTAAGTTATTGCCGGCATGTTGAGTGGATTGAACAGGGCTGAGGCATACGAGAGTTTACTTGTTGGGCCTGTTAGCATGGTATGGATACGACAGCAAAATGGGTTGATTCTTGGCAGGATAGTTTTGAGAGCCAGCATGAAGCGTAATACAGGGAAATGCTGTCCAATGGGCGTTGTGGACTGCAGCATGGCCAGCGTCGTCACTGTACTACATTGCCCCAAGTAGTGCGAGAAGACGCATTAATGCTAGTCGGGTACCGGGATCTGGAGCATAGGGTGCCGAGTCGAGCATGACGTGTGCGCGGGCGGCATTATATATCGTGTGGCAGTTTGGAAGCAGGACCAAGAGCAGTAAGAGAATGGGTAGCACTGCAGTAGCAGTTACAGCAGTTGCAGTAGTAGCAAGGCGCATGGTGCAGACGCCATGCGGTCGGTCAGTTGGTGTGCTCGCGTGCCATCGGGCCGGCCGGGGAATCGATGACAGCAGCAGTAGTATTAGCAGTAGTAGCAGTACTAGCAGTACTAGCAGTAGCAGCAGCAGCAGGATGCAGCAGCAGTGCTATGCCAGAGAGAGCACTATGTACAGGACAGCCATGTGGTCGAGACGAACGTGTATGGGATGGAGCAACGGCCGTGGCAACCGGGGAGCGTGGGCCGCCGGAAATTGCCCTCTCGGGCATAGAGGGGCGCATTCGGCGCGGGATGATCTTAGCTCTGGGCTGTAAGTGCAGCCATTCCAGGCCCTCGAGTCTGCGACTGGGGGAGTGGATTCGCAGTGGGGCTTTGGGCAGGCCTGTTGCTGCAGGCCGTCGGTCGCGTCTGCACATGTGCCCTGCGCTAAGCGGGGCCTTGATGCAAGCCACCGCACCGCACCCGATTGTGCGCTTGGTGTGCGCGTTGCACGTCGAGGGCTGGGCACGTCACAGCACCGCACCGCACCGCACCACGCACGGGGGGACGAGGGCGGAGGTGACGCCAGACGCGTAGTGCCGTTGCTGGCGGAGATTTGGTCCATACGACGGCCACCAGCGATGCTAGCGGGCGGCAGCAGTGCATTTGGGCCTCTTGGGCTATTGCACGCCGCCCACTCAAGCCTGTCACTGCCGCGGGTGGTGAAGGCGGGCGTGGGCGTGGGCGCTGGGCGCGGGAGTGGACGTCGATGTGGATGCGGTCGTCGAGGTAGTGGTGATAATGATGGGTGGGTGGGTGAGTGTGTGCGTGCGTGTGCAGGGGTGCGGCTATCCCAGCCGGGGGTCGTCGGCTGGGTGAATGGGGGTGTGTGTGTGGTGGTGGTGGTGGTGGTGGTGGTGGTGGTGGATGCATAGTAGCAGAGCGCAGTGTCCCCCAACGTCGACGGCCAAAGCACAGCAGCGCCAGGGCCAGGGAGAAATGCCGGGGACAACCCACGGGCTGCTCCCCTAGCACTGCACGGCCGCCGCGCCGCGAATCAGCGTCACGCCGCGCGCTCGCAGGCCATGGAGAGCAACGCCGCCGCCCGCCAACGCTCCTTGACCCTGGCCAAGCACCCCTGCACCACTGACAGTCGACCCCTGTCCGACTATTCATGAATCTTTTTGCACAGCAGCACCCGCCTGGCCCAAGGATTGCATCGTGATGTGATAATAACACACGTCCAGCCAGTCTGTCCAGCCTCGACGACTCTCCGCCTCGCCGCCTCTGCAGCCTCTCCCTCGCCGCCGTGCCAATTGCCCGCCGCCCGTGCTCTTGCTTTCTTTTCCAGTCGCTCCTTCCCTGGCCTGCAGTGCGCCTGCCTCGCAAACGAACCGTTGGAAGGAGCCGCCGCCGCCCCAGCCCTCCCCTGCAAACATCCTCGACAGCCAGGCCGACCCTTGCAATCCTAATCCTCTGCTTCTTTCCTGCTCCGCGCCGCAATCGCCATTACAAGATAGAGCCCTACACCCTCTCTCCCAGCACTGGCTCCTGCCCCTCCACAGCAACCACCCCCCTCTCAAACGCCTGCACGCCTCGACGAGAGACAGACCGTGTCTGAGCTTCTTCTTCTACTCGCTCCTTGCACAAGTCTACCCACAATTGCCCTGTGCCATCTTCTGTGTCCCGGAAACACACCCCGTCCCAGCTTTCTACCCGCCCGCCTAATTCACTGTTGCCATTTTCCCGGCAAACACAAACACCACTGGCCTATTCGCCCATCCATTTCTTTCACTGCAGCATCTGTCACGCTCCGCTTCATCCTCACCCACTTTGCCTTCACAGCGCGCTAGTCGCTGTCACATCGGGTATGTCACTTTCCGTTTGCTCCCTCCATCTCCTGCTCCACTTGCCTGCTTGGGCTCTCCTCGCACCATTGTCGTCGTCCCTCCCTCCTGCATCTATCACACAACATCATAGTAACCAGTCAACAAGAAGCACACTATACCACGATTCCACAGCTCTCATTTTACATACACCAGGCCCGTCTACCAAATGCTAGCTATACATGTATGCTCGTACAGCGCCTAGTTAGCGACTTTTCCTAGGACCATTTCGCCTCGCTTTTAACATGGCGTCGCCCAACCACGAGCAAGAAGACATGGACAAGCGATCCAGTGCACTCGTAGCACCCTTAAACATTCACAAGTCACCTAGCAGGTCATGCTCTCGTACAGCCATCCGCGGCCATAGTCGACAGTCATCCTCAAGGGGTACTCTTGGAAGCCACTCGCAAAAGCACATGTCGCCTCCATTGACCCCAAAGTGTTCGACTGAGGCCATGGCTCCACAGCAATCACAGCAACAACAACAACCCCAATTCCACAACTATCTCCGCGCCTTTTATCACTACAACCCGACCTCGACTGTTTCATCATCGTCGACAGACGAGTCTTCCATCACCGTAGCCATTAAACAAGGCGATGTCATCCTCGTCCATTCCGTTCATCCAAATGGATGGGCCGATGGCACATTGTTGGCCTCAGGTGCTCGTGGATGGCTCCCGACCAACTACTGCGAGCCTTATGACCATCCCATTATTCGAAATCTGCTAACTGCTCTCACATACATCTGGGATCTTGTCCGCGACGGAGAGAATGGCGACCTGGTCGCCTTTTCGAGGCAAGACTACGTCCGAGGCATGATCGTCGGCGTACGACTTTTCCTTGTAAGTTCGGCTCATTCAGTACATCCACATTTTCATCTTTTACCCTCCTGCTAACTCTTATCAGGAAAGAACCGAGTGTCTACAGAAGGACTCGCCGCTCGTTCTGGCCCATGTAGGTTTGCGTCGTATGCGCAAAGCCCTGTTGGGCGATCTCTCTACCCTCGTAAAGACGGCAAAGTCCTTCCAGGAAGCCTTGCAATCAGACGAGCTACCCCTCCCCGTATTTGAGCACATGGATGAGCTTGTGTTCAAATCGTTCAAGCTCGTCACCAGGGCAGTTCGTTTTCTTGACATCTGGACAACAGATGCCGTCTCTCTGTCACTGTTTGAGCTAGATGATGTGGACAACCGCCCACTCACCCCGCCTTCGGACGCTGCAGTGGAACCCATTACAACATCGGCCCCATCGACCGACGATAGTGTCTCGGCGAATGCTTGCGATTCTCCAGTCACACAGGCCAGCGGATCGACCCAGGACGACTGGTACACTGGATCCGCCCAATCGTCGCGAAACTTCAACCGCCTGTCCGTCGCCTTCTCCTTACCGTCCGAAGCAGACTCTGTCCAGTCATCAATACTACATTCTCAATCCGGATTCCAATCGAAACGCACCTCTATGACGCATCGCTTGTCATACACGGGCAAGTCTTTTTGTGCGCACAGGGGAAACCTCGCTTCCGAGAAGCTCAACACTGCTCACGACGCTTTTCTGGGCTTCATCGGCTCTTTTATCGGTTTGCACCTGCAATCGCGCTCTTCTGATGAGCTAGCTCAGACGACAAAAAACTCTGTCGTCGCTTGTAAACAGCTCCTCACAGTTGTTGAGGAGGTATGGGAACGCGACTCTCGAAGGTCTAACCCGCTCGAGGAAGCACGAGACGCCATGTACGCCCGTCTGACCGAACTTGTGCAAGCTACCAAGGACATGTTCATCCAGGCAGATGCAGAGGGCGAAGAAGTCGTGGCGCCAGATGCTGGGAAGCAGATTGTCAAGGCTGCCACAAGCTGTGTACGGGCCGCTGGTGACTGTGTCACCAAGGCTAGGGTTGTGATTGAGAGGATTGGTGACTTTGAGTTTGAAGCTGAGGCTGCTGGTTTGGGACTAGAGAAATCAATATTCCAGGAACCCAGCCCCAGCGAGCAGCAACAACAACCAACAGTTGAGAGGCCTGCCTCACCTAAGCCTAACGAAACTGCCATGGAGACCAACAAGCCACTGCCAGCACCGCCAGCTGAGGAGCCTGAGAAGCCCCTCCCACCTGTCGTCTCCGAATCGAAGCCTTTGCCCGAAGTGCCACTTCCTTCGCCCATTGAAAAACAAAGGATTAGTCTACAGCCGACTCCTCAGCCAGTCATCGTCGAAAGTCCGACTGCCGCATCCTTCAGATCGTCGCGTGCATCTCTGCCGCCTCTCGATGCTGTGCCTACCCCGGTACTGAATCCGTCCACTCTGTCTGAGTCGGCCGAGAGTCCTGCAAGCGCTACTCAAGAAAGCCTCGCTGGCTCTTTGAACGCTGAAAGCGTCATCGCATCTGTCACCGACAGCGCCAGTACCTATCGCTCCAGTGCGCGAGACGGCTCTGTGAGTGTCGAGTCTCTTGTCTCGACTCGTGCCACTACCCCAGACCACTCGCCCTCGAAGAAGCAAAGCTGTCAAACCTTGGTCAGCAGCGTTGGTAGTTGCTCTGAGCTTCAGCAGTTGGCCAATGAGGATGTTGCTGCTGGCGAGGAGCACTTGTTGGAGACAACATACGTGCACGAGCTAGTTTACAACAAGGATGGCCAGATCTCTGGCGGTTCGCTCCCAGCCCTTGTAGAGCAGCTGACGACGTACGAGTCCACACCAGACATTGTCTTTGTCAACGCCTTCTATCTCACCTTCCGCCTTTTCACCACACCGACTGAGCTTGCACAATGCCTGATTGACCGTTTCGACTACATTGGCAGCAGCCAAACCGTGGGTGTACCGGTCCGTCTCCGAGTTTATAACGTTTTCAAGGGCTGGCTTGAAAGCCACTGGTCAAGCGACACGGATTGTGCCGCCTTGGGGGTCATCTTGGCATTTGCGACTGGAAAACTCCGAGCTGCCATGCCCGGTGCCGGTAAGCGACTAGCCGAATTGACATCCAAGGTAACCGAAGTGAGGGCCGGAGCCCTTGTGCCTCGTTTGGTGTCGTCGATTGGCAAGACTGGTGCCTCAAATGCTACATTTACACCCGCAGACAGCAACGTCCCAACGCCACTCGTCAGCAAGAGCCAACTCAATGCTCTCCGGGCCAGCAAAGACGGAAAAGCGCAATGCAGCATCATGGACTTTGATCCTCTGGAGCTTGCCAGACAGTTTACCATTATTGAATCGAAGCTCTTTTGCGCTATTCAACCAGAAGAGCTTCTTGCTCTCGAGTGGACCAAGAAGAAGGATTCCAAGGCACACAACGTCAAGGCAATGTCAACTCTTTCGACCGACCTTGCAAATCTGGTTGCTGATACCATTTTGCAACTTGAGGATGCTAAGAAGCGAGCAGTCATTATCAAGCAGTGGGTTAAGATCGCAGCCAAGTGCTTGGAGCTGCACAACTATGACTCACTCATGGCCATCATCTGCTCCCTCAACTCTTCCATGATCATGCGTCTCAAGCGGACGTGGGACCTCGTGTCAACGAAGACCAAGGCTCGCTTGGACGAATTGAAAGCAATCACCGATGTTGGACGTAACTACGCCGTACTGCGACAGCGTCTTCAAGACCATATTGCGCCATGCATTCCTTTTGTTGGCATCTACCTCACAGATCTCACATTCATCGATGTTGGTAACGGTACTACACGACAGCTCCCTGGTGACTCTGGGTCTGGTAGTGTCTCTGTTATCAATTTCGACAAGCACATGAAGACTGCGAAGATTATCTGCCAACTGCAGTCGTTCCAAGTTCCCTACCGGTTAGCCGCCGTCCCAGAAATGCAAGACTGGATGGATAGCCAAATACAACGGATGCGTGCGAGCGACCAAGCCAACGTTCAAAACTACTACCGTCGTTCATTGCTTCTCGAACCGCGCGACACACAGCATTCCACAAGGGGTTCGCCATCCATCGACAACAGTGCTCAGAGCATCTTGTCAACTGAAAGCCGAACCACCTCGAAGGACAAATTCGAGTTTCTCAATTTCAACTTCTCGACCTCGAACCTCAAGGGTTCCTAGACTTGTTTACCTTGCTTCATTGCGCGTTTTCTTTTCTGAGCCGTACTCTCTGGTCTCCCCTCCCAGATCGATTCGATGCTCACATGTATACCGGCTGGCACTTTTGGTTCATATACGTTAATTCTTTTTGCGTTTATTTTTGTTTCTTTTATTCTCGTCCGTCATGCTTCGGGCACTTACGATACCAATGCCGCAGTCTCTTTTGTTTGTTTTATACCACTTCAGCGATTTTCCTTTTGGGTGGCAACTGTCTTTTTTTTTGGTGGCAGACTACAATCATCTGTCCAATATCTCTTACATTTTGCATAACCATTTGGACTTGGAAAAGCCTGTAATAACTTGGGTTTTTTTTGGCGTTAGAAAGAGAGAAGATTCCGCTATCGTAGCAAACGGCCTATCAGTGTGATGGCAAGGGAAAAGCATCACAGTAGGAGATGCAGGAAGAGAAAAAGGGTTTTCCTATAGCTGTGTAGTGTCTGGTATCAGAAGTCAATCTGGCCAGTACTTTTGCAAATGAAAGAAATCATCAAAGAGTGTTTCATTTTGAAAAGTGATGGATGCACACGTGATGGCAACGGCGTTAAGGTTGATACAAAAGGATTGTGGAGATACGGATGTGGTTCCAGTACTGCTATGCATACCTTGGCTGCTAGATAGTCGCCGATCATACATTTATTCGGGGTCTTTTGCACTCACGATGGTTTATCCGAACCAGGGCATACGAGTCCTAAACACCGCAATCTATACCTGCAACTTCCTAGCGCTTATTTTCTTCTTTTTGAAATGGGGGTCTTTGTAGAGCATGACGAGGCATAAGGACGTGGTGGTGTATGTACACACTGGCTACAAAACTAGCGCGCTCCGAGTACGGCGAAGTCTCTCTCTCTCTCGGGGTTCCGCAAATTCCCCGCGCCGATGACGAGCATCAGTCACCCGTTTAAGAGAAAGCACAACGAACATTTCTATTCCCTTCAACCACAAACATAACACACAGGCTCAAAATATATATAAGTAATATCATATTCAACAAGAAGGGACCAAAAAAGAAAAGAAAAGAAAAGAAAAACAACCAACCATGGCCCCCCAAAACCTCCTCATCGACGTCCGCACCCCAAGCGAATTCTCTACGGGCTACCTGACCTCGGACCTGGCCCCCACCATAAACATCGAATACCAGCTCATCTCCACTCTGCCCGCCGTGTGCGCTGAAAAGGGGATCCAAGTCGCCAAAGACGACCACATCACGCTCTACTGCCGCAGCGGGCGCCGCTCCAACCTCGCGCTGCAGACGCTGAGGGACATGGGGTTTACGAATGCGCGCGATATCGGGGGCTACGACGAGGCGCGCAGCGTGTTGGATCGGGAGCAGGTGGAGAGGCAGTTGGAGGAGGGGTTTGGGGAGGCGGGACAGGAGCAGGAGAAGGGGCAGGAGAGGGTCAAGAGTTTTGGGGTTTTGGTCGAGGGGTTGAAGGAGTTGGAGGGGTGATTTGTTGGGTTGTTGTTTTTTTTCCTCTTGTTTTTTTGGGTGGAGGAACTCTTCGGGGGGGTTTTTTTTTATTGAGGAGTGCTGTTTTTTTTTTCTCCGACTTTCTGTAAATGGTGTTGGGGGTTTATGTTTTGGCGGGGTACAAAGGAATTTGGTTCTGGGTGTATAAGTTGATGGGTTTGTGTACGCATATATATACGGGTTGGAATATTGAAACCTTGCCAATTCAGCAAAGACGATGCCCCTGTCTTCTTGTTGATCTAATTGTGAAAGGGAGATTTGCAGGAGGGGATTGGGACCGAGTAGTTGGTACGCGCACGTGTCCTCGTATTCTTCTAGTATCATCTCTAATTTCCACTACCTTGGGACAAACATAGTGTTTTTCGTACCCAGCAATGAACATGGGAATTTAACTTCGGCGCTTGGTGATCTCGGTTACTCTTGTCGAGTTTCCCCAACATGGCATGTTGTTTTCCTTTTTCATAACTCATATTCACACATTCGAAATTCTCCCGCTATATCAATCGAGATGTAGCTCGCCCTCGAGTTCAGCATAAGGGTAGTATTTCTGCGTCTCCGTCCACAGCGTTTCCTCATCTAATTGACTTGCGTCTAGGCCTGCGATGATGTCCCTAGTATATGTCAGTAATGTAGTCTCTTGCTCCGTGATACTACTCACTTGTCCTCGGCCAACACCTCGAAGCCAGGAACGCAATCAATCAGTGCATAAATGATGTAGCTTCCGATGAATGACCACATGAATCCAACAAGAGCCTCCACAATCTGAATACCCAGCTGTCGTGCGTTGCCATCGAAGAAGACGCCCCCAACAATCTCAGTCACTCCATCATAACCTGCGACTTCTTTTCGAGCGAAGCAACCGGTTGATATGGTAGCCAGAACACCGCCGATACAGTGTGTTGCAAAAGTGTCGCCATGGTCTACCCAGCGCCAGCGCCGAGCAAAGTCAGTGAACTTGATTCGGAGTGCCTGGCGGCAGACAAGTGCGCCTAGAATACCAAAGAAAAAAGAGGTTGGTAGATCGATAAAGCCAGCTGAGGGCGTAATCATAATAAGCCCTGAGACGGCGCCCATAAAGCACGAATCCAAACTCCAACGACCAACTTCCATGTACGTGTACAACATCCACGTCAGCGCACCGGAAGCGGCACAGAGGTTTGTAACGCAAAGTGCCATGACTGACTTGAAGTTGAATGCCAGAGTCGTACCAGCGTCGAAAGCGAGCCATGAGCCCCAGATACTAATCATAGCCAGTAGCTGACAGAGCGAGTTGACGGGACGATGGATAACCAGGTGTGCTGGTGTTCTTGTAGATGATTTGCGTGAGCGGAACAGAGGATAAGAAAGGTAAACAGACATGGCAGTTGCTGTTGCTCCAGAGTTGATGTGTACCGGTGTTCCGCCGGCGAAGTCCAGGACGCCCAGATCCATGAGGAAGCCTCCGCCCCAGACCATGTGTGCTAGGGGGTTGTATATGAATGTTGACCACAACTACTCAAATCAGGATATGGACCGAATTCCCAAAAAATATTACTCAGCTTACGAAAACAAAAGGTATCAGTGGCAGTATGCGGCCTCTCTCACAGGCACCCCCAACGGCAATTGCGCACACTGTAGCCTGGAAGACGAGTTGAAAGAAGCTGAAGAGGACTGCAGGTATAGTTCCCACAGGCTCTGCCAAAACACCCTTGTGCAATGCATATTTGAAATCTCCGAAGACGGCGCCTCCTTCTCCGTACGTTAATGTGTATCCGATCAGAAACCACTGTATTGAGCAAACAATGACGGAGAGAATTGCAGGCATAATTGCCGCAAGAGAGTTGGAGCGCGTAGTGTAACCACTGTAGGCAATGCCTACTGCCGGAATGATTCCCCAGCCTTGCGCAGTTAGCAAATACCATCTACTGCTATGAGATGCAAACGTACAAAAGACGGAGCAGACCAGTACGAAAAGAGTGTCAGTACGGTCGCAAGCAGCCCAGGCCTGCAAGACCTCTGTTGGAAGACCCATGGTAGGCTTCTGGGTTCGGGAATGACGTTAACCACGAACTATCTGCGAGGTTTCTTGTGGAAATGTCGTGACGATGTGGCTTTGAGGAAGGCGGGAGACAGGAATTTAAATAAAACCGATGCGAGCAAGCCACTTTGGCTGAGCGCATCGTGCTATTGGTATCCGCTCCACCCACAAGAAATGCCTCGCATTGTGGCTTTCCTTGTGCAATGGAGTTCGCTAGGACTTGCCTTCAATTGGTAGAGCCGAAGCGCGAGGTAGATCTTACCCGTGCTTACAAGATAAGCAATGGGATCGTGACGGGTGCAGATAGCCGGCCGGAGGCGTATCACTAATCGATGCTAAGTACGGATGGCTGCATCTCGGGGGTTTGCGACAAGGTGCATCATCGCCATTCTGGAACGGCATGTATAAGATCCAGTTCCCTGAACGGTCCAATGACCGTAATGATGGGACAGGATGGTATACTACATAAGGCCACAACGGGCCTTGAACGCCCCCGCATGTCCCGCCACTGCGGGCCGCACCAACGCACTAATTTGTTTTGAGCCTCCACAAAGATAGGCAACCTCACCTCTCCATTGCTAAACATTCCTTACCCCCAGGCTTCCCAAAAAATGCTTGAACTTGACGGTTTCGCGGTAAGTCAGGACTTAGTGCCTGCCGCACCCATCAAATCTGCTGGGGTCTCCAAAGTCGATTTTGACGGCCTGTTATCACCCCCACTAAGCCTGCATGAAGATCTGAAGAACGGTTGTGGTGGGCAGCTATGGCCCGCAGGCATGGTACTGAGCAAGTACATGCTGCGGAAACACCGCGATGACGTCGCTGGAAAAGAAATCGTCGAACTCGGTGCAGGAGGAGGGCTAGTTGGCCTGGCTGTCGCAATAGGTTGTAACGTGGACAAGCCAGTACACATTACCGATCAGATACCCATGTTTGACCTCATGGAACGCAATATCGCTCTCAATGGCCTGGAGTCACGTGTCAAGGCATCAGTGTACGACTGGGGTGAACCAACGCCATCGCAACTACCATCTCACCCGGACATCATCCTCGCAGCCGACTGTGTGTACTTTGAACCGGCTTTCCCTCTCTTGCAGCAAACACTCAGGGATCTGATTGGCGAAAATACCGTGTGCTACTTTTGCTTCAAGCGAAGAAGGCGAGCAGACCTTACCTTCATGAAGACAGCGCGGAAAATGTTCGATGTGCAGGAGGTCGACGACGATCCAGACAAAGATGTCTACTCAAGAGAAAAGCTATTCCTGTAAGCATTGCGAGTGATACGGGACGCGCTTTCACTAATTAAAACAGGTATCGTATAACGAAGAAGAAGGCTTGACGAACTATGGTTGGGCAGTCCGCAAGGCCAATGAGTGGAGAGGTGTTGATGCACAACCATTGCACTGGATCGCAAACCTCAATAAGAAAGACATCTTTTGGCAAACGCCCTTTTGTATTTCCAATGTAGTACTTTAGAAAACTGACGTACTGGCGACCAGACTTGTGGACTTCCCTCTTCTCATTCTCTCCAGTACCCGAGACGCAGTAACTTTCGCACCTCCCAGGCCTCCCTTGAGCCTTCCCACAGCGAACTCGCCAGAAAAAGAAGCCCTCAATTCTTCTTCCGAGAAACTAGTTGTTATCACAAACATGTCTTCCCGTAGCACATGCCTGAGAAATCTGAATGCAGATCCAGGGGCTGATTTGGATTACTTACAAGTGCTTCAAAGCCCTATAATCACTTCAGGAACTATACCATATGGCTGGCGACCAAAACTAAGCAAGGCTATCAGCCTCCCACAGATATCCCTTGATACTAAAATCCACCCGCTTTTCCAGAGGCCCAGATGGCCAGAACTCAAACCAGAAGACTACACCCTACTACTTCCTGCCCTCCGAATCGCCACAAAATTCATGACCGAGCCCGTAATTCTAAAATGGTGGAAGCACACTCTATTCGGCCGAGTAGAACTCGACAGAAACCGCAGACGATACTTAGCAAACACACCCTACGAAACCAGCGATTATGCAGACAGCGAACTGCACGTCTTCCTCACGAAAAAACTGCCTCATGTACTTGAACTCAAATTCGAAAACCTCGACAAGAACATGACACGGATAGATGGCTGCGCATTCAGCAGCAACTCAGCATACATAAAATTCCGCCACGACCTCGCAATGGCGCCTGCATACCCCTTCTTCGACACTCCACGCATCATACTACACACCCAATACTGGCTCGGTCTCAAGTACCTCTTGAGCCACAGCGGCTCGGCCCACGAACTCAAAAACTTCTATCTGCGAATTGCCATCACACTATGTCACGAACTCGCGCACATCGTATGGCACTACCGTATTAGTAGGCAAGTCATGCCTTGGTAAGTTTTGAACCCCCTCCCTACCCCTACCCCTACCCCCTATCGCGTCTCTTTCTCGAAGCAAATAATCTAACTATTTCAATCACGAAGGGCCCCTGCGATTGACTTCACCGAGCCCCTGCACCAAGCCTCTGAGCATCTCGCCGAACTAGGCCATTCCTGGGAACTCTACGTCTTCGGCGGCAGCATCTGGACCTTGGATCGCCCGGGCTTCTTCACAACGCTCTACAAACCACACCATCTCGGCGCTGCAGCGTCGTCGTTTTCGAGAGTATGCATTGTGGTGCCGCACTGGTGGGTTGATATGTGGTCGTCGACTCGAGTGTGGAGTCAGTTTGACGACTTGTACCGGCGGGGCGAGTTGCGATTGCCTGGTATGTGGGAGAGCAGGTATGCTTTGTGTCAGAGTAACATTGGCAATGGGGAATCGGGTTGGACGCTGTATAAGCGGAGTGTAGCTTTGTTGGGCGAGTGCCGGACGCCGGAGTCGAGTATCTTTTATCTTTGGCATGCGGTTAGGCCGATGCTGCAGATTATGCTTGCAAATCAGCAGAAGATGGGCGGTTCGGGGGCGGTGCAGAGGCTTCGTGGAGAGTTTTATGAATTGCTTGTGCAGTCTGAGTATGTTGATGAGGCTAGCCCGGAGATTCTTCGTCGGAAGGGGAGATGATAGTTTGCTTGAAACACAGCATTGGAAATTAGGTAGATCAAACAAAGAAGATTTCTCTGAATAGCCGTGTATATACGGGATGATGGACACGATGATCTTTTCTGTCTAGTGTACTTTACACATGAACTTGGAATCATAGGATGACCAGGAAATGGAGCATGTTCTGCAAACTTGCGTCTTCTCGCCACAACCAATCAGTTGCCGAAAAAGCAAAAATAAAAACATGACGTCTCGCATTTAACACACACACACACACACACCATTCGCCATCTTTGATATTCATGAATGTTCTTCTTTCATTTTCACTTTATTCTTAATCGAGTATGTACACATAATCTTCATAATGCTGTTTTTCCTTTTCTTTGGAGAAGACAAAATGAAAACATGCCTAGTAATGATATTTCGTCGTTGGCTTCACTTTCCAATGTAGCTCTCTGCTATTTCTCAAAACCTGATATGCCCACCCTCCCTTTGGACTTTTTGTTTTTGTTTTTAAGGACGAATGGCCTAGTAGTCATCACCACGGCTCAGCACCTCCTTGCATGTTGGCCTTAGCACAAAAGTCTACCATAAAGTTAGCAGGTGTAATCCAATTTACATTATTCATTATAGGAACTTACATGTTCACTCTGCGCGGTATAACTTCCCTTGATGTCGCACAGCGGCGGATATGCCTCTACAATACCTGCGCTAACCAAGTTGTTCAAACCCAAGAGATACTTGTCGTGGCCCAGACGATCAAGATATCTCCTGCAGAAAGGCAGGGTGCCAAAGTTCTTGGTAATGGAGTTGAGTAGTGTCTTTGCTGACGAGACACGAAGGGCGACTTTGGGTGCATCTGCTATCTTGGCATAATGCGAGGTTTCCATCTGCAGAGAGGGGGGATTGTTAGTGAAATAGTAGGAAATAGAGTGAGAGAAACCTTACGTCGTCCCGAACATAACCCTTTCCTGTGCTACCAAAGGTCTCGATGGCAAAAGTTTCACCTTCTTCCATCTTAGTCTGGTCGCCTCCCTTGACGATAGGTACCGTTTTTCCACCGTGAATGGTAAAGTGGCCGATGGAGTGTCCGTTCAAGTTCCTGATACACTTTACGGGCAGCATCTGGCCTTTGATTTCTACCTCGTAACTCTCCATGACTTCCTGAATAGCAGCACCAATATCGCTCATGCGGACATCGATACCGGCCTCCTTGATACCGGCATTTGTAGCAGCCTTGCACGCGTTGATGAGGTTATCGTAGACGGGATCAAACGTCAGGGTGAAGGCACTGTCGACAATACGACCATTGATGTGGACACCAAAATCGACCTTCATGACATCCTCGTAGTTGAGAACCATCTTGTTGCCTGCGTTTGGCGTGTAGTGGGCAGCGCAGTGGTTTATGCTGAGACCAGTGGGGAAGCCCATGCCCGCTTTCAACGCATCTCCGTCCTCGAGGCCTTGATGTCCCGTCAGAGCGCGGACTGAGTCTTCGATGCCCTCGGCAATTTCAGTCAGCGACATGCCAGGCTTGATCCAGCCCTGCGCCCACTGTCGTACTTGACGGTGAATCTCTGCACCCTTGCGGTATTCGGTAAGGAAGTCATTGTTCATGCGGTCGAGGTGGCGCTTCTCTTCGTTGGTGGTTCGATACGAGTTCTCGTTGACGTATTCCTGGATTTCACCCTCTGGATATGAGTCGTTGGGGAAGAGCTCGTCGACACGGACTCGAGGTGGTGCCGTCTGGACTTTGGGTCCGCCCGCACCTGCAGCACCAGCCTTCTTCTTCTTTCTAGGCTTTCTCTTCTTCTTCTTTTTGGCTGCCCCTTCACCGGCCTCTGGTGCACCATCCTCGGCTTCATTGTCGTCATCTGAGTCTTCGTGTTCTGCGTCGGCTGTGGGCTTGTCGCTATTTGGCGCCGCGCCGTTGGCTGGCTTGCTCTGAGAGTCGTCCACTGCACGTCATCAGTCGCTGTGGCGATGTATAGTCATAATCTCTGCAAAAAAAAAACATACACTTCAGGTTGGCGACATCGTCTGCTACCTTTGCGGCCATGTTGACTGTGCGACGAGAAGAGTGGTGCTGGGATTGCGGGTGATCTTGAAATTTACGAGGGCCTTGTAACGCCCCCCGCTAAGTTGCCCGATGGCTCGGAGTTGAGCTGCAGACTAATCCGACCTGGTGCTAGCCTCGTGACGGGCGATGACGTTCTCTATGCACTGCAGACATTCACTCAACCACCAACCTTTCATGTAACCCTTTTTTATGCTGTTTTCGGGCAATGCCATCCCGCCCATATATTCTCCTGCGACCATTCGCTTCATCCTCGACTCCTCGGCCGGCGACCTTGAACGCGCCATACGTCTGCCACTCATGTCTCCGTCGCACAGTACCTGCACCTCCGCGGCGCACACAACAAGTCTCCCACTTCCATGATTCGACCCCACGATGTGCAGATTCGCTGAAAAACCATTATGAAACGCTGCACTTGACATCGAGTGCTTCTGCGTCCGAGATTAAGCGCCAGTTCTACACATTGTCCAAGAAAAACCACCCAGACCATAACCGCAATGATCCCGACGCCTCCACACGCTTTGTCGCAATAAGTGAAGCATACCATGTCCTTTCTGTCCCCGAAAAGCGTGCACAATACGATGCGCAGCTGGAGTCTGCGCAGCGACAATCGCGCTGGGGCAAGGGTGGCGACAACATTCCCCAAGGGAGTTATAGCTCGGCCGCATTCGGGTCCCGCCCAGCAAGCGGGCTCAACAAGAAACGCAGCACCTTCCGGGGCCCTCCACCATCGTTTTACAAATCAGGTGGTTACGGGAGGCATGGCGCGAAGAGAGCTGAATACGCATATTCGAACCCACATTCAGAAGGGGCAAATACCAAGGATGCCGGCCAGGAAAGCTACGGCGACTATGGTGGCTTTGGGCCCGGCCAGCAAAGCCAAGGTAATGCGGTACCGCACTTTAACGACCAACAGCATAGAGAGATGCACGAAAACGTGCAAGAACACATATGGGCCCGACGGAGAAAGATGCATGGGTCAGTCAAAGTGGAACAGGAGTGGGAAAAGGGCAACATGCTCGTCAACTTCCTCATGGTATCGGGCGTCATTGCGCTCGCGGGGCTAACGGCAAATATTTTTGGTGATCGCCACCATGGGCATACTACCAAGAGGAAAGAAACTACCTGATTGATACATGTATAGATTTCGTTTACTCCATCTTAGAAATCAAAGCACACTAGACCCATTCTGTAAAGGCTCTTCGCGTCTTTAACGGAGATCGACTCAGGCAAGAGTAAAAGCCCTGCATTATGTACCCCTGACCTCTTGCAATAGGCCAAGACCAGGTGGCTGGTAACTTTTATGTGTGGTGCCATGTCATGCCATGCCCTGCAGGTGCATCGGCATCTCCACAAGCCTTGTTTCCCAGCATACGGGGAACTACTAGCAGCGGTGCCTCCCGTCTCTACTAGTAAGGGATCCGGTTCTAGAAACTTTCCGGAAATCAATCGAAGCATGCATATCTACAAAATCACATCTCACAATGTCCACATTTAAGCATTCGGAATATATGTGAATAGTCTTGAAAGGCTCGCGTTGAAGAAGATTATCCTACTGCATAACGCACAAGACTACTAGTCTTCTTTCTAGACTATATTCATATGATAGCGCTTCGCGAGAACCAAAGTAAGTCAGAGGCTCTGCTCATTTTTTTCTCCATCCTGTCATCTAATACAGGTGCATCTCCAAGAGACGCTTAACCCTCAAAGGTGAAGCTGGTGCCGAGCTTGTGGCCGGCCTCGTTGAGCTTCTGGGTATCGAAAGAGCCACCGATGCCAAAGGTCAGGCCGCTGTTGACCTTGGTGTTGTAGGCGAGGGAAGCAATACCGAGGTTGTTGATCTTGGCCTAGAAGGGTTTAGCATACATATCCATGTGCATGTCAGGGACCAAGGCGTACCTTAGCGAAAGACAGAGGGTCAAGCTTGTACTTGGCAGCAAGCTCAAGGCCGACGTTGTTGCCGGACTTTGAGTCCCAGACGGCGCGAGCACCGGCCTCGACAGCGGGGTTGACGCGCTGGTAGTAAGAGGCAGTGAAGACGCTCAGGGAGTTGGTGGCAGTGACAGCGGCGTTGTAGAGAGGAGTGGTGTATCCAACGGCAGCCGAGTACTTGGTGATGGCAGCCTTCTGGACGTCGTAGCCAACCTCACCACCAACAACCATGCCCTCGTGGCTAACGACAGCGTCAGCCGTGGTGCCAATGGCACCAGCAGCAGAGTAGTCGACGAAAGCACGGCCGTGAAAGGCAGGCTGCTTGAAGTGAAGGTTGACCTTTTGGCCCTTGTTACCAGCCGCGGGGCTGAAGTTGGAGAGGACCTCAGTCTTCAAGCCGCTAGCGAAGGTGTCGTTGAGCTCAACCTTGGTAGCCAACAGGTTGGCAGTGTTCCACGACTGGGTGATGCTGATGCCTGCGCGGTTTGTCGTCAGCCATTTGAGTCCGTAGCCTGTGATGGACGTGCCCCAGATGCCTGGAGGCTGCGCCGAGTGAAACATATACGAGTGCAAACCGGGTGATGAATGAAAAGGTATTGTTAGGCTGACAGAGCGGGGGAAAAATGCACGAGTTATTGCCGTACCGTTGGAGAGCGACTTTTTTCCCTCGAGCTGGAGTGTCTGTCAGCGAATTGTATCTTTTAGCGACTGATGGCAGTGTACTGACAGAGGAGGTGACGGGGCCATCATGGGCAGAGGTTCCCTTGGCAGTGAAGTTGACACCGTTAGGGGCCTTGAGCTTGACCTCGAGGGCAGCTGGTGGGGGGTTAGCAGACGGGTGCGCAAAGTCAATGGGAGCGTCTGACCTGCGGCAGTGTGGTAGAAGTCCTTGTTGATGAGCTAGAGGGGGCGCGGGTTAGCAATGGCGCTATTGTGAAGGTCGTCGCGGGGGAACCAAAACATACGTCGTTGGAGGCCTTTGCGATGTCGCTGAAGGCCGGCGGTGGGACCTTGGGGACGATGCTCTCAACCTTGACGTACTCGGGCATGATGGCGGCTTGTTTGGGATGCAATTGGAAGAATAGAGGGGTGTTTTGGGGGTGGTGTTGCTGGCCAGGCGCAAAACTTCTTGAGAGGTCACGGCAAGGGTCCGCGCTAACATCCCGGGCGATCTTCGTGCCTGCCACAGCCTGCCACTTGGTCGCCAACGTGCGCGCATCTGAGGCTCATTGTCGGTCTGGCTCACGGCATTGGGACTCGGCAGCGTCTTTGGCAGCTTCACCCGTTGCTGTCATGGCGCTGTACCTTGCATGGTGGGCATTCCGCCTTTCAATGAGCAATGAGTACTGTAGCAACGGGAGGTATCTGACGCCATTCTATCAGCCATGCACAGCTGCACGATTGGCCCCTTATGGCATCACCCTTCCATTTGCTGGACCCCCACCTGATTACTCACCAACCACGTCCTGCCCACAGGCAAAGAACAATGCAAGAACAACGCATGCGTACTTGCGTACTAGTTGTGTCCACAAGTACATACTCATGTATGTTGATTAACCGATCACGTGACCATGGCGACATTCGGCATCCATGACTCCACGTTGTCGCTCATGTCAGAGATGGAGACACGGCATTTGCCATGTCTTGTGTTACTGTATGCAGCTATTGACAGAAGACGTTATTGCCTGCTTCTGGCTTGAGCACATGCTTACAGCCATGTATAATGCACCTGTCGCGAACCCATCCAATGGCATTGCAGCAGGTTGTCAAATCACACAACCGGCGCTCCTTTCAAGCATGTCTCCATCATTTATCCCATCTTCTCTTAAACCTGGCTGACTTGTGTTGTTGTGTCTCAAGGCGTCCGATGGGGAAGCAACATGGCTCTAGTCAGAGCAGCCTTGCCATCGGCGGCCGACTTCGGAAACCCAGACGACCCTGCTCCAAGCTCCACTAAAATAAAACTCCTAGAGTGACTCTGACGTTGGTCGTTCTAGCCCACGCGTTTGGCCCGACTTGCAATATACTCTACACGCACACAACCCTTATAGACTCCCCAGGCAGCTTCTGTGGACGTTGATCACAGCTTCTCCTTGTTTTCCCATATCAAGTCCCGTCCGCACCCGGCAGTCGAATCGGTACCCCTCCGCTGAAGCCACCATGTCCACGTTCGGAACACATTTCCGGGTCACCACGTACGCATCCACTCTACATACACAAGGCGCACATACTGAATTCACGATAGCTATGGCGAATCCCACTGCCTGTCGGTCGGTGCCATTATCGACGGCTGCCCGCCTGGTATGGCGCTCACAGAGGCGGACATCCAACCCCAGATGACGCGCCGCCGACCGGGCCAGTCAGCCATCACCACCCCACGCAATGAAAAGGACCGGGTTGAGATACAGTCTGGCACAGAGTTTGGCATAACATTAGGCACGCCGATTGGCATAAGGGTTATGAACGAGAACCAGCGCAAGCAAGACTACGGCAACCAGACCATGGACAAGTACCCGCGACCGAGCCATGCCGACTGGACGTACCTGGAGAAGTACGGAGTAAAGGCTAGCTCTGGAGGCGGCCGGAGTAGTGCTCGTGAGACTATTGGTACGTCGTCGATTGCACGTTCAAGGCGCATTGCGGCTGACATAATCCAGGACGAGTAGCGGCTGGCGCGATTGCCGAAAAGTACCTGCGTGAAGCCTACGGTATCGAAATTGTTGCATTCACAAACTCGATTGGAAACGAGTTCCTATTCCCCCCTACGCCCGAGCATCCAACTGCATCCACAAACCCAGAGTTCCTGAAACTCGTCGACACCATTACGCGGGAGAAGGTAGATGGGTACCTACCAGTGCGCTGCCCGAGCGACGAGGTTACCAGGCGCATGGAAGACTTGATTGCCAAATATAGAGATGCGCAGGACAGCATTGGCGGCACAGTGGCCTGTGTCATCAGGAACTGCCCAACAGGTCTGGGGGAGCCATGTTTTGACAAGCTCGAGGCCAAGCTGGGGCACGCCATGCTGTCGATTCCAGCGACCAAGGGATTTGAAATTGGATCTGGCTTTGGAGGGGCACAGGTGCCCGGGTCGATCCACAACGACCCATTCATCAAGGCGCCCGCAGTGCCCGCGGGGGAGAACCCGTCTGCAAAGGTGTTCCGCTCAAAACCCAAGCTCACCACCAAGACCAACAACTCGGGAGGCATCCAAGGAGGCATCAGCAATGGGGCACCCATCTACTTTAATGTGGCATTCAAGCCTGCGGCGACTATTGGGCAAGCCCAGTCGACGGTGACATACGACCAAGAGGACGGGATACTGGAGGCCAAGGGCAGACACGATCCGTGTGTGGTGCCCCGTGCCGTACCCATTGTAGAGAGCATGGCGGCATTGGTGATCATGGATGCAGTGTTGGCTCAACAGGCGCGACAGGGCGCTCGGAGCCTGCTGCCGGTGATCAAGGGTGTGGTGCCGGTCCCGACGCAGGGCGGGGGTGACGAGTAGGCGTGGCAGAGGGGCGGCTGCATGTACTCTAGACAGGAGTTTTGGGCGTTGAGATTACCAATCGAAGGCATTACATCGACCGTGTGCGGGTGCGGATGCGGATGCAGCTGGGGCTGGGGCTGGGGCTGGACGTAGCGGTGCACGCAACCACGGTAATGGGTGGGCAGGCTAGCTAGCGGCCGCGACGTCTCAGTCTAGGGCGGGTGGAGGGCAGCTAGGCGGCTGCGATTGTAGAGGTTGGGATGGAGTCGGAGTCGCGGTCGCGGCCGAGGAGCGGAGGAGCAGGCACTACGAGCACTTACTATGTAGACCAGTACTTGCCGGCACTCAGCCACCGGGTGGCGGTCCACCAATCAGAGACAGGCAGCGGGCTCGCTTGTAGTCGCCCACCAACATGGCCGTCGCACATCTGCCCTCATCATCTTTCGTCTCAAACAAGCTACCCGTCCACACATAGTTTTGCTGCCACCGATGCTGCCACCGCGGTGCTGTCCTCGCAGGTCGGCGGTGACACCGCGGCAGCAGATCCAGGTTGTCTGGTGCCGCGGCATGGCGAGGCCTTGATTCCCACGGAGCGCATTCGCTCGGTCTAGTGTGCCGGAGCTAGCAGCAGCAGCAGCAGCAGCAGCAGCAGTTCACGCCTGAGTGCGGAGGAGCAGCGACCACGACGCTCAGAAAATCTCTGCTCGTCCAGGACCTGAGGCTGTTCTGTGTAGAGGCAAAACCGCCCAGGCACCCCCACTCGATGGCCCGATGTGGCTCCCCTGCCTGGGCCCGCGACGTCGATTCCGGTATCGCGTCGCTCCCATATCCGCGAAAGGCTGGCGACGGGCTCGGGCTCCAAGGGCGCGCCAACGGGGCGATCAGCTGACGGGGGGGCTCATGGGATTCTAGCCTCTCGATTCGAATTCCCACTTGCGTGCCACTTTGCCATGTTCCTTGCCCTGTCCGCCGCTTGGCTACTGCACAACATCCTGTCCATACCTGTCTGGCCATGCTGCTAGCCTCAGCGACCCTCTTCGCCGCCCGCCCGGTGCTGGCCCATCCCTGCTCGCCACCCGGCCATAAAATCCATACATGTAACTGTATCTTATATCCAACCCGCCAAGGCACGCCCCAGGGCAGGCACATTGGATGCCGCAACAGGCTTCCAACGTCACAACTACCTAATTGGTCATCGCCTTTCTCTCTCCCTCCAAGTGGCTGATCTCCCGTGCTACATACTTCTCCACCTTAAATCAGACAATGTCATAACCAGATTCGCCCTCGGAGCCTCGTGTGGTCTGACATTCCTCCTGCTCGCTGACCAACAATGCCTCGCGGACCTGCTGCCGCTTCCTCTGCCAGAGACAGCCAAGACCACGCTCCCCCTCAAGACGCAAAGACAACCAAGCGTCGCTGCGTGCAATCTGCCTGTGTCCCATGTCGTAAACGCAAGTCCAAAGTAAGTAACCTCTCGGTGCACAACCTCGTAACAATAAACAGGGGCATAGCTTCATCTGTCAATATTCGCCTCCGCGGACTGCTCCACGCATCGTGATACTGACAAGATTATGTCTGGCCACCTGTCAGAGCCTTGTGGGTTGCTCCCTTGCTGACGTCTTTGTCCACAGTGTGACGGCGGCACGCCCGTCTGCGCAACCTGCACAGCCGTTTACAAGACTGAATGCTACTATGACGCTGAAAGCGAGAGCCGGCGTACCAAGGCCGGACAGGCAACCTCTAACAACGCAGGTACCAAGCGCGATGCTTCCTCTGTCACCAGCCTTGCCCTTGGAGGCCCGTCCAATGCCGATTTCATCCTCAACTGCCTCCGGGAGCTGCCAGAGGACCACGTCACCGAGCTCATCCAGCTCGTTCGAGGCAACCCTGACCTTGACAATGCCGCCCTGGCAGAGACATGGCGTAAGAACGTAACCCTGGCCCCCAACACGCCCACAGAGGGCCAAAGCCTCGAGTCTGATTTCAGCGTAATACTCGGCAAGCCCGCTGTAACACTCTCTGGCCAAAGCCGACATTTTGGACACTCTGCCAGCCTGAGCCTCGTCCATGAAGAAGAAAACTTCAGTGGCGGTCAGCTTCGTATCAGCAGTGTCCAACCAGAGCGTCAGGGATCAACGTGGACAAATGTTACTGACGACCTAGCCTTTGTCGAGAGACTACTCGACATCTACTTTACATGGAGCCATCCATTCTACGTCCTCCTTAGCCGAGAGTGCTTTTACAAAGACTTCAGAGCTGGCCGCGACAAGTACTGCTGCTCTCTGCTCGTCAATGCCATATGCGCATATGCTTGCCACATGACAGACGACCCCGCTGGTCGTACTGATCCATCCAACTTCCGCACAGCAGGAGATCATTTCTTCGAAGAAGCCAGGCGGTTGTTGTTCGAGGATGAAACCCCGAGTCTCACGACAGTACAAGCGCTTTGTATAATGTCACTTCGTGAGCCCAGCACAGGAAGAGACAGCTCTGGTTTCTCCTACATCGGGCGATGCATACGCATGTGTGTCGAACTCGGTTTACATTTGGATTATGGTGTAGAAAATGCGCTTGGTTTGACACCCAGCGAAATCGAGGTCCGGAAAGTTACTTTCTGGGGCTGCTTTACCGTAGAAAAGTACGTATATTTTCACAGACACCATTATAATGTTGGCTAATGCAAGAAAGTGTGTGGACAATCGCCACAGGACGAATCACCCAAATCCCCCGATCTGCAATCACACTAGAAAAGCCTATTCTTGACGAGATAACAAGCGGCCCAGAAGCGTTTCCTGGTACTTCACACACCGGTAGCGGTGTTGTAACCTCTCGCATGTTCCTACAAGAGCTCTCAACGCTTTCAGAACTCATTAACGACAACAACCACATGTTCTTTGCTCCAAAAGAGCGATTTACTAGCACAAGACTTCTCGACTGTTACTACAAATATCAAGCCTGGTACAGAAAATTGCCAATCTCGTTGGGAATCGAGGGCAACAAAGAACCCCAACCGCACATTCTAGCATTACAGTATGTCCAACAGCCCTCTGTTCCTCTCTCTCTCTCTTGGAATTGTAAGAAAGCTCACAAAGCACATAGCATGTTCTACTATACAAATATTATTCATCTCTTTCGACCCTTACTCAAGGTCGATCTCATTCAATCCGACATCCGCCCACGCGACATCTGCATTGACGCAGCCAACAATGTGTCCAGAATTATCAGGATCCACCGGAAATTTTACACTTTCCGTCAAGCGCATTTGGTCGTCGTACATGTGCTGCTCACTGTCTGTACAATACATCTGCTCTATTCCAAAGAAAACCAGGTGGCTCGGCAAAATCTCATCGAAGGATTACAAGGTCTTGAAGATATTCACGAATGCCATTACTTTGGCGCAAGGGCCTTTCGAATCATCCACAACTTGGCAAAGACTTGGAATCTGCCGTTTCCGGAGGAATTCAGTAATTCAACATTGCTACCGAAGAACGACTCAGAAAATTCACATCGGCATATGAGTCCTCCGGAAGATGCTCGTCTGATGATGCCGAACTCCACGGCCAGTAGTGTTAATCATACAGGGCCTAGGACAGTCCATTCCGCTCAGTCTCAACGGCGAGAGAGTTTGTCGATGTTTGCCCCTCAAAACATGATGCATTTGGCTACACACCCCGCACACTCGAGACCAAGCAGTGTGGTAGCTACCCAACGCCACGCATCTCCCGCAGTCAGGCACGAGCCTATCCAAAGCAACTATAACTCCAACATGTCGCTTCCGTACCAGTACGCGCAGCCCATGTCGTCAGCCACCAACATGTCCGCCTCAATAACATCACCCACTGCAGACACGGCAGAATCCATGTTCTGGAATCGTAAGTAGACCACCTCAAACCCTAGTTTGAGCATATTCTGACACTACACGCCAGCCATGCCCAGTATGCCTGGCCCCATCCTGCCCCGCCACAATTATCAGCAAATAGGTCCCATGGGCCTTGAAAGTGTCCTACATGGTGGCACCAATCTAGATGACCGTCTAGTACGAGATGGCTTCAGGATAAACGAAGACTGGCGTTCCAGCCACGTCAACGGCTTCAACACGGGCGTTGCATCAAACGTGTATTCTGCTCCAAACAGCCAGCACGAGCACTCGTATGCACCCCGACAAACGTATGCCGCGCCAACAGATGGCGTGGGGTACCCTTCAGATGCACACGATGGACATCATGGGCACCGCGGGCATCATGGACAGGATGAATATAATAGCACATGGTGGCAGAATGCGGACGCAGCGCCTGGGCACATGGGCTGGCAGACATCGAGATCCAAGGCTGAGGGAGAGGAAGAGCATACTACGACCACTGTCTTCGGAACTCATGGGTAGTTTCCATCTTGTCGGGCTGGTGTAGCTGAAGAGGGAGGGAACACTTTTCTTTTCTGCAAGGCATACGGAAGTATGGACATGATTGTACCGTACGTATGGCATAAATCTTTTGTGCCCTCGTGCTTGCAAGAGCGAGTCTTTTTGTATCAAGGCCTGTTATGCTTTTTTTTCGGTATTTGTGTACGATGTGTTTGCTTTGAGATACGAAATGCATGGTGCAAGTCAAGCATGGGGTGGCATAGTGTGTACTGCATACGTAGACAGCTTAAAGTACTAAAGCATTGGATTTATGTTTGTCGTTGATCAACGTGTTCCATGTTTTTTTTTTCTTACGTCTTGTGATTTTCTCACTACGTACTATTACACCAAAGTCATGTCAAGAAACACGAGGCAAATTCAATGGAATGAAAAGTAATACATGAATACTAACATTATGTGTATGTTCCTAACTCAGATATAACAAGTATACATTATACACCACCCAGACACGTCCCCCTTCTCCCTCTGGCCCCCGAATAGAAGAAGCATATCCCATTATGTACAAGCGAATGGAAAAAGAGAATAAGAAAAAACAAGAAAGAAGAAACTAAACGCCTTAATCATCCATTTTTCTGCTTGCCCGCCTGCACAAGCGCATTCGCTGTCCCAGCACGCTCCTCATACAACCGCCTCAAGTCCTCCACAGACTGTTTCTTGAGAGTGATCTTGGTGGGCCTCAGTGTCGTTGGCGGCGTCGCCCTGCCCCTTGACACGCTTCCATCCGACAACTCGGCAGCGTCATCTTTGGGCGATGACGCAGAGTTCTTATTAAACTTTTCGAAGCTGGGCATGCGCTGCATGAGGCTCGGGCTCGGGGTGCGGAGACGTGGTGTGGCAGATGGGACGGGGAGAGTGGATGTCGACGTCTTGTTGTGCGGCACGGGGTGGCTTATTATGGGGACTTGAGGGGTAGTTGGAAACACGGGGCGCGCGAGGGAGTTGATACTTGGACTACGGCTTATTTTGGAAGGAGTTGCAGTGAAAGGGACGCTTGGACGGCGGAATTCTGATGCTGGTGCTGACACAGCACTTTGAGGTGACGGCAGCTGCGGCGAGGTGGCTGTGTCATCTTTGACAGATGGGGTTATAGAAGACGGACTGCGCTTCGTGTCTGCTTTGTTATTGTTGTTATAGTTACCCGTGAGCCCAGGAAGCGCCATGCCGCCTACAGGCTGTGCTCGGTGGGCTTCATTGTTCGCGACGACGGCCTTCTCGACATTGTCAATCTGCGTCGCAGTCAGGGTCTTCCTCTTAGGAATATTGAATTGAGACACTGGAGAAGTAGCAGAAACTGGTGAGCGCGCATCTTGTTTTGTGCGTTCAGAAGCGGACATAGGAAGAACTGGAACTGGGTTGTTCATACCAGACTTCTTCTCATCTGATTCGGCATCCCGTCGTGGTGGGAGCTTTGGAGGCTGATCGGCGCTGTTATTATCATTACGGGGAGCGAAACCATCGGTAGTAGCGGCGAAGGTGACGGGCGACTCGGCAACATCGTCGGGGGCATCTGATACGACAGTAGAGTAACGTGGAGGCACTGTGAGTGGCGGTGCAGGCTTCCGCTGAATGGAATCTATAGAAGACCTGGCAGATGGCATGTGAGATCGAGGTGGAAGAGGGGGTGGCTTCTCGTCTTGTTGACCTCGACGCGGATCGTGTGAAGCCGACGGTTTCTCGTTGTCAAGTAAGGTGATGCCCTTTATCTGGTCAGGTAAAGACACTTCACTGTCTGTTGAGTCTCTTCTATCCTCGACAGGATCGTCCCAGTCATTCTGATCACTGGGTAGCTTCAGCTCTGCATAAAATGCTTCTTCTTTCTGACCACATGCTTCCCTTAATCCATCAGTCCACATTTCAATTGCTTGAGTGAGGACCCTCCTTATGATGGAAGACACTTTGGCGTCTTCAAGCTGATCAGGACCGCAGAGTAGCCCTGGAGCGAAACAGACAGCCAAGTTTTCAGCAGTCATTTTGTTTTCTTCTTGCCGTGCCGCTATTGCACTCGTGAGGGGCAGAAGGTGACGGCAAAGGATTTCACGGGATATTCCAGGCAACAAAGACCATTCAGACTTTGGCGAGAAGAGATCGGTCAGCTTTTCAAGCTCAAAAACCTCCTTGCCGTTTCCATATAGCCGACGTAAGTCCCGGTAGGATTCCGTGGGGAAGATTGGTTGGCGCAAAGCAGCATACCAGGCCTTGATGAGTGCGGCTGCCATGTAGACTGAGTATGCATCGGTGGGAGGCAGCTCGGCTAGTATCTCATCCTGATGTTCTGCATGAGGGTAGGGAGGCACTGGCAGCATAATATCGTTGTCTTTCCAGATGATGTACTTTTGACCTCTATCATATGCTTCTTTGAGCGAATCGCGCAATCTGGAGTGGGGAGGCACGCGAAACAAGCCTTCCGAAGTGATGTTCTTTTCCATGAGAACGAAGCTGGTCGTCTCTCTCAAAACACGTGGAAAGCGGGTCTTGCCATTGCTGGTCGCAGGGAAGGGATTACGGGTCCCAAAAGCGCGCCTACCGCTGCTATTGAATGCGGAAATGTTTTCAGTTACACGGCGATCGGCGAGATAAGTGGAAGGGGGAATCAGAAGGTTCTCGATAGGAATTTCACGGGCAAGTTGAGTGAGACTGGACACTGCATCTAGTCAGTACGGAGATGCGCAGAATGGTATGGGCAAGCGTACAATGGTATATCTTCCTCCTGAACTTGGGGCTGACAATGGTCGAGAATATTTCAGTCAGGATTCTCACCCATGCTTTTTCGTGCACGATGTATAGTCGCTGAAGTCTCTTGCGCATGGCCCTCGACAGGACGTGATAGGCCTGCAGAAACCAGCCCCAGCCCGGCCTGTGCTTCTTGCTGGTTGCGGAGCCATCGCCGTCTCCGGCAAAGAAGACGACTTCATATTCATAGCCTTTTAGCAATTCGTCTTCCTCGGGCAGACGGGCAAGGACATAGGGCAGCAGCTGGTCGTAATCGGCGTCGTGGGAGTCCGGGAGGGCAGCAGCGTTGAGGATGAAAACAGGCCTCCCTTCTTCCGAAGGCAGCGGCGAGCGATAGAGGATGGAAGACGCAATCTTGGCCAGGTCGTGAGAGTAGTTGGAACTGTGCTGTGGAGGGGGGACTGCGGACAGGGAGGAGCTGCGGAGCCGGCTGGCGAGGTGAGCACGCACGCCGCTCATGGCGACAGGTGAGATGGGCGGGGAACTGGAGCGATGAGGGGGGAGGACAAGTGGCGGCGATGTGTGAGTACAAGAGGGGATGCAGGGCGATGAGAGTATGTTCGCACGTGCAGACGCGGGCGTGTGGGTTGGAGAGCGGGCCCCCAAGGCGATATGGAAAGGCGGCTATCAGCAATCCCTGGGTACGTCACAGTCGTGAGCGCCATCAGGGTCTCTCGGCCTTCTTAGCGAGCCGAGCACAGACATGGCCGTCTCTCATTTGGCTCGACAGCGCCACACTCGCCATGTCTCGAGACTTGCCAGCGGCGCAGCGAGGCTGCACAATTACTTAGTCATGTCTGCTATACATAGCACTACTACATGCAAACTACATACGTACATAAGTACGCACATGTATACGTCTACATGTACGTGCAATGCCATGTCACGGCACCACCATGCTGGCGTCATGTCTCGCCAGAGTGCCTGTGCTCGTGCCCATTTGCTTATTGCTCGTCCTCATCTGTCTCCGATCCAGGCTCATCCCCCCGGTCCGCAGCACGCTCGTCGAATACCACTTGCACGCCCTCCTGTGCGAGCCTCATGCGCACCAGCTGAAAGCCCTCAGTGTTGGCCCTAAATTCCTCGACGTTGCTGTTTGCCTCCTCCAGTGCTTCTATCAAGTCGTGCTCATTTAGCCCTTGTTGCATCAACCGGTCGATGCCTATCCTCTCAAAGTATTCCCGGTACCGCTCCAACTCAGCCACCAGCTGCTGTCGCACGGCCGGGTCTCGTGGACGCCCCGCCGCAATACCGTTTATTGAAGCGTCATAAGACTCCAAATTGTCGTCTGGAGGCAGTGGATCGGACACAGAGGTATATTTGGACTTGACACGTACGTCTAGAAGTGAGATGAGTGCTTGGTTGTCTGATAATATCACATGCCTCGCGAGATCGTTTTCTGGTATTTGAGCAAGCAAGTACGGATTTTCGCCTGCCCCTAGTTCCCCTTCGGATGCAGATGCAAAACACATCTCCACCAGTAACGTGGTGCCTTCTGTCGTGTTCCACAAGTCTTTTGCTTTTGGCACGTACATTTGACAGAGCAGCTCTTGGTAGTCGTCGTTGGGTTCCTTGCCCCACACAGGCTTAGGTATTGGCGATATATCGAGCTCCTTGCACAGCCTCGCTGCTAGCCATGGGTACTGTTTGATGGCAGTGCGGAGTGCGGACCGCGCCTTCTGTGGTTCCTTCATGCGATCGTGAGCGAGCGCAACACTATAGGCCAGGTTTGGTGGAATCTTCCATTGCCGCTGTAAATGGTCTGATTCAACGATGCTGACCAGCCCTTCAGCATCCCGACCTCTTAGAGCTAGTTGGTCAATTAGAAGTCGGAGACAGTAAGGGTCTTGCTCGGGGTCCATGGCGAGCAGCAATTTAGCCCACTCAAATGACGTCCGCCATGTTGCACGTGTGCTCAATGCACCGAGATAACGCCAAACAGCAAGCCAGAATTCACGATTTTCTGGACGGCGAAAATCTAGCCGTGCTTTGCCAGCCGCGAGATTAGCAGCAAAGGTTGAGTGCACAGAGCGACCAAACGTAAAGAGAGCACGTTCCAACATATCAGACGCAGCTGCATTCTCGCGTTGCTGCTTCGCAATTTCAGAGACCTGAAGCAATGTCGAGATATGGAATGCTGCAGGGAGGGTTAATATTGCACATAGTCAGGGTAACGGGCCAGCTTACGGTTGTGCTGGAGGAGTGAAATCATGCGCTCGGGATCCATGCTTGCAACGCATGTCTGAAACTGTCGCTGAACATCTTGGTACATGCGATTGTGCACAAACTTGTACTCAACAGTACCATCTGCCCGCTTCTCAACAATCTCCATTCCAAGACCACCGGATGTAGCACGCGGCCACTCTTCCTTGCCTTGAATGAAAATGTTTCTACGCAGACTCAGAGATGCAAGGTTGCGGCCACCGGGAGCGTTGCGTCCTGCAATGGCAGCTGCAATCCCACCCTGATGGCCCCGCTGTCTGGGGCGCGCTTCGTCGTCAATGTTCTGCAGAGCAGCTCGACCAAAGAGTTTCTTCATCTCGTTGGCTGAGTGCAGATGTTGAGTGTCAACACTCAATGCGGAAAACAACTGCTTCTTCTCTTCACTGACCACGGCACCCTGGTGGTCCGACTCAGCACCTACTTGGCCGTTCGCAGTCAAATTGAGCGCAAGTAGAGCTTCATCAATCTCATCCAAATCCGACCTTCTCTTAACTGGGGCAGCATTCTGGGCTGTGCTGGCAGCCTTGCCCTTTGCTTTTGCCTTCTTTTTCTTCTTTTTGCTCTTTTTGGATGGTTTTGGAGCAAGTACAGACTCGGCTTTTTCTTGATGATCGGGACCGCCGGTATCGGACTCGACGTTACGCTCTGCATCTTCATCGTCCTCATCTTCGTCGTTGCCGTCGTCAGCGTCACCTAACATAGCAAACAAACTCGGTTTTGCGCCGGTCCTTGCCACCACCTCGGGCTCTGACTCTTCTTCATCCTGGCTGTCCTGCGCTAACTTTTCCCGAATCTGGTTCTCTTCGAGTTCTCGCTGGGCTCTGCGCAGCGCTCGCGAAGACATCTTGTTGTCCGGAGAATTGTGTGTCAAAGGCAAGGTTATGACGTACTCGGGAGTGTGGCTTCAGTGTTAGTCGCCATTTGTACGGTTAGGGCGTGATTGGGCCCACGGCGGGTAAGCGCTTGGACTAAGCGTTCATCCCACGCTGCACCATGATTTCACTGCTCGCAGCCTACCCTCGCTGTCAACCTCACCTACCCTTCCAGTAACGCCTATCCACGCTATCAGCCAGATGCGGGCTGCCTTTCAAGCGCTTCGCTCTGCACGCCGCCCGTGCCTGCGTAAGCTCGCTCGCACCCGTGTCGGCGTCTTTGTGCCAAGCAATGGCCTAGCCCACCGGGCTCACCATGCCTCCCGACAGCGTGCCACTCCCCTCCTTACTTCGTCCATGCAGTTCCGCGCCTTGACGGGTGCCCTGGTGGCTGCAGCCGTTGCCTCTGGGGCCTTCTTTGCGTACAACGGCAACGACTCCACGGGCCATTCGCATTCTCCCGCCGACCAAGCCAGAAATCTTACCAGTGCTGCCAATAGCGAGACTACGCGGAAGGCGCTCGTCGTGGGGCCTGGAGAGCTGTACACGGGCACAATCACTGGAACTGGGCCCATCTCAAAAGAGACAGATGACTATGGCAGGAAAGTGCTCGAGATGCTGGACCCGGACCAAGCCACAGCCAAGCTGAGGAAGAACGAAGAATCATGGTTGGTGGGAAGGGGTCAGGGCGTAGTGCGATACGACGTTGTGCAAATACCCAGCAATGATCCTATTGAAGACGACCACGCCGAGAAGATTATCGAAGTCCCGTCCAATCTGGCTGCTACCGACAATGGCGCATCTGCCAGCGACTGGATGTTCTGGGGCGTATTCGACGGTCACAGGTATGCCGAAAGCCAACAAAATACGAATGCTGTGCTAACTAGATGTAGTGGCTGGGTCACTTCAGCCAAACTCCGTCAAACGCTGATTTCTTACGTTGCACGCGAGCTCAACACGACTTACAAATCCGCCCTTGCGGACCCTTCGCTGCACTTTCCAAGTCCCGAAGCAATCGACAAAGCAATCAAGACCGGGTTCACCAAGCTAGACAACGAAATAGTCCACGAGTCTGTCAAGAAAGTACGAAAGGCTCAGTCTAAGGTCGCCGCCGCCGAGCTACTTGCCCCTGCACTATCCGGATCATGCGCTCTCCTGTCCTTCTATGACAGCCGGTCGAAGCTTTTGAGGGTTGCCTGCACAGGTGACTCTCGTGCTATTCTTGGTCGACGAGGCGAAAATGGTAAATGGACAGCAACCCCTCTATCAGAGGATCAGACTGGTGGAACGACAAGTGAAGCAGAGCGATTACGCCGAGAACACCCCGGCGAGCCCAATGTAGTCCGGAATGGCCGTGTTCTAGGTGGATTGGAGCCCTCTCGCGCTTTTGGGGATGCCTACTACAAATGGTCGCTCGAGACAAATGCTGAACTGAAGAAGTCCTATTTTGCACGAACGCCATCAGCGCTACTCAAGACCCCACCTTATGTTACTGCTGAACCCATTATCACTACCACCAAGATTGAGCCTGAAAAGGGTGACTTCGTCGTCATGGCTACAGATGGATTATGGGAAATGCTTACCAACGAGGAAGTTGTTGGTTTAGTTGGCCAGTGGCTCGATGCGCAGAGCAACTCAGGGGGCCAAGGTTCTCAGACCCAATCATGGCTAAAGAGCTGGTGGTCTACCCAGAAGCAACTGCCTGTCGAACAAAAAGCAGGAGACACGGCAGAAGGTCAACGTGCACCCATCCGCCAACAACAGTGGGGCACTAAGACCAGCCTGAACGAGCGCTTCGTAGTTGAGGACAAGAATGCCGCGACCCATCTTGTGCGAAACGCACTTGGAGGAAAGGACCAAGATCAGCTGAGCGCTCTGCTCACACTTCCAAGCCCCTTCTCTCGACGATACAGGGATGACCTGACGGTAGAAGTCATTTTCTTTGGTGAAGGTACCGGCACGGGTAACGTGACTCGAAACCAAGAGGCTAGCGCAGCAGAGCCTGAGGCTCAAGCCAAGCTGTAGGACATATTGGTTTCCGTCTTGTGGTTTTTTGGGGTAGGATTGCGCTCAGTCATATTTCGACTGTTGGCAGCTTAGCATGTATCGCGGCGTTGAAAGGCTCTGAATGGATATGGCGTTTGAGGGGAATGTGACACGCACGGTGGAAATCTTGTTTTAATCAGATCATAGCATACCTAGGTTTAGCATCTGGAGCTCAAGCCAATCGATTCTGTTTTGAACCATGTACCCCGCTTACATTTGCTAAAGAGCATGACAGCGGGTTTCATATGCTCGAGCAAGCTCGATGATGGCGTGGTTCGGTTCGGTTCCGTCAAGTCCGCATGATGTCATGGTTGCGAACTAGAAGCATCTTGAACTTTTCGACCATTATATAACAAAACTACGTGCAAATTTGGTCACTGTTCAATAGCATATATGTATATGGCAGCTGTCATCTGAGAATCATCAAGACCTGTCGATCAGTCAACCAACCACAAAGAAAAAGGTGCATCCATAACTATACACACACACCATGGCCGAATCACTAGCAGCATTCCGCGACCGCCAGTCCAAAGACCTGCAGAAATTGGCTGAAGAGCACTTGCAGCATGAGTAAGTAAAAAAGACTGTTGGTTTCCTGGAGAAGAGGATCAGACTAACTCAGAACAGCCTCCAACAGCAAGATCGCGACACGCTCAAAAGTGCGGCCGGAAAGGTGACGAGAAACGCGACCATCGGGTCAGCACTAGGCCTTGGTCTTGGCATCTATACGGCATTCCGTCTACGGGCAATGCGGCTGGCTTACTTCAAAGCGTTCCGGGCCATGGAGAAGCCTGTAGAAGTGCGTTTTGCTGACGGGCGCACCGAGAAGATTCCCGACATCACGGCGCAAGTCAGCGGCCCGTCGCGCTGGGGCGACGCAGCGGCTTACTTCTTCTTCTCCGTCGGCGGCTTGTTTCTTGGGGGTGAGCTAGGGCTGCTGACAGGAACAGCGAGCGCATCAAGGGTTATTACGAAGGATCCAGAGAGTAGGGCGAGGATTGAAAAGGCATTCAAGAATTACCGAATCGATGTGCTGCAGAGGGAGATTGAGGCGCTACGAGGCAAGAGTAGGTTTGAGGAGTTTTTTCGCAGTGGAGGGGCCAGCGCGTGAAAGTGAATAACTGAGGAGGCCTTGTGAAAAGCGAACTGAATTGTATTGATGTACATAGTATGTTACGCGTACATATGCCCTGTTGAGGATTGAATGTGGAGATGTTGACCGCAACTCAGCCACGCTAGCCACATTACCCCGAGTGCGACACAGCCACAGCCACATGTCAGTACCGCACTAGTCAGCATCGTAGCAAGTGAGGAAAACATAGAAACCAATATGGTCAAGTTTGATTGTAGTTTTGTACTATGTCTATCAAGGTTCAATAGGCCATATTCTCACAAGCTAGCCCTACCTAGACGCTCTGGTGCAGACCCGGCGTTTCAGGCGCAGCCTATACATGACGTGTCGTAAGGAGACCCTCTGCGCGCCTACTGCAGATCGTTGAGTGGAAAAAGGCCCGCCAGGTCTCGAATTGCCGGACGACGTCACGCCCAGCTTCTTGCCGATGGCCCGTTCGCGCGCTTGGAAAACAATCGCTGCAGCCCATCGCCTCATCTGCCCCCAGGGCCCCCCTTCACTTGTGTTACTTTTATTCCTCGCTCAGTGTTTATCATATCTTGGCAATCCGTTTGTTGTTGAGCCTGAATCCTTTTCTCCTGCCCGGGGCTGCATGGAACCCTAATATAGACGACCAGGCCCTTCACCCTGAAACGGTGCCGTACACCCACCTGATTCATTCGCCAATTCCTCGTTCCTCGTCTTTTCCTCTACACAACTGGACTGTCACCGTCACCGCCTTTACTGAGCCGCCCAGTAGCTGCTTGCTCTTGTTTCTCCAAAGCGTTACCGAAATAAAGTTGGAGAGCGTCCAACCCCTGCGACGATCATGAAAGGAGCCCTTCTTTCGCTGGTGTGGCTTGCGGGTCTTGCTGCAGGCCAAAGTAGCTCATCCGTGTCGGTTATCACACTATCTGGATCCCAACCGAGTCTCACAGGTGACGATGCTGTCCCCAACCCAACTGTGCCCTCCGATTTCGAAGGCAGTACTTTTGCGACAATTACGTCACCTGCCTTCTCAGCCTCATCAGGCGCCACACTGTCATCCAACGGCACGATAACCTCTGGGGAACCTGTCACCAACATCGGACAAGGGAACAGGACCATCACGCCAACAGGTACCGGCACGGCTCCTGCGTTGCCGTCTAACACACAGCCATGCAACAACTACCTTGAGTTCTGTGACCGCAAGTACTCCAACATCACCGAAGTCTGTGCCCACAACTCACCCTACACACGCAAGAACAACATTGCGCGCAACCAAGAATACTCGGTAAAGCAACAGCTTGACGACGGCATTCGAATGCTTCAGGGCTCAGCCCACTATGTCAACGGCACTCTCTACTACTGCCATTCCTCGTGCGACCTGCTCAATGCCGGCCCTGTCGAGGACTACCTCCGCCAAGTTACCGAATGGGTAGAGGACCACCCCTTCGACGTAGTCACCATCCTCTTCGGAAACTCAGACTGGGACAAGACAACCGCAGACGGTAAACCCCTCGTCACGGCCAAAAACTTTGCCGACCCAATCGAAGCCTCTGGTCTCCGCAAGTACATCTACCAGCCGCCCAAGACCGCCATGGAACTTGCAGACTGGCCCACGCTCGGGGAACTCATCCTCCAAAACAACCGCGTCATCACCTTCATCGACTACAACTACGACACTGATGC